GTGACGGCGCGGTCGCAGGAGGGGTCGCAGTTTTGCCAAGGGTTTGGCGGGATCGGCGGCATCTTGCGATGGCAGGTGGACTTTATGGAGCTCGAGTACAACGGCGAGTCCGACGACGACTTTGACGACGACGACTTCATCTAAACGACGAGACCTCGACGCCGTGTCGCGCTTCCGATCACACGAACCAGGATCAACGGATGAAGTGAGTAGTTCAAGTTGCATGACGTAAAGGTTCGACGTTCATCTAAGGCATAGTGCTGTCACAACAGGAACCTCCGTGTCTGCAGATCCCATGAGATTTTTTGCAATGTACTAGGCAATGTTGTTTATGCCAGTACCTCGACCTCTTTATAGACTCGCTCATAGGTGAAGACAAGCGTACCTATATGCATCTGTCTCTACCTCTACATCGCAATGGCCATTGTGCTGACGAGAAGACTGCATGCTCATCATGTCACCGTCGCCATGCCCTGAAATCGTACGAGTAGATCGTGAGCGGATCGGTACTTTTTCCGCGGCGACTCGCGCCGAACGTCGCCGCCGTGATGTCGCTGAACCAAAGTTTCGGATAATTACCTGGTTATCCGTACAACGGTGGAGTCTGCAAGTGGCACACTCCGTCAGGTTGCCATGAGTTGCAATTGCTCCGATGGCGTCGGCAGTCTGCGCAACAGTCCGTACGACATGATCCCGATGCAGCGAGCTATCGACACGGTTCTGGGTCTTGCCAAACCTCTCCTCAAAACGTCCGTCCCGCTGCAAGAGGTGTGTCTCCCTCGACTCACGGCACCCTGACGCAGTAGTACTCGAACGACTCGTCTAGGCGCTCGGTTCTGTCCTTGCCGAGACTGTCAGGAGCAAGGTGTGATCTGCAAACCTCCATTCAACCCCACATGTGTGTCATCCATTTGTTGGTGCGTCCAGGAACCATTGCCACCGTTTCGTGCGTCCGTGATGGATGGGTACGCGGTTGTGGCAAGCGACGGCGTTGGCGAGGTGCATTTCCATTTCCTTTGACATGACCTGCAGGTTTCCAACATAGTTTCCTATCTTGAGCCGCGTTGCAGCGGGGGACGCCCCAGGTGTCCACGTCACACCCGGTCGTGTGGCGTACGTGACGACGGGGTGTCCCGTGCCCGATGGCGCCGACGCCGTCGTCAAGATCGAGGACACCGAAGCCGTTCTTGGCGAGGTGGGTGCCCTCCCCTCCTTCCACCGTTGTTGACGACTCGGTACTCTTTAAGGACGGAAAGACCGAAGTCGCGGTCAAGATTTTGCACGCCGTACAGAGCGGCACAAGCATCCGACCGATCGGGCACGACATCGCCCAAGGTGAAGTGATCGTAGAAGCGGGCGAAGTTATCACGCCTGCAGTGCTCGGTCTTTTGGCTACGGTGCGCACCCGTCGACTACTCCATGGAGCCTTCTCGAGGCCTTCCTCCATCCGCTGGCCAGTGACCATATACATACACGTGTTTAGGTCGGGATCGCGTCGGTGCCCATTTACAAGATTCCGGTCGTGGGTGTACTGTCCACGGGAAGCGAGCTAGTTGACGCCACCGACGCGGCAGGCATTCGCGGGGGCAAGATCCGCGATAGCAATCGGCCCATGCTGCTCGCGTACATGCAGCAGCTCCACGTCAAAACCGTGGATTTGGGTACGTTGTTGATATGGACGAGGGACGGAATCGCGCGATCGAGTCACGAGCGAGAATGCGGCGTGTCATTCGCTTGCGAACATGAACTGTTGTCGAATGCTGTTTGGCTGGCATGTGTAGGCATTTGCAGCGACTCATGGGACTCCCTCCGTGATCTACTCTTCTCGAAGCTGCCGTCGATCGACGTACTCATCACGAGCGGCGGTGTCAGCATGGTACCCGAAAAGAGGAAAGTTCGTGGTGAATGAAACTTGATCAGGGAGAACATGACCTCGTCAAGCCACTCCTGAAAGAACTTGGCACGGTGCACTTTGGACGGATTCACATGAAGCCAGGGAAACCAACCACCGTCGCCACCGTAAGTAAAAAGCCCATGAACTCCCTGACGAAGTGAACGGCTCCAAGGTCCCGATCGGTGGTGTCGACAAGCTCGTGTTCGCCCTGCCCGGCAACCCTGTGAGCTGCCTCGTTACGTCGTGCTTGCTCGTTCAACCAGCGCTCAAGCGACTTCGTGGCCACACAATTGCCCAGTCGTCCCCCGTCGTATTTCAAGCTCGTCTCCTCCATCCGTTGCCTCTCGACAGGGACCGGCCAGAGTACCATCGTGCCGTCGTGCGGTGGGAAAAGAACGAATGGGTCGCGACGAGCACGGGGGTGCAGGCCAGCAGCCGCTTGCTCAGGTACGTCCCGTCGGTCGATAGTCGACCACTTGTATCATGCCACTCATGACACGCAGCTGCCGCCACGCGAATGCGCTGCTGCACTTGCCCGTGGGGACGCATTTGGCCGCCGAAAGCGTTGTCGAGTGCATTTTTCTGTCCGACATGGTATATGCGCTGTCGCTGGGTGATTCGTGGAGTGTGGAAATCGCATTAGGGCAGTGCTGTGTCCGCGATCGACGTGCCCAAAGTCCAATTGCCTCTTCCAGCTGCATCGGCTCCTGCTGCGCGAATCGTCCAGAGTCTGCCCGTCCGAGCGTGCGTGTTGACGGTGGGCACTTCTTCCCTCATTGCCATGAACTTGACAAAGCGTCCAAGGTGAGTGATTCCGTGTCGCGCGGCGACTCGACGGATCGCAGCGGGCCAGTCATGCAAACCACGTTGACGGGTACGGCACACGTCGTTCTGTTCTTCTCGAGCGCCTTTGCTTGTGCGCAACATTCGACTGGTTTTTGCCGTTGGTCTTTTTTTCCCGTAAACTCTCATGCACCAAATTGTGTGAACCATGCGTAGAAATGCCTGGGTTGGCTGTCGAGATTGTCCAAGCCGCCGTCGTCGCCGACGAAGTCGACGAGATTCAAAACGTTGTGCGGACGTGGTGCGATGTCGCGCATGTGGATCTCATTGTGACGTCTGGAGGAACGGGGTTCAGTCCCCGCGACGTCACTCCGGAAGCCGTCAAGGTATTCCTCTGAGGAAGTGCGTGGAATGACTCGAACGATTGGCAGGTCCTACTTGACCGCGACGCGCCTGGGCTGGTCCACAAGATGCTCCAAGCATCGCTCGACGTGACGCCGATGGCAATCTTGGCCCGGCCCGTCGCGGGCATGCGTGGACACACGTTGGTGTTGACGCTGCCTGGCAAACCCAACGCTGTGGTCGAAACCCTGACGGCGCTCGCGCCGGTCTTGCCCCATGCGCTGCACTTGCTTCAAGACGTGAGCCACCACCACCACAAAGGCAAAAACGCGTTGCAGTAGTAGTTGCACCGACCCCAAATGAATGGCCCGCACGATCGTTGTCGTTGATCCCGTTGGCGCGACTGCGCTGACAAGCGCATCGTCCATGCGTGCACTTGCACGTAGCAGTCGCGATGGCGCGCCGCACATGAAGCCATGGGCGTTGTGAATGTGCTTTGCCTGGATGGATGTGCTGGATGGATTTATCCAATTCGACCCAGCATAGTTCGAGTCCACTCGACGACCACTAGGCGGTGCGCCTTACCGCCGTCGGCCCAACTTGGCTTGGCGATACATGTTGAGTTCGTAAAAGTCCCAGTCGGGGTCGTGCGATGACAGCACTGACGACGACTCGAACAGGGCTATCTGCACACTCCAAAAGTGAGCACACCATGGCATGGCGAGGCTCGGAAACGCTACCTCGTACAAGGCGAGCTGCATGCGGAACGCCGTACTCGGACACATCACGGGCCGCTTGCGTTTGACGTACGCATACGCCTGCACGAGGGGCATCATGCAGTGCTCGAGCAGGTACGCCACCACGACGCACGCGGAGCGGGACACACCTACACAGCACATTGCAATAAAATTCGTTTTGCATCGACAAGCGGCACGGGGACCGCGTGGGCAGTCGGCTTTGAGGCGTCGCCAACTCTCCAAGGCTGTACACCCCCCACAAGGTGGCAGCAAGTTGGAGTCGTACCTGCCACACAATGCACGAGAACGCGTCCGTCGGCGTGCTTGGCGCGATGGATGAACTCGCTCGCGGCCTGGAGGTGCTTGGCGAGTTGCTGCGTCGGGTTGTCGAGGAGGCGGAGGTGGAGGTAATGAAAGTCGTTGGGGAAGTGGATGTCGCACTGGGCCGCGACGTTGCAAACGTGTGTGATGCCGGCTTTGCGGAGACCGGTCAGGTCGCTGGCGGCGTGGTCGTTTCCGAGAAACACAAATGGCAGGATCGTGTCCATCGAGTGCGGCGTCGTGTGGAACCCGAGGAACCGACTGAGCCACGACGACATGGCGTCCAAGAACGATCCGTCCGAGTAGTCGCTTGCTCTCTCCTTGGCCTACAATGGACGACGTGTGGCCGTTTGACGATTCGAAGAGGGCGGCATCGCACCTCCTTCTCCTTTTGCTTGATGCGCAGGTGCCCGCTGCCCTCGGATGAACTGCGGTACAACGGTTTCGGCTTGACCTGCACACGACGGGTGTCGGACGGCTACGACAAGAGTATCAGCATCTACGGTCGTGCTGGTGGAGCGTTTGGCGGAAGGGTCTTCTCGGTGAAGACGGTCGCGGAAGCGACTTTGTGATTTTGCGACGAATCCATCGGATGGGCTCGGTACCTTTGTCGACTTGGAAGATGCGCCGAGTGCTTGCTACAACAACCGCGGCAGTGAGTGGCCTTGCTCCCAAAGAACATGCATACTGGTTCGTCGGTATGGCCCGCCGCCACTTTGCGCGATCTGGATGCGGCATACTTCGGGGGCAGCTTGGCTTTCTTCTTCCCTCCGTCGCTCCATCCCGTCATGATTGCGTTGTGCGCGTATTTTTAGCCAGGTCGTCGTTACTCGGCAACAAGCAAGGTCGCTAGCCCACGTCACATCCACGGGCATATCCATGGCCTCGCAAGGGGATGGACCGAGCAACGAGGTCGAAGGCGATGACTTTGAGGCGCTTCTCCTGGCACCTACCATTCCCGCGCCAGACACAGCGGACGACCACTCTGCCATCGTCCATATCCAGGAAGAAGGCAAGGGCTATGGCCTCAAGGCATACGTGGAAGATTTTGATGGAGTCATCCCGGCGGCCGAGGTTGTCGTCGCTAGCATTCCACTCGAAGTCGTCCAACAGCGCGAACTGGAGCTTGAACAGGCACGGATCAAACGAGCCCAGGTACAGAGTGCGCCGGCGGACGTCGACCAGGCGTGATGGTGGTGGTGTCTAGGACGAAGCCAAGGAGTTCCAAATGCGAGAAACTCTCCTGGCGTACAAGGAACAAAAGGCCCGCGACCGCCTCGCCGAAGCCGCGGCGGAACACACCAAGAAAATGGCGGCCAAGGAGCTCCAGAGCTTACACGTCGTCAAGTTGCAGTCCCAGTCCCTGTGGCACGTCTACCACCAGGCAGAGACTCATTTGAAGAACGTCCTCACCCGGCAGCAAGCGCATGTCGAAAACACATATGGCACGATGTCAGTCGCGCCGACGTCGCACCTGCACGCACAGCGACGATACCGGACCGAGTGGGCCTTTATTCCGCAACCGATTGAGATTCACGTTCATATGCTACGAGCTGTCAAGGACAAGCTCCCTCAAGGGCACTATGTCCTCCTCGCGACGCTGTACGACCGCCTCGGGGGCAGTCCGATCACGTGGAGTGTCGCGGGAGACCGCGGTGTCGGGTCTAGCCTCCCCGGGCTCACAACGCCGCTGAGCCACCGCGGCCACTTCTACAACACCGAGCTTCACGTGGACCAGAACGTGTATGTGGTGTGCCCTCCGCAGCAGGAACTGCGGCCAGGTGCGACGTGGTGTGTGCATTGCAACCTGACTGGGATGGACATTGTCCCTGTAGCGAACGTCGTCCTGTTTGAATTGTACTTGCTCAGCGGCGCCAACGCGACCAAGGACTGCGTCGTCGCGTGGGGCGTGCTGCCTGTGTGCAATGCCGACTTTGACGTGGTCGCCGGGCGGTTCAAAGTGCCCATGATGCGGGGTGACGTCGACCACACGATATCCAAATTCCACGTACGCGTCCGGTGCATCGTCATAATAATGATCCTGGGCAGGAAATGGAGCACATGTGCTTGACAGACTTGTCGTCGTGGCTGTGTAACATGTACGTGATGGTGCGCCACCTGCCACGCGAGCGGCTCGACGCGACGGGGATGCTCGAGCGAGAATACGACGTCGAGGTGGACGTGATGAACCAGCTTCTAAAGCTCGAGAGCACGGACCGACAACTCTTGGCCCAAGGCATTTACGATGAAGCAACGGCCAGACGGCACAACAAGCAATCCAGGCGGCGAAAGCGGCAGCATCTCGTCACAACCTCCACGCCCGTGAGCTTCTCCAACACAGTGTCATGGGGGAAGGAGGCAAGTAAAGCCCAGACTCGGCGGAAAATGCCACGTCACCAGTCCAGCAAAGTCGCTCCCACGAGTGGCGACGACCCGCACGACCCGTTGACGCTGCAAGACGACGTCGATCACGATACCAGGAAGAAACAGGCTGACAAGACTTGGCGCCAGTGGTTCCGACGGCGGTGGCAGCGCCGACCACGTCCGGCATTTTCCAAACCCCATCGTTCTCCATCCAATTCTTCTGTACGTGGTGTTTGTCTTGCTCGCTCTCATGTCCTTTCCCAGGAACGCGATTCCTTATCCAACGGCGACCAACCCACCGACTCCAGCGATGCCCTGGACGAGCTCTTCGCCCCGGCGGACGCCCCGGCGCCAGCACACGCCCAAACGTGGGAAGGTTTTACCTTTGCAACGAATCACTACATCGGGGACGAAGTCGCCAAGCACGTGAGGTTTCAAACCGCGCGCAAACTGCGCTACTTGAAGCAAGAGGTACGACGGATCCTTCTAGCAAAAACGTCAAGGTCGGCACGATGCGAGCCATGGCTTTGTCGTGCACTTTTCCGACGACCCATCCAACGTGTCACTGGTTGTGGTTTGCCTAGCTCTTCGCCGACATGGGGCTCAACAAGGCGGGGACGCTGCAGTTCTGGCTCATGGTAATCTTCTTGTGCATGGCGCTGTGGCTGCGGCTGTACGTGCATTACCTCGGCCAGTGGCTCTACCTCCGCGCCGTAAACGTGCCCGTGTTTGCATTCAGCCCGCAGCTCGTGACAGTCGTGCTCAAGTACACGTGGAATACGGTGCCGACGTCGACGGAGATTGGAGTGATTGCTGTCGGCGTTGTATTCAACGTTCTCACGTTCCTGGGGCTGATGGGGATCGCGTCGGCGAGCCAGCGGTTCCTAGGTGAGTTCCCGGACATTGGGTCCCGCTTCATCGCGTGCTTTGGGCTCGGCACGGTGCTCGATCCTGTCCTCGTCTTTGCGATCGATCTCTTGCATCACAATTACGACTGTGCGTCCCTCGGCACGTGCACCGACCCGTCGTCGTCGTCGTGCAAGTACGTCGCTAGCACTTGTGTTTCGTCGATCGTGTTGGATACATGGGATGGACGTGCCCGTTGCACATGATGGTGGCTCCATGATGGTGTAGGTGCTCGGAAGGCGACGCTTTCAAACTGTACCAGCGCTTCAAGAGCGAGGAAGGAACGGGCGTCGTCGGGGCGGTGCTCACGCTGCTTGTGTACGGTTTCCTCATGGGTGTCGCGGCAGTCGTGTTTTACACGTACTTGCTCCATTTTCACATGAATGGCCGCATGCTCGATGTGTATCGTCGCATTCACGCGCGAGAAGGCATGTACTTTGTCCCGAACGACTTTGAGGTGTCAAATGCGGACGTCACCGTCCTTTGCGACAAGGCTGCGCGGTGGAAGTCCATGACGGGAACGCAGCGCAAGACCGCCGTGTGCGAGTACGAGCTGCGGGACCCACTCGACCCGTCCTTCGTCGAAACGACGGTCCACATCGCGATCTTCAACCTTGAGCTGGACGGATCACGCCAACTCTACCGCCATTTCATCAAGAACCCAGACGGCGAGATCCTCGAAGTGTTTGGCGCGATCTCCGACAGCCTGGGGTCTCAGTACGCTGCCCTCGAGTCGGTGCTCTTTCAGACAGCACCGCCAGATCACGACATACACACGGGCCTGTTCGACTCGATCTAACCTGCTCTAACTCGTTCCCTATGTCGTCTCGAGGACGGGACACACGGTCGGCTGATTCAGCCTGCGGATGACAAGATGTTAGGCTCGCTGAACTGCATGTCAACACAACGGTAGTGACGCATGCCTACGTTGACAGCGGCCAGCGACTTGCTCTAGGACGCATATACAATACTCACTGCCAACGCTTTCGCAGAGGTACCTCGTGGCGTCCATCTACCATCTTCACTCTCCATCCCACCACGTTGCCTGTGATGGTGAAGACTTGACTGATTACATATCCGGACAAACGAGGGTATCCGGATTCCTTTTCAAAAATTTGGCGGGCAGCGACCGCGGCGATGGAGAGATGCTTTTCCCACCGCGACGATGGCGCGGTGGCGTGTGAGAACGTGGACAAGGAAATCCCTATGATCACTTCAGATATTGACATGATGATGTGGCATGGACCCTCCAAGTCTGGGAAAAGTTCCCTCGCCTTTCAGTACGCCTTCGACCTCGTGCGAGCAGCTGCCACCCAACCCATGTCGACCTTGCCGTCAGCGTCCACAGTGAAACTATCCGAGCCGCTGCCGTACGTTATCTTGGTATGCCACGAGAGCATGCGAAACAAACTTGAGCGCTTTGTTCCGATCGATCCGTGCGAGGCTTGTGAAACGCCAAGGAAAAGCGGTGCCGACGCCCAGCATTGGGAACGAGTCCACATCAAGTACGACCCATCGATACCTTGTTCATTATTCCTTGTGCTTTCTCAAAGCGTACAGATACCTTCAGAACGCCTCCCAATTGGGTCATTTTGCGAGCTCGCTGCATGTCCTCGGTGGAAGGCCCATCGCGATGATCGTTGACGACTTCGACCTTTTCTTTCAAGACGATTCTGCCTCCAAGTACGTCTCAAATTCTGTGGAACGCCATATCACTCTTCGATGCAGTGCATCTTTGTATAGATGTGTTGCGCTTCTCAAGGAAACCACAGAGTATATGCATCGAGTGCACGGGATGGGACAGGTAGTCGTGACGTGCACCACGGCAGCCTACACTAAGGACGAGCGACATCGTCTCCGGCGGTGGTTTCCTCTCTTGCTTGAGCTCGTTCCAGGTACACTGTTCCTGCGTCCATCGCCGACAGCAATGTACCGATCGCCGTTTGTAGACTCCCATCCTCACACATTCGCCATGCAAGAAGAACTGCCAGCCCCTCCATTTTCGTCATCCATTGCAATACGGGACTGGGCTGCATACATGCCGCACTTTCCAGTTCCGTATCGTGTGCTCTATCTCTTCGAACCCAACACACGCGGCCAAGACGGCGTGTTTCGGTTTCTCCATGCAGGATAGGAGCGCGGCAGACGCTTGAGCAGCACGATGGCAAGCTTCCTGCCGCGATCACGTTTACGTATCACGTGGAGCTGTTGCCTGCATTCGCCACATACCTTTGGCTTGTTCACGACACTGACCTGGGGAGGGGCCTAGAATGGTGTGACTAAATACAACTGGCGCCTGATGGTCTCCGTTGTGCATAAGCCGAGGTTGCCTTCGTCACATCCGTCGTGCACAGACTGATGTGCGAGCAAAGCTGATGGATCTTGAAAGGGATGATGGGTTTTCCACTTGTCGAGGTCGTCCATAAGGCGACGGTGTCCACACGTCAAGCAGGGGAGACACATCATCATGCATGCAATGCTGGGTGTCTCGTCCATCGGGCAGCCACTGTCACGTCCTTCATGTGCAGAATTGGATGCTGTGCTGCCGAGCGTTCTGCGATGTCTGCAGCGCCGTCCGCCGGCAACCAAGAAGTGGCACCCCACGTCGTCGACCAAGGTAAGGGTACCATTACTTGTTTCTTACATTCCGCATTCTAAACTACATTTTCCCTTGGAAGTATTTCCAAGACGTGTTTTCTGCAGGAGGACAATCCTTGTTTAGGGATATTTCCCGTCCTAGCGGGACAATTTGCCCTATTGTACGCAATGGAGCAGCCTATTTAGGGTATTTATGGAACTAGATGACCAAATACCGAGACTTTCCACTACGTTACGACCAGCGACGCCGTGTCCGATGTGGCGCCGAAGTCGACGATGGCCAACCTTGTGGATGACGCGAATCGATGAAGGCGGGATGTGAAAGCGGACGAAAGCGCGGAGAGAGAGGGAACGCGTGCGCTGTACTATATTCCATGATTGGCGCTGACTGCTTCTCGGAGCAGCACGTTCTGGACGCACGACGACCTTAACGAGCGCCATCTCGACCTGCGGCTCATCCATGCTTCCTTGCCAAGATCCGTTTGATCGACCACCGCGAGTAGTCCTTGAGTGCTCAAAGATTATCGCTTCCTTCGACACCGTCGTGACCGTCCTCTGCGGAACTGCACGCAGGCCAAGCCGTACTTGCGGCTGAACGACCGTGCCACCGACTTTCACCTGTATGTGATCCGATTCTCGTTGCATCCCAATCTCCCCCATCGACCGGTTCATGGCAACCTACGTCGTTTTGAACGCGCTCGTCCTGCGCCTTTTTCTCCATGCATGTCCATCCTTGGAGCTCTCACGCGCGTTCACGTTCCGCAGGATCGAATAGACCTCGACGGCGCTCCTTTGTTCACCCTTTGACATGGCTGAGTTAGGCTCATTCACCGCCCACATGCAGTTGATCCAAGCGTCGCGACAGTCATCACGTCGACGGCGACCACAAACCACCTCGCGGTATGTTGCCCTCGCGGCGCCGCTCTTGGCATGGAAGCGTGTGCATCCGGCCCATCCCCGCCTCGTCCACTGCCCATGCATCCATCGGAATTGTTACAAAATTGATTGCCATTTGGATGGAGGGGGTGTTGTACGCTAATTGAGAGAAAACGCTAACGGTGTGGTAGAAGAGGACCGACGACGACCGCAATGTGGTTGCGCGCCACGATGGGGAGGTACGCGCTTCACGCAATCAGGTCGATCTCGAGCTCGTGGCCGTCCGCCATGTAAAAGTTATCCACTTCCTTGTCAATGTCGTCGTCGTTGAACTCGTAGTCGAACATCCCTTCGAGTTCGGGGTGCTTGGTGTGGTCAAAGATGCACCCTGCCGAGGAAGCCGATGACGACGGCGTCGCGGATGACACCACTGCACCAGGGGGGTCGGAGGGACATGCATGACTGCCGTCCCCAAATACGACGTCGTTGTCGTCTTGGTTGGATGCGGTGGACGAGCACGACGACGAGTGGAGCCTCGTCTGGCCGAGGCAGTAGCTGAGCCCTTCCTGCTCGACGCTAGACGTTCGGACGAGCGTGGGAGGGACCTGATACTGCTGAAGACTCTTGTTGCGCGGGGTCGTAGTCGCAACTGCGTTGCTCGGGTCGCTGTCATGCAGGAGGGCGAAGGTGGGGACGACGCTGGGCATGTCGGCCAACTTGGGCGTCGGCAGGTCAAGAAAGGTTTCAAAGTTGCATCCAAAGTCCATGTCGGGGCCAAAGAGGTGGTCGTTCGGGAGGAGGGCCCCCGTGACCGCCGCATGCGCCTGGTGCGCATGGACGTGGTGGTGGTGGTGGGAATGAGACGAATGGTAATGCGCAGACGGTGTTCCGACGCCGGGAAACCCGCTCCACGTCGAGTCTCCAAGCACATGCTGGTTGTTGGTTTGAATGTGCATGTCTTCGAATGCGTTGCCACAATTGAGCTTGCGTCGTGGCGTGCGTGGCTTGGGGCCGTTGTGAATGTCGAGCGCACCGTTGCGCTTCTTGAGCAGAGGCTTGATCCACTTTTTGGGCGGGATGTCGACGGTGGCCCGGGGCTCCACCTTTACTCCCGAGTACATGTCGTACGCAAGGTTCTGCCGCGTGTCCATGAGACTTGCGAATGCAGGCGGACGATGGAGTGACTGCCTCGTACCTCAGAAGCGAGAAGCATGCACGCATGCTGCTGCTGCAAGAAGTGGTCCTGGTGATGCAGCGACGACGACGATGACGTCGACGACATGGCGAGCGGACTTGCCTCCGTCGCCATGCTCTTCTTCTTGAGGTTGGCAATCCACTGCGCCCGCACGTGGTTGTTGCCGTCACCTCCTTTCTTTCCGTCGGCCGTCGCGGCTTCCATTGCTTTGTTCTATCCATGTGTCGCCAAGACAACGATGAGGTCGTGCGGCCACGTCGTGGCTTGTGTGTACCCGATGCGCGACCGAGATCGGCGACACCAGCACCGGGCCGTGGATGCTCGCGGTGCGGATGTTCGACAGGTTCTTCTTGGACATGGTCGCTTCGTCGGCCAAAGTTGTAATAACGACGTTGAGGTGCCACAACGATGAAAGGCAAAACGCACGATGGCTTCACATCTGACTGGGAAAACCAACGCTGAAACTCCCTCGCGCCGAATTAAATGGCCGACCGTTACCAGGCCACCATACAAACCCCAAGTCCAATACGACCCGACCGAAAAAAAATACGTTGTGGTGGCCGTTTCGCAGTCGTTTCCACTGCCGCCGCGCGCGACGTCGCTGTGCCAGAGCAATGGCGGCTTTCATTTGGTATCTAGAGGACCGTGCAGATGGTGCACTTGTCCATGCTCCGTTCAATGTAGTAGACAGGCGACAAGCATGGAGATTCAAGGCGCCGCATCCGCGATGTCGTGAGACAGGTGACGTTGATGGCTGGACGAGCCGACCCGCCACTCGCACCGACCGACGAGATCTCGCCAACCAGCATGAGAAGACTGATATTGTTCATACGCGTGCCATGCCTTCGAGTGGGCTACATGGAGCAGTTACGCGCAAGTGGTATCACGCGAGCGAAACGCTCCAGAATCCATCCACTCTCAGACTGTTGTCGTCGTGCGCCGAGTGCCATGTTGCCTAGATGACCAAGGGAATGACCTCGGCTCCCTTTCCAGATGCGCATGAACGACGACATTCGTTGCGGATGGCGGCAACGCTCGCCTCCTCGAAAAAGGCGTCCCGTAGACATGTTCCGCACACGTCGCAGCCGTCTCCAGGGCTCCACTCAGCCCACCTCCAACAACTCGTGTCTTTGCGAGAAGCCAACCGGGCTTGCGTCGTCACCTCTCCGAGGTTCACCAAGGATCAGCTACCGACCACCCATCCCCGACGCTACCAAGCACCAACCACACACCAGACCGTCGAATTCCCGTTGTTCAAAATCAATTGCGCCGTCCAACACAACAGCACCCCAATCGAGCGCACCCCCGCGAGCCGCAGTACGCCGTGCATGCCCATACAGTCCCCGACAAATCTCGAGACCAAGGATCGGTTGGCCCATCAACTTCCGACTGCATTGCTGGGCCGACGCCACGTCTTGCCGTCGAAGACAGCGGCGGCGTTTTCGACACCATCCTGCTCCTCGTCCACGACAACGTTGGCGAGATACCGCCGGCTCATCGGTATGTTTGCACGAAAGCTGGCAGCGCAAGTCGTCGCAGTTGCTGTTTCGATCGTGGCCATGAAGCGACATCATGCGGCGCGGGTGGTGCAGCGAGCATGCCGGCGTCATGTTCTCCATCACAGGCATACATGCGCCGCCCTTGTTGTACAGCGGCTGTGGCGCGGTCACATTGGTCGCCTTGCTGCCCAGCGCTTGGTGCGTCAGGTCGCTATTAAATTTCGCGCTGCATTTCAGGTGCGACCATTCGTCTTTTCGAATCGACGTGTGATGACTCATGCAGATTGGACGAGCTGGTCGACTGTGGCGCCGACGGCTTGCATGCCGTGCTTGGCGACGGGAGGCGATGGAGGCGCAGGCTCGTGCGTGTCGAGTGGTAGGGCGCACACTTCGCCTTTGAGTGGAGCCTTTTCCTGTGCTGCAGCGCCGCTAACTGGTCCCTTCTGGCCGATCGTGTAGATCCAAGGCAGCTATCGCCGTCACCGCAATCGTCGGCTCGAGACCCAACGACAACAGCGTCGGCGCTTTGCAGTGTGTGCAGTTCAAGCGTGGTGGAGACGGCGGCGAAGGCTTCAGGTGGCAGCAGCCATGCAGATTCAAGCTTGGGCTCGACGTCGGTCCAGACAAAGGCGAAACAGCGCGTGGGGTCGCATTTGGACGCTGCTCCAAGCAACCTGGCGAATGCACGTGGCAAGAACTAGGTTTGGTGCACTGAAGCTCCACACCATTCAGCTCCAGCGGCGCCACCGTCGGCGGTCGAACCTGCGGGCTGCGCCATCCACAACCCCGCCGAAGCGTGACGAATCAAGGCCCATCATCGCCGAGATCGCAGCACAGCGCATCCACCACGGCAACAACACGACGCCATTCGAGACGGACCACGTGCTGCCAATCCAGACAAATCAAGGAAGCCCACGAGGATGGGAGGTCGAGATATCTGCTGGAACGTCGTCTGCGACATCAGTTTCAGTTGACGATGCGCTCCTTTCACAGCCACATGAGGGCCGACTCAACCACACACACACAACTGCGATCGGTCGTCGTCCGTCGGCGGTGTTGCAAGAGGACCCGGTGCTTGCGCGCCACCCCAACGCTTCATCGTGTGCCGCCCACGACTCATCGCGACAGGCTCAAGTTGCCACGGGGATGTCTCCGCTGGACACCAGCCCCCCCTCTGCTTCATCTTGTTGGACAAGCCACGAAGACAAGTTAGCCCAGCCCTTGGCGTGGGTGCTGTCCGTGCCCACCACCGAGTCGGCACGCCCGACACCGACTCGATTCCTTCCATCGCGTCCAACTGTCGCCGTTCCATCGGTCACTTGCGACATCGACTCGCCTATTCCCTCGAATGATGCGGACGAGAGCCTATATCATCGTCGTGTGCTGTGGTGCTTTGTACAAAATTGGTGGCGACCGCGCCATCGCCGTCGCCACCGCAGTTGTATGACACTGCAAGCGTGGTTTCGCTGCTGCTGGGCGCGTCAGGTAGTTCGCCATCGACGTGCTCAAGCCATTGAAACGCTCCGTGCGTGGATGAAGACCCATGGCCCGCCGCCGGCCGTCGACAGAAACGACGCCATTCCAGTGCATGCACACGTTGACCCTGGCATCTTTCCCATCCATCGATCGGTCCCCGTGGGGTGCCAAGTCAAGCCGTCCGTGTTTGTGTGGACATGGGACCCGTCAAACGATCGCTGGACGACTTAACTGGCATTATAAGTGACCGACCGAGATATCGTCTGTGATATCGTGTAGACATGGCCAGTGCCGAGCTCGGGGGGCACGAACGTCGTCCCGGGGGGAAACTGGAACGATGGAGCTGCGGAGGGACATGCTGGGGCCGGGGGTGCGGCCGATGGTGGTGGTCGCGAGCTGAAAGTCGTGGGAGGGGCAGCAACGGCTGCTAAATACCGCGACGCAACGTCCGAATAGGGTCTTGACAGAGTTGACGCAGGTCGTGTCGAGGTTGCGGTAATTGCGGGTGGAGGAATTGCGGTGGCTACAGCTGGTGCAGTGGATGCGGGTGGTGAAGGGCCATTCAATGACGGGGTTTCTATAGATGAACCGCATGACGCACAGAACTTTGAGCTGGGAGTCGAAAGTGCGGCTCCGCATTGACGGCAGGGACGACTTTGCGAAGACATTTGTGGAGGTGACGGCTGTGCGGTCGTGGGCACCGCAGGTTGAGATGGGCTTTGACCACAGGAGGAACAATGCTTGCGTCGTAGGCTTTCGTGGGCGTCACCGTGACCGCAAGGATGGATGGCATGCTGGTCGAAAGTAGAAGGCGACGAGAACGGTCGACGAGTTCTCCCCACGACTGATTTCTGCGGCGTTTCACGAGGCAAAGCCTTGGGCGCCGACGACCTACTACTTCGCTCCAGTTGGGCTAGTTTCGCGTCGGCCATTGCCCGTTTTGCAGCGGCGATCTCGCGCGCACGCTCTTCGTCGGATTCCTTTTGTGGCTGCTCGCGTCGGAGCTTTTCCTCGGCATCAGATGCGTTCAACCGGTATGGCCGACGACTTGACGATAAAGGCGTTGCAGGAGTTGGCGGAGCTTCTGCAGGGGAAGTGGCCGAAATGAGGCTCCTTCGAGTTGCCGAGCCGCAAGACGGACAGAATTTCGTTGTCGATGATGGCAGGCCGACGCCACACGATGCACACACAGCAGAAGCTGGCAACGGCGAGGTTCCGAGCGATTGTGGTGTGCCACAGCTCATGCAGAATCGACTTTTGGGCGGCAAGGCCTCGGAGCAGTGGAAGCAAACGGAGCTTTGCCGCGGCATTCGTCGTCGAATGCGCGTCCAAGATGGAAGTCGACATGACCCATGTAAACAATTGGGTGTCCAATCAAAGCAACCCATTTGGTTGCTTCAGCCAATCAGTATCTATTATTTGAATTGATTAACCAATCGGTGATGACTACGCGAGTGTTTTGGCCAATGATAGCGTAGGTCATCGTAACAATCGGTCCAACCCCGATCGAATGGAGACACTCTTGGTCGTCCCGCGGGTATCGCTGCCACAACGCCATGACGGAAGCGGCGACTTCCGCTCGGTGATCTATATGGAAGAAGAGGCTCTGCATGGTGATTTCGACGAGGCATGCATGGCATCCATCCATCAAGGTTCCGTGAGCGACTCAAATCACGCCGACTCTCCGATCGCCTTTGGGCAAGTTCACTCCGTTGTCTGCCTACCACACCGCTTGCAGGACGTTGCAGAGGCATATTCGGAGCTCGGGCTTCCTGTTGCATTGGTGTCGTATGGTCTCGCTGTGTCATTGCAACGCTCATTTTCGGATTCATATGTGGCTCCGCGAGCGGACGGCCTGCACGTCAGCGACGAGTACGACTGCTACATCGTCACCATTCGGCCATCCTCGTCAGTCATTCCGGCGGCAACTAACGTCACCCTGCATCTCCCATCGCTTGAATCCTCTCCATTCCCATCCAAGATTGCTCGCGCCATGGAACATGTCGCTGGTCATGTACGTCGTGGAGCGTTATTCAATGTCACGCTGAATTCGTAGCTTCTGAGCGGCACCGTCGTGTGGCATCGCCGCGTGGTGCCTATCACTTGGCGCCACACACTTGAATTCGCACACGTCAGTCTCGATGCGTCGTCACATTCCGCGCTGTCTGTGGTCGACGCAGCTACAGCCGTCACTGTCACGTCCGCCGCGCTGCCTCGACGAGATACTCGTTCGCCTGATAGCTCCGCTCCATTATCTTCTTCTCTCATCGACCACATCTTGCGGCACGTGAGCGTCGGCATGGCGGGCTATACCACCGAAGTACGTCGCATAGTGTCAACCATCGTCCACGCACTGGTTCCTCCGCCACAACTCCCACTTGCGTTGCCGATCGGCATGGTGCTCAGCGGCGTGCCTGGCGTTGGCAAGTCGCATATTCTTCGTCTCGTGCAAGCGTCCTTGAACGACTACCTCCCCACGCGGCTGCATTGCGTCATGCTGTCGGCGCCAGATTTGTTTCATACGCAGGTCGGGCAGTCCGAAGCTCATCTCGCGGGCATATTTGCCGCGGCGATGGAATCCTCGGTCCCTACCTTGGTGTGTATTGAGGACTTGGACGCCATTGCATCTACATCGTCCGGTGTTGCGCTCGACCAGGCGCTGCTTGGCGTGCTCTTGGCATGCTTGGATCAAGCCACGACCAACCAGTCCAAACTTTTCGTTGTCGGTACGACCATCGATGCTCGTGGTGCGACTGTCCTCGTGGGTTCCCTGCAGGTACAACGAACCGCCTGGACGCTCTCGACCCGTCCGTGCGCCGGCGCCTCTCTCATCACGTCGCGCTGCGCCCGCCCAGCGAACTTGATCGGATCGCCATGCTCGAGCTGGTACAGTTTGTACGCTGCTTGCAGCGACGATGCTGTTTGGATGCCAAGGTTTTGCAATTGACATGGCCATGTAGATGAGTCGGCAAAGCACCCCACCGTTGCCGTCCCCGTCGGTGTTGCAACAAGTGGCGGGGCGGACGTCAGGATTTGTCGGCGCAGACTTGCTGCACCTTGTGCGAGAAGCCATGTTGTACTCGATCCATGTCGCAAAGTGTCCTGGTGCCCTCCATGACATGGCTGCATGGCAGCACGGCCTCACCCTCGTACGTCCCTCGAGTATCGTCGAGCACTCGCAGCCGTCGCAAGTGGCACCAATGCCGCCGCTGTACGGCCTCGACAACGTTTGGAAGACGCTGGACGTGGCGCTGTTGCAGCCATTGCAAGACTCGTCGCCGTTCCGTCGCATGGGCATCTTCCCTCCCAAGGGGGTCCTAATCACAGGTCCGTCCGGCGTCGGCAAGTCGCACCTCCTGGCCGTGCTCGGCGCTCACATCCAAAAGCGCGCCACGTGTTTATCGGTCAAGTGCACCGACTTGGTATGTGTGCAGCGGTGTTCATGCACGCTTTGGAATGTGATGTCCATGACCGCGCCGTTGTCTTGCCAGGTCACCAAAGTCGTTGGTGGGACAGAGGCGGCGCTGGCGGCACTGTTCGCAACGGCCCGCGTCGCCGCGCCGTGCGTCTTGCTGTTTGACCAAATCGAGAGCCTCGCGCCGGTGCGCGGCTTCGACACCACCACTGAACAGACTTTTGACCGGGTGTTGAGTTGCTTGCTGACCGAAATGGATGGTTTCCATCAAACTGGTGGCAGCAAAGGTGGGCGTGTTCGGCCGAGACGGTGGATGAACTCAATGGACATGTGCCCATGGATGCTCGTAGACATGCGGCGGTGGACGCACCAAGAATTTATCCAGCAACACGTTGTTGTAGTCGCCACAACGACGACTGCATCTCTGTTGGACTCGTCCATCTTACGCCCAGGGTATGTGTCCACCATCGGTATGACATGAAATCTTCAACGAGGTTGCCAGGCGGTTTGACATGGAGATTGCTCTGGAAATGCCGACAGCAGCGGCTCGTACGGCGGCGCTGACGCATTTGGTGGGCGCGACCCCGATATCGTTGGAATCGTCGCCGTTTGGCACGCTCGATGCGCTCGTGGCGTCGCTCGTGGACCGAACGGAAGGCGCGACAATCGGACAACTGCATGCGGTGTTCCAAGAAGCCGCCATGGCGTCGTTGAGAGAGTCGATTCATGTGGCACACATTCAAGTGGCGACGCTCGAGCGAGCGTGTGACCAAGTGGTACTGCGACAACATGCACTTGTCGAGTTGAACGATGGTGGACTGTATAGGTGGGGACGAGATTTCAGCGGAATGAGGAAGGAGCGGACAACGATGCATTAGTCGAGGCAGTCGAGAAGACGTCGCTAGGTGACACGGACAAAGAAGACGCGTAAAGAAACATACCGTTGTTGAAAGAAATCATGCACTACAACCTATGATCCTGCTTGATACACACACGTCAATCAACCACACGAGATCAGCGACGATGGCTCCGATTCGCCTTTTTGAGCTCTCATCGAGCGACAGACTTTTGACGCGACCATGCTGGAGCAACCATGTGAATTAAAGAATACCATGTCCTCCACATCCTTCTATTGCCCTCGAGCAACTTCACGATGGGCCTTCGCCTGGGTGGAGAGAGTTGGTGACGCCGAGATGCCGTCCACTCAACTCGTTTGTGAGCGCGCCTGTGTCATCTAGACACGTTGTCCACACACATAGAGGCAAATTCTTGTGCCAGCATGCATGAAGACCGACGTCGTGGTTGCACATGGTCACGATCCATCTTCTCCAGATCGATATCGTTTCTTCCTCGCCATCGTTTCCTCCAACTGCTCGCAAGAAGTGGAATGTGGGGTGGCGGAGGATGTCCGGATAAACACACGGATATATCTAAAATCCCTATTGATCCATAGGGTAGTTGAGTATTGAATGAATGCTTCAACAAAAACCCTAAATATTTCTCTAGGGTATTTGGAGATCGTACAAGCATATGCGTTCGGAATATGGGGGTGCAGCCGAAGTGGGCATGGTACGGCACGGAGATGGCACCGACCGACACCGCAGACACCGCGGAGGACCTGATCGGTGTGCATATTCCCATGGTTCCACCTGCCAAATATGCAGGGCTGCGCTTTCTGAATGACGGGACGCCATTGACGACCCCAATGACGTTAACGCACTCGAAGAACACGGCCATACTCAACGAAGTCGCGATGGAATACCCCTTCTCCCCGGAATTCATCCGCGTCATGACGTCGCAAGAGCTACAAGACAAAGTTGTGTCGGCCACGGCGGCGTACTTTTCATTGACCAATCCAGTTCACATTCCTGAGGTCGACATGACGGTGATGCAGTTCTACCGCGATCAACAGGGCTGCATGACGTGGTATCTCGTTCTGGACGGACCGTTGGAAGAGCACGTGATCGCGTCGCCGCTTGATGTGGAGGACGTCGACATCGAAGACGAAGGACCAGCGGCAGTCGTGCGGTACTGGAACGATGAAGTCGTCGTGTGTGCGGCGACCTTTCCAGAGTTTTTATACCGGACGTGGATTGAAAACCAGATTTGGTTTCGACTGAACGAACCGGACGGCGACGTTGCAAAGTCCGCCTCGACGTTTGTCGCCGCCGAGTGCACGTGGTACGAAGGGGAAAACTGGAAGGTCGGTCGGACGTGCCGATAACGGAGATGTCGTCCAAGCACGTGGAGAGGTCGAGGACTCAGCGTAACACGCATGATACACCCACAATCAAGCAGTCGGCGTTCTGGTAATGTAAAGTTTGGGGCGGCCACGTATCTGCCAGCCAAGCATCGGCCCTGGACTACCGTGGCTCACGGCATGGACGCATCCTGAACGCTGCATGGAGAGCCTTCCCAAGGCGGTGGAATACATGTCATACAGATCATCGTCGTTGTATTAGCAGATGGATCGACGCCGCCCTGGTGTGTCGAGGCCGCATGCACCAGAGTGGATGAGGTTTGGCCGACCCGTGGGTGCAGCTGCGCGTGCGGGTGAGCAGGGGCGGCGTCGTCCGAACCAGATGATTCCCGTGGCGAGAACACACACACCGGGTATTTGACAGTTCACCCGTTAGTTGACGTTAATACCGTGAAAAGGACAGTCAATGGCGAACGGGGAGCGTCAAGAGTTGGACGATTGGTTTGCTTGAGGTCCATGGGGGAAGGAGCCGGCGCCGCCCAGCCTATCGGCAAACCATGGCCAGAAAGTCACATGCAATGAATGCAGCAGTGGTGCGATGGTGGAGGCCATGGCTCTGTTTGGCTATCCTTGCCGTCCCCAGTCATGGCGAACTCAACGGTGACCAACTTTGCGCCACGTCGACAGAGTTGCCGGTCATTGGCAACCTCGACATTGGACGCGTCTCTCTCCGCGTGAATCGATCCACCCTCACCACAGATTGCCGCGGCGTGTCGTTTGGAAACGCCAGTAACCACAGCTCCACAACGACGACGTGCACTTGGTTCGCTAACGGCACCGTGATCCGCATGGCCGATGTCCGGTGTTCAACGTCGACACTGGAACAAGTGTACACCCTTCGCGCATTCCCTTCGAACCCGCACGTCGACTTTGTGCAGGACCTCCCATCGGTCTTCTCCACCATGTACGTCTACCTGCAAATCCCGTCAACGACAACTTGCGTCGTTACCTCCCTCCCTCTAGCATTCTCGACAGAATGGGCATCCATGCCGTGGCGACAAACCTGACGCACGACAGCGCTGGTCATGCCGTGTCTGCGAAAAGAATGTAAGCACGCCGCTGCCTTCGTCGTTGTCACTCGGAAAGGGATGGCTGTAGTCAATTGGAGTTCAACTCGATCCATTCGATCGACGGTGTCCAGTGGCCCATGGGTACCCGCATCTTGTACGACGCGTCGTCGTCATGCTTCAACGTACTGATGCTCCCTTGTGCAGGCAACTCGACCACAACACGATCGAAGCCATCGGCGACATCGCGGGCAACAATTCCAAGCTAGCGACGCTGTATGGCGCATGACCCTTTCCATGACAACCATCTCAACCTCGAGCAGGTCGCTGGTTGGAAACAGCATACACGCCCTTGACGATGCCATGGTTCTTCCACGCAACCTCACTCAACTGTACAGCTCCCTCATGCACATACCTTCCGTGCTCATCCACGTCGGGGTAGGCATCTTGACTTCAACCAGATTGCGTCCATCGCCAACACAACCCTGTTCCCTACCTCCCTTCGCCACTTGTACCATTTTTCGTCCTTCCACCATGGATAGTCACGCAACATGCAGGGGACTCTCTGGGAATCGCCTGGAATCGTTGCCCCCACGAGGGGTCTTGCCATCTGCACTTGCCACGCTGTACGTCTCCATTTCTCGCGAATGGCGCGCCATCCTCCTCACACCTTGCATCCAACATGTTTCAACAGAGATATTGCGTTCAACGGCCTGTCCAGCCTCGACGCGGCGGTGACGTTTCCCGACGCCTTGACCAAGTTGTACGTACATGACCACGTTGTCGTCGCTGCCTCCAACCGGGCATGTAGAGACGCATCGTTCAACAAGATCACTGAAATCGTCGCAAATTTTCCTCCAACGCTGACAACACTGTACGCGATCTCACGTCTTCATCCACGTGACGGCGACCACGCGATCTGTAGGTGCTTGGCCGGGAACAACATCACGGCATTTTACGCGAACGAATCTCAATTTGAATTGCTCTCGCAGCTGGCCAACCAAAGCCCCAACTCGACGCTCAGCGATGACCATCCGATCGATGATTTTTGCCACGTCGTCTTCACCACCACCAACACAAACAGCACGTGCGAAAACCACTCGCACGTTGCGCTCCTGTGGGGCACGTTTCCCATCTGCATCGTGCAGGACGATTCGCCCGGCAGTTCAACGCTGCTGCCGATTGTGGTCACGAACGAGCCGACGGAAATAGAACCCGAGCCAAATCGGTTGCCTTGGCTGTCCGTCGGGCTGGTGTCCGCAGGTAGCGTCCTGCTCTTGGCGCTTCTTGTCGTCGAGCTCCGTCGACGGAAGCCCGGTCGTCCTGCAGCGCACCCTCCCATGCACGTATCGCATTCGGCATCGTTACCCGTCGATGGGTTTGCCACGTGGCGCGTGCTGGAGTCGCCGCCTCCGTTTGTATCGTCGCCCATGTCGTCGCCAGCAATGTCGTTTTCTTCGATTGTCTCGAATGACATTCGATTTGACGCGACGATGCAGCCGTATGTCGTCCCCGACACGACAGTCGTCCATCGCAGGCGCATCTTGGCTTCCGGCGGCAACGGAATCGTGTACCTAGTCTCGCTCACCACCCACACGCACTCGCGCCTGGCTGCCATGAAGTGTATCTTGCCCTCTCTTGCGACCGACGCCGCCGCGATCGCTCAATTCATGCACGAAATGCGGTTGACGGCGTCCCTGGAACACCCATGCATCGTGTCGTTTGTTGGGCTCTCGTGGACATCGCTGCATGATCTATCCGTCATGACCGAGTACATGGACGGCGGCGACTTGTGGAACGTCCTCACGCTCACCCGACCATCCTGGTTGACGTGGCATCTTCCCCACCACATCGCTTTGGAGGATGCGCTCCATTGGCGACGTCAAGGCCAGAACGATGGCGAGGCCGCGTCTACCTGCTCACGCCGCCAACGCCGACCATTCTCCAAGTTGTCGGTTGCCCTCGACGTCGCGGAAGCATTGGCATATCTGCATTCACTTCCTCGCGTTATTGTGCATCGCGATCTCAAGGCAAAAAACGTCCTGCTCGATTCCACGTGCACTGCCAAGCTGGGCGATTTTGGAAGCAGCGTGATCTTGACTGGCCATCCGCACCGGGTTGACAAGTCGAGGATGACTGGGGGCACAGTCCCGTGGTCAGCTCCGGAAGTGCTTCGGAGCGACCAAGCTCTCGAGGCAGCCGACGTGTTTTCGTTTGGCGTCCTCCTCTCCGAAATCGACACTGGCCTCATCCCGTATTCCCATCTACCGGCATGCGTGCCGCACGACGATGTGACGGTGGACATGGCGCGTGCCCGCGTCGCCATGCTCGTCCTCGGCGGCACAGTCACGCCTCAGTTCTCGGACGAATGCCCCGACAGCATCCGAGACATGGCCATGCGATGCCTCGCCTACCACCCCGACGACCGACCCACGGCCCGCCAACTTGTGCAATGGTGCCAAACTCTGCTAGCTTGCCAATCCCATATTTAATAGGTGTATAGAATTCGCAATTATTTAACCACGAAATTTGGCGCTTGTTCGTTCCCACTTGTGTCCAAGCCTCTGCAGCGATTGCCTCTCTTGCGCTCCTCGCAAGAGAGGCGATCGCCTGGTCTGGAATCGTGCGGTCATGAAGACCGAGCAAGGCCAATGGACTTCGTGCGAGCGGCTTCTACAAATAGTAACAGATCATCCCTCTACCTCAAAGCATTCCATGCCAGCCCCAGGGCGCAGAAGCAGCACCGCCTCCTCGCCGTTCGGTCTGCGGTCGAGTGGTATCTAGGCCGTCAAGTGCCGTCCGTCGCGTGTGCAACATGTCGGAAAACCAGGCACGCCGTGATGACGATGTGAGATGCGGCCAGTGGATTTCGCCTCGGGGAAGCATCCACGGCAAGATTTGCCTCATTTCGATCCAATTGGGACAAAATATCCCAAAATCCAGAAGGATTTGTCCCGATATTCACATATTCACTCAGTACGTTACTCGGCAGCAGACTCGAAACAGAATGTTGGTCGAAGGGAGGGGCAACGTATGCAATGTCACCCCGCCTGTGACTTCCCTCGAGCTACGTGGCCCTCTCCACCAGTCACCCCCCTCATTCGGCAATATGCCACTCTCGTTATCCGGATGACCACAGGAACATACTTGCAGTTTGCATACATCGCACGCGCGATTTCTGGCCCAAAACGGACCCCGTATCCGGATTGTCGAAGAGGCGACCAAATGTTCCACGCCTACAAATAGCTGGACGTTTGAATTTTGAATCATCCATACAAACGCCAAGTGAAACCCTCAAGAACTGTCGTTGCCTCGGCACAGGATGCAGGCGGGAAGTTGGTATACATACCTTTTAATTACTATTCGTATACTAACACCTTGTTCAATCAGAGATGGGGCGAACATGTCCACCTCATACCTCGAATTTCTTTGTACACCACAGACCGCTGCCGCGCTCCATCTCGGCAGGCCAAGCAGTCCACGAAGAAGGATCCCCACGCGCGAATTTGACCAGGGAACACTCAGCAGGTAATGGAGACGATAGGTTGGCAGATGTGCAGCTCGACGATCTCTGTCCTTGCGCGATGGGTTCGGTCAGTCTGGCCTTTCTGCTGACGTGGGAGGATGCATGGACGAGCAAGGAGCGCTAACGCTCGGCGTGTAGATCAGAAGAACATCGAATACAGCAACATGTACCCCGGAAGTGGTGCACCAGGAGGCGTTCCTCGTCGAGGGAACCCAAACCCAGTCAACGTGGGTGTCGTTGGAGGTGGCGTCCCAAATGGACCGCAATCGGTGAGCGGCGTGGGGTCGATGGGTCGAGGAGATCTGCGGCACCAGGATTTGCGTGATATCCGCGGCAACATCGGGATCCCCATAGGCATGGGCAACAACCAGAACGTGGGCGTCCAGAACCCTGGTCCTCAGCAATTGGCGGGAGGCAGTGCGTCGCGCGTGGTGGAGATGCTGGAGAGTGCCAAGAACGAATTTGAGAGCGTCCTGCAGCAACTGAACATCGCCAAGATCGAAAACTTGGAGTTGGAGCGCAAGATCACGGCCCAGGTGGCGGAGATGGATCAGATCCAACAGACTATCAAGGCGTTGGAGCAGAACCAGCGCCGCATTCGGCAGCAGTACGACGACGACGTACTCCGGCTGCGCCGGCAGCTGGAAGGCGGTAAGATGATGCCGCCTGCACAACAGCAGAAGCGACCCCGTGACGACCAGAACGGACCTCAGTCGATGCCTCCGCTGCAAGTCAACACGGGGCCTCCGATGCTTCCGTCGCGAGGCCCTCGCGGCACGAGTCCGGTGCGTGTGGCGCCAGCTCCTTCGATGGGCCGTCCAGCTGGGCTGGACGACCGTGACCGCTCTCGGTCCATGCAGCCTCAGCACCAGGGTCCGTTGGACCGCAGCCAGGAGCGTCCGATGCAGCCTCAGTCGTTGGCGCCGTTGGAAGGGTCGCTGCACACCCCCACTGGTCGCCGAGGCCCCATGCCTGGCTTGTCTTCTCGTAGCAACGACCAAGACGGCCGGTCTGGAGAAGACCTCCGCGACCGCCAGTCGCGAGAACAGTTGTCGGACCGCGACAACCAAGGCCGTCGCATGCAGATCCAAGGCCCCCCTGGCTCAGGAGGCAGCAATGCCACCAGCAACAACATGGGCGGAGAAGGGTCAGCGAGCTCTTCGCCGGTGCTGAAGAAGAGCAAGTCGACAAGCGGCAGCTCAGAGATCCGGTCGTCGAAGAGCGGTTCGTCCAACGGGGGTCCTTCGTCGGGCCAACCGAGTCATGGGTCTGCGCTGTCTGGTGGAGCGTCGTCTGGTGGGTCCGGCCAGGGTCTGCCGTTGCCGTCGTCGTCGCACAAGATGCACCACTTGAGCAAGATCAACTCGTCGGAGAACGGGTCAGAGGCGCTGCCGTCGTCCAGCAATAGCGGTCCGTCGACGCCTCCGGGCTCGAGCAGTGGCGTCCCGACGGGAGCGTCGACACCGAACGTGAATGGCTCGTCGACGTCCAAGCAGAGCAAGGTGAAGTGGGCTCTGACGTACACGAACAGCAACAAGGGCCCGGGAGTGGCGGACACGGAGCGTCCGGTGGTGGAGATGTTCCACACGTTGGACCACCAGAGCGTGGTGTGTTGCGTGCGTTTTTCGGCGGACGGGACGAAGTTGGCGACGGGGTGCCACAAGACGGCGCAGGTGTTTGACGTGCAGACTGGCGCACGCACATTTTGGGTGCAGAGGCCAGCGATCAAGGAGACGGCGGCGCCTGCAAACGAGGCGGAAGACGCGTATGTCCGTGCTGTGTGTTTTTCGCCGGACGGCACTAAGTTGGTGGCTGGGATGCCCCAGAACACGATTCGAATTTGGGACATGGCGTCGAACGAAGAGGCGCCGCCGCTCATCGGCCACGACGCCGAGATTTATTCGCTGGACTATGTGGGCAACCACATTGTGTCGGGGTCGGGCGACCGAAAGGTGCGGCTCTGGGACGCTCGCACGGGCCAGTGCCAGGCTGTGTTTGGCAACGAGAGCGGAGGTCCGTCGGATGGTGTGACGAACGTGGCGTTGTCGCCGGACGGCCGCTTGTTGGCCGCGGCATCGCTGGACAAGGTCGTGCGAATCTGGGACACCCAAACGGCTCAATTGATGGATCGATTGGAAGGTCACAATGATTCAGTGTACTCATTGGCATTTTCCCCGGATGGCAAGAACATTATCTCTGGCTCACTGGACAAGAACATCATGTTGTGGGACGTGTCGGCATCCGGACGCACGACGGCTCGTCCTCGCTTGCTCTTCCAAGGCCACAAGGACTTTGTCTTGTCCGTGGCTTATACACCCGATGGACGGTATGTTGTGCTGAAATGTAACTTGAGATGTGGGTGCTAAGTGTAACCTCGTAGATGGGTCATGAGTGGGTCGAAGGACAGAACTGTCATGTTTTGGGATCATCGTACTTCGCGGTCTGTGTTGACAGTTGGTGGCTACCGCAACTCGGTGATCAACGTGCATTCGTCGCCAGCGTCGCCGTATTTTGCCACGGGTAGCGGTGATTGCTTTGCTTGCATCTGGAAGTACCAGTGTCAAACTATTTAACAATCTGTAAACAGAATGTATTGTTTGGATCGAGCGCTATGTTTGTCTCGAAATGAATTCGACTCGGGCCACACACTACGCCCATGAGTCCACTGGCATTCTAATGTTGAACAACAAGCGGCATCGTGCATTCATGCCTCATGTACTTAGCCATCACACTCCATCATGATACAGCAAAACCCACTCGATTCCGACAAGAATTGCTTGGCGCTGAAGTGGAATGCAAAATCCTTATGCATAGGCTTTCCAACACAACGTCGTCATCAACGAGCTGTCCATGAACGTTTGTTACCTCTGTACGACATGGATCTGAATGCGATGAGCACTCGCATGGGAAAGCCACGACTAGGACTACTCCGCACTCGGTGATTGAGTTCAACTGGTCGAAAGCGGAGGATGTATACAATTCTCCCGCCTACGACATCCCTCTCGGATGTCCACCAGTCGCAAGGTCCATTATCCGGATTACTCTGCTAACACATGACAGAAGTTCGTCAGTATCCGGAAACTCCTCATCGTTGTTCCGCTCATGCTTCAAGCGTATCCACGTCTTTGAAATTTGAAAATCGTCATACGTAAAACAAGATTAACGGATGGGCTGAACTTGTCGTGGACAACTCGCGGGATGCAGGCGGGGTGGAAATATACACACCTTACACTCACTATAGTATACAAGACACCACTTTAATCAGAGATGGGGCTAAGTTGACCTCACGAAAACCCGATTTCCTCCCTGCACCACAGACCGCTGCCGCGCTCCATCTCGGCAGGCCAAGCAGTCCACGAAGAAGGATCCCCACGCGCGAATTTGACCAGGGAACTCTCAGCAGGTAATGGAGACGATAGGTTGGCAGATGTGCAGCTCGACGATCTCTGTCCTTGCGCGATGGGTTCGGTCAGTCTGGCCTTTCTGCTGACGTGGGAGGATGCATGGACGAGCAAGGAGCGCTAACGCTCGGCGTGTAGATCAGAAGAACATCGAATACAGCAACATGTACCCCGGAAGTGGTGCACCAGGAGGCGTTCCTCGTCGAGGGAACCCAAACCCAGTCAACGTGGGTGTCGTTGGAGGTGGCGTCCCAAATGGACCGCAATCGGTGAGCGGCGTGGGGTCGATGGGTCGAGGAGATCTGCGGCACCAGGATTTGCGTGATATCCGCGGCAACATCGGGATCCCCATAGGCATGGGCAACAACCAGAACGTGGGCGTCCAGAACCCTGGTCCTCAGCAATTGGCGGGAGGCAGTGCGTCGCGCGTGGTGGAGATGCTGGAGAGTGCCAAGAACGAATTTGAGAGCGTCCTGCAGCAACTGAACATCGCCAAGATCGAAAACTTGGAGTTGGAGCGCAAGATCACGGCCCAGGTGGCGGAGATGGATCAGATCCAACAGACTATCAAGGCGTTGGAGCAGAACCAGCGCCGCATTCGGCAGCAGTACGACGACGACGTACTCCGGCTGCGCCGGCAGCTGGAAGGCGGTAAGATGATGCCGCCTACACAACAGCAGAAGCGACCCCGTGACGACCAGAACGGATCTCAGTCGATGCCTCCGCTGCAAGTCAACACGGGGCCTCCGATGCTTCCGTCGCGAGGCCCTCGCGGCACGAGTCCGGTGCGTGTGGCGCCAGCTCCTTCAATGGGCCGTCCAGCTGGGCTGGACGACCGTGACCGCTCTCGGTCCATGCAGCCTCAGCACCAGGGTCCGTTGGACCGCAGCCAGGAGCGTCCGATGCAGCCTCAGTCGTTGGCGCCGTTGGAAGGGTCGCTGCACACCCCCACTGGTCGCCGAGGCCCCATGCCTGGCTTGTCTTCTCGTAGCAACGACCAAGACGGCCGGTCTGGAGAAGACCTCCGCGACCGCCAGTCGCGAGAACAGTTGTCGGACCGCGACAACCAAGGCCGTCGCATGCAGATCCAAGGCCCCCCTGGCTCAGGAGGCAGCAATGCCACCAGCAACAACATGGGCGGAGAAGGGTCAGCGAGCTCTTCGCCGGTGCTGAAGAAGAGCAAGTCGACAAGCGGCAGCTCAGAGATCCGGTCGTCGAAGAGCGGTTCGTCGAACGGGGGTCCTTCGTCGGGCCAACCGAGTCATGGGTCTGCGCTGTCTGGTGGAGCGTCGTCTGGTGGGTCCGGCCAGGGTCTGCCGTTGCCGTCGTCGTCGCACAAGATGCACCACTTGAGCAAGATCAACTCGTCGGAGAACGGGTCAGAGGCGCTGCCGTCGTCCAGCAATAGCGGTCCGTCGACGCCTCCGGGCTCGAGCAGTGGCGTCCCGACGGGAGCGTCGACACCGAACGTGAATGGCTCGTCGACGTCCAAGCAGAGCAAGGTGAAGTGGGCTCTGACGTACACGAACAGCAACAAGGGCCCGGGAGTGGCGGACACGGAGCGTCCGGTGGTGGAGATGTTCCATACGTTGGACCACCAGAGCGTGGTGTGTTGCGTGCGTTTTTCGGCGGACGGGACGAAGTTGGCGACGGGGTGCCACAAGACGGCGCAGGTGTTTGACGTGCAGACTGGCGCGCGCACATTTTGGGTGCAGAGGCCAGCGATCAAGGAGACGGCGGCGCCTGCAAACGAGGCGGAAGACGCGTATGTCCGTGCTGTGTGTTTTTCGCCGGACGGCACTAAGTTGGTGGCTGGGATGCCCCAGAACACGATTCGAATTTGGGACATGGCGTCGAACGAAGAGGCGCCGCCGCTCATCGGCCACGACGCCGAGATTTATTCGCTGGACTATGTGGGCAACCACATTGTGTCGGGGTCGGGCGACCGAAAGGTGCGACTCTGGGACGCTCGCACGGGTCAGTGCCAGGCTGTGTTTGGCAACGAGAGCGGAGGTCCGTCGGATGGTGTGACGAACGTGGCGTTGTCGCCGGACGGCCGCTTGTTGGCCGCGGCGTCGCTGGACAAGGTCGTGCGAATCTGGGACACCCAAACGACCGAGTTGATGGATCGATTGGAAGGTCACAATGATTCAGTGTACTCATTGGCATTTTCCCCGGATGGCAAGAACATTATCTCTGGCTCACTGGACAAGAACATCATGTTGTGGGACGTGTCGGCATCCGGACGCACGACGGCTCGTCCTCGCTTGCTCTTCCAAGGCCACAAGGACTTTGTCTTGTCCGTGGCTTATACTCCCGATGGACGGTAAGTTGCGACGCTCATGGAAGAAGTGGTCCTTACGTGGTATTCATGTTAGTTGGGTCATGAGCGGATCAAAGGACCGGTCTGTTATGTTTTGGGATTATCGTACTTCGCGACCCGTGTTGACCATCAGCGGCTACCGCAACTCGGTGATCAACGTGCATTCGTCGCCAGCGTCGCCGTATTTTGCCACGGGTAGCGGCGACTCGTTCGCGTGTATCTGGAAATACCAGTGCCAAACAATTTAACCTAACTACTTCGTGAATGCCATGACGTGGACTAGCTTGAAGAGGCGAGAACTGCGCCCAGCAACGTTTCATTACATTCATATTCACAGTCAGGATAGAAGCACATGGAAAGAGCACAGGGAAAAATAAATAGGACGCTCTCGACGGGGCTACGACGAATCGGTGGAGTTTGGGCGACCCGACACGGGACTCACGGCAGGACTCAAACCCAGCCGCACTCGCTTTATGGCACGGACTTCGCGGCTCACCTTGTTCCACCCGTCGACTATGCGCTGCATACCCTCGACAAGGTGTTCTTGTCCGAAGTGGAAAAGTGTCGGATCGAACGAACTGATGTGTTCGTGAGCTTGTGCGATGGCCGAGTTCAACGCGGCGAGTTCCAAATCCACGTCATTTGTACGATGAACGACGACACTGTGAAGATTTCGTAGCATCTTTTTGGCTTGTGTTAGATGCCGACGATACGGCCCAAGGACAACGTCAGTTTGGGCGGCTTCGTCCAATGTCTCGTGCATTTGGGCCTTGAGGAAGTTCATCATCACTGCGATCAAAGTTCGCATGTGTGCGCAATTGACAGTGAGGAATCGTTCTTTCGCGGGTAAATCGGCTTCGATGTACTCCTCCAAACTGCAGAGAAATTGCTCGTGCTGGCGGACTTCGCTCATGGCGTCAAACACGTCGTCACGAAAGTGAAAGGTCTTTCCCATGAGCTATTTGCAATTCACATGAGGTGGCATCGAACGTGATCGCATTGGGCACGTACTTTGGTCATGAGGGCATCCAATTTCGCCTCTAATTCTTCGCATCGAAGGCGGGTTCCACTGAACAAGATTGATTCGGACGAAGGTTTGTCTGTCATCTTTTCGTCCACGAGCAGTTGCTCAAGCTGCTTCAAGTGAGAGTCTACTCGAATAACCTCCATGAACTCACAGAAGCGAGAGATGGCGCGACTTACCATGGGGAAGCACGCGTTTCAGCGCATGGAAGTAGCACGCGACGATGGTGCGGGTGTCGGCAATCATGACGAAGGCAAGATCAAAATGGGTTATGCTGGCAGACAGAAACGGGCGGAATCTATGGCACATGTCGCACACGGCCTATACAAAACTCAAATGAACCTAGCTTCTTCAACCTGGATGTCGAGTTCTGGCGAATCTCGTTTAACTGGCCGTTCGAAAACCACCCTGAGGCGGACAACCCCACGTTCCAGCCACCGTTTCACAATCCATGCAGTCCTTACTCATGGGGTCGTCGTTCCTGTCATGCATGTGCACAGAGCCATGTGCCTTGCTATAGAGAGTTCGAACGATATTTCTCAAAGGAGTCACTGCTTCACGAATGTAATTCCAAGCAAAAAATACTATTTTTCGTTGTTGACAGTTCGAGAATTTTCTGAATTCTTTTATTTGAACGCTTCGAACGGCCCACCACGGTTGAGCCGTCTTGGAATGTAGGTGGTGCCGAAACTCTTTTATATCTCCAGCTGACCAGCATTCTAATTTCTTTAAATCCCAGCGGTTGGCGATTAAACCAATCAACTGCCGTGAATAGATTTCTTTTAATTCCGTTGGTCCAATCAAGCTGCAGATATTGGAACGAGAATTCCACTGTGGACGCAAAAAGACTCGCTTGGAACGCTTGGGGTGTTTGTTAACCCAACGCCAACCCCACCGCGGCCGACTCGCTGCTCTCTCAATCTATGCCGTCGGTCACCAAGACGGGAGAGTCGCCAAGTGCCTCCAATAGCCCAAGACCATCATCACCTCATGGTGACGTAGCTACTTCGGCAGCGTCGTCTGAAGTTCCTGGATTGGGCAGCGACATGGAGCAGGACTTCAGCATCTCGTGGACGATTGAGCACCTACATCTGTACAACCCCGACTTTCAACTTACGCCTGAAGTCATAGATCTGCTCCATCGTTTCTTCCACCAGCTTGACCCGGACGACCGTGGAGTTATATCAGGGACAGCGCTCATGGAAAAGATCCGACAAGTCGATCCGCACGAAATCCACTTCACGACGGACCAGTTGCATCAACTGAACGAAGAAAAGCTACAGCTACGCAAGCAACAAAGGTCTCAGTTGTCGTCCTTCCACGACGAAGTGTCCCCCGACGACGTTACTTTCGACGAGTTCTGCACCCTTGTCATGCGATGGAAGGAGATCAGTCCTGTGGGCGTGCAGATGGTGTACACGACGTGGGTCAAAGAGATGGGCGCCGTCGAATTCGGGCTGGTGAACGAGACAGATGGGATGTTTATGCTGGATCTACCTCCCAGTCCCAGTGCCCATCACGCCGACCCCGCCGTCGCCGCTCCCGTCTCGACCCCCGCCTCTTCGTCTTCTTCCACACCTGCAGGCGCCACCACCGTGGATGCAACGTCGACCGAATTTCGTTCGTTTGTGGCTGGAGGGTTGGCTGGCGTGATTGCCAAGTCCATGTTGTCGCCTGTGGATCGGGTCAAGCTGCTCTTCCAAGTGAGCGACCACCTGCGCTTCTCGCTGCGCAATGCGTTGTACATGGCATCGGACATTGTGAAACGAGACGGTGCGTCGAATTCATTTCACAGCGCGATGGTCTGACTGTGTGAATCGTGCAGGGGTGCAAGCACTGTTTCGAGGCAACACGATCAACTTGGTCAAGGTGTTCATGTCGGCCGGGATCCAGCACTCATCCTTTGACTACGTCCGGCGGCGCTTCCACGAGTCCAACTGCAACAATCACGACGGCTCGGCTCCGTATGTGAAGAAGCTATCCAACACCCAGCTCATTGCGTCGGGGTCCATTGCCGGTACGCCGCGCATCCATCGGCCGCCATCTCTCTGCAGTTTTGAATCGTGCGATGACTCGATGGCCTCACTATTTCTTTGTAGGCATGCTCTCGACCATGTGCACGTACCCGATCGATGTTGTTCGCACGCGGTACATGGTGCAACAAGGCAAAATCAAGTACTCGAACGTGCTGGATGCGGTTGTGTGCATGTACAAGGCAGAGGTAACGTAGCTGCATCGCGAATTGTCGACGTTGACGTTGAGACTGCGTGGCCGTAGGGCATTCGGTCGTTCAGTCGGGGGCTGTTTGTCAACCTGGTCGGCATCGTGCCATACACAGGCATTGGATTTTCGCTGAACGAGCGGTTCAAGCAAAGCATGGTGGAGTTCCAGCACCAGTACTTTGCCCCAGCCAACCCGGACTCGTTCCAGCTCTCTCCGTTCTCTAAGTTTATGTGCAGCTACTTGGCAGGGTCGATTGCGCAGACGGGTAACGTGGCTGGTGGCCCTATGTGTGTTTTGCCGGCTAACCGAATGTCCAAACTCAGTGACATATCCCCTCGACACGGTGCGAAGGCGCATTCAAACGGACGGGTATGTCACGGGGGCGGGCGACACCCGCAGGTACCTCAACATGCGCACGACGGTCAAGGCCATCCTCGAGCAAGAAGGTCTCCGCGGGTTTTATAAAGGGGCGTCGGTCACGTGGCTGCGCGTACGACTTCCAAAATCAACTTTCTCATGCTGACACGTCGAGTGTGTAGGGACCGCTCGCGACCGGCATCAGTTTGACCGCATACGACTTGTTAAAGGAGATTCTCGGCGTTGAAAAAGTTTAAATCACCCGTGTCTCATGCTAGTCACCCGGATGCGCATCATGCCGACGCATGGTTGGACGATGCACGGGCTTCATGTACGGCTGCCGTTGCATTCAAGCACCCACACGTCGTTCAGGTCCGCTTCGGGAGTCATCCCACCAAACACAACGAACGTCGACTCGTCCACGACACACGCGCAGTGCGCGAAGCGGCCAGCCAGGCCTGTCGCCGTCTCTTCGGGGTCCATGAAGGCCACATCGATGACGTGCTGGTTTGGGCAAGTCGAAGGGTCTTTTGGCTGGCCGACGACGAGTTGCAATGGCACAGGGCGCATTTGGCAGATCGAGGTGTCCCTATAGCCTGCACTTGAGGAAGTGAGACGACTGTGTTCTTGACAACGCTTGGGTTGCAATGCTGTCCAACTGCAATGTGGCCTACCGCGACGTCGTTCGCGGGACGTAGACGTGGATGCACAGGCCGGCGACGACTGCACGGACGAGTCGAGCGATAGCTCCCAGCAATCGCTCAAGAAATCTTGACCGCCTTCCCATCCACCAAAGTGCAGCCAGCGGGTCCTGCCAACGACGCCACTGGCATGTGCACATCGTTGCCATGCTGGCAGCGGCGTGATTGTCCACGTCCATGAATCTAAGCTTTGCGAGATGAAACTGGCCGATATACAGATGCCGCTGACGCACCTGTATTGAGTACACAAAGGTCGCTGCAGAGTTGCCCAGACGAGGATCGACCACCCACGACGAGGATGCGGTCGCCATCGACGCAAGCGGAATGCAGCTCCCGCTTGGACATCAAAGTAGAGGTGGGATAGATTCGACGCCAGCGCAGCGCGTCGCCGTCACTGGCAGGCCATGGAAGGAGGTAAACGTCGTTCATGGCTCCAACTTGCGGGGACGATCCACCAATGACGACCATGCCGTGGGCAGTTGCAACCGCCACATGCGAGTTCCGAGGAGGCGGCACATCCCCTCCGACAATCGGTCGCAACCACTTCATTTGCACTAGAAAGCGCGTTACGCGCAGTGTATTGGAGGATGTAGAAGTACCAGTATCCAACACATGCAAATCGTTAAATACTGTGTCGATTCGGAGGTTGGCTCCGCCAAACACGAAGATGCGGGAGCCCCAAGCCACCGCCGTATGACCACTACGAGGAATGAATGGTGCACTCTCTAGTAGCGGCTTTGCTTGATTCCATCGCATTGTTTCTGTGGAGAGTCCACTGTCAACCCATGCGCTCGTGTAAAGAGATATGGAGGTACCCCAGTCCAGGACATGGACGTCGCCAAATGCTTCTGCCGCACGGTTTGCTCCACCAATCAAGTATAGCAAAGTTTTCCCTTGCGCTGATGTCACCTGTTGCATACAGAAACGTGTGGAGGCACTCGGATATGGAAAAGTGGAATTGACTTACTGCGGTCAGTGTTGCCCCTCCTCGTTTGGCTGGGAGTTGAATGTCGTCATTGAGCATCTTGCATTCCGACAGCGTGAAGATGTTTTCGACTTCGTCGCCGTCAAGCGGCCCGTCCTTGCCGTCGACGATCTCTTCAAAGTAGAACACTTCTTGCCTTGTTGCCATGCTCAAGCGGCAGAATGTGAAAATGTCGAAGATCGAAAAGGTGGGCATTCGGATATTATCCGGCATATTCGACAAATTTTCACAAATATATTGCCATTGTCCAAGGTTCCCAAAAAACTACGAGTATGACATAATTTTAGTGTAGAATTGCAAAGATCAATATTTGACGAATATTCGAAAATGTACGGAATTTCATAAATATTGGTTTGGTATGCGTGAACGCCGGCGATTGGTGGATTCTGCGCAGACTGAAGTCGGTGGTTTTTGGTGCATTCATTCCAAAGCGCGATGCACTTCTGCCCGACTTGCGGCAATCTGCTGATGGTTGAGCCCGATGTGAGTGATGCAACACGTAGAAGCAACTTTCCTCACATTTATGCTTTCATGTAGAGTGATGGCATGCGTTTTTGCTGCCAGACATGCCCTTACATCTACAAAATCAACCAAAAGGTACAACGTGGGGTGTGGCTTGTTGGAATAAGTCGGTGAATACGAGCGCTGTGTAGGTTGAGACGAAGGTGCCGTTGCAACGAAAAAAGGTAGACGACGTACTTGGTGGCGATGAAGCGTGGGAAAATGTGGATCAAACCGACAGTAAGCCCTGCATGGACCAGAATGTTGTGACCCTCGCTGACGCATTCGTTTCATCCCAGCGCGTTGTCCGTTCTGCGAGCACACAAAGGCGTACTTCATGCAAATTCAAATCCGATCTGCAGACGAACCGTCGACAACATTTTACAAGTGCACGGGCTGCAAAAAGCAGTGGAACGATAAGTAAGCTCCAAGAACACACTCATGGTGAGCACACGGTTATTCTCCACCATCTCGAGCTCCTACCCACAATCCAAAAATGTAGTTTTGCATGTTTCGGATACATTGTTGCTGGTGGTTTAACTGTATTTCAATTGACGCATGCGCTAGCGTCGAATACTTGTGGGACTGCCGGCGCAACGAGCAGTGGGTAGACCTTTCCTAGCCTTCAGTCTTGACGCCTTTTTGGCACACGTAAATGTAATGGACGGCGTTAGCGTCAGCGGCGTCGGTAACTTGGACGGCGCTAACCGTCGGCTTGGGAACGGTGTGGACCGTGACTTTCCAGTGCAGTTCGTTGTTTTCGAGATAGCTCAATCGGTTGTCCGGCACGCCATAAGAAATGATAAAGAACACGCCATTGGGTTTGAGCACGCGGTAGATTTCTTGGCACATCTTGGCGACGTTGGCAGTCGACCCTTCACCACACAAGATTGAGTCCATCGTACCCTTGTCCACCACGCTGTCGAATGTTTCGTCAGAGAACGACAGTGAACAAACGTTCATCTGTTGCCACTGCATGCCTTCATGGCCTTCGTACTTTTTGCCCATTTGATCGATGACAACTTGCGAGACATCAATGTTCATAATCGTCTGAAACCCGTCATTGAGCATCTCTTCGCTCAGTCGAGAGTTGCCTGCGCCAGACATGAGCACGTTGTCTGTCTTCTTCAGGTACTGGAGCATGAGGTCCTTCACCCCAGCGTATCGCTGGTACCAGTCAAACTGCTCCGCATCCCTACGACATCGCGCGAGTCAGATGCACGTTTCCTGTGCAAGAATCATCTAGCACTTCTACGCACTTGGTGTATCGTTCGTCCCAGTACGATGCCTTGCCGTATTGCGCCATATCCGATCCTTCTGAAAATGGATGCCGAAATGGGGTCGCTGGTCGATGGCTCCTCACCGAGGCTCCATTACCTTGTTTTAGTGACTTGATTCTGTTATGACGTCCCTTTCGTAGCTTCAAAGTCAAAGATTCCCTTGGCATTACGACACTCGACGAATCCCAAACTGTATAAACGCATATTGTATTCATTCATAGAGAAGAAATTTCTAGAACCACGTTGGTTTCACCGAAAAACAACGAAAAGTCACATGCCGTTGGTCAACCAACAAAGCGGGACCTTGGCGTCTGGGAGCGCGCTGTGCGTCAGGCGCGGTCGATCTCGTTCGCATCTTGAAGTAGAATTCCCTTGCACGCAATGTCATCAGCGAAGGCTTCAATGTTGAGGGCAAATGCAGCTTGGACTTGCCCCAGTTGCCGTCGACTTCCATGGCTGCATTACCGGAAAGTCCCCTTGGCGCGAGCTCACCTCTTCGAACGGACTAGCAACTTTGAAGGCTGCACTCCTTAATACAGCCCTTACGAGATGGGGTACACATATTCATGCAAAGCATTCATCAGCTCATTGTCCTCGTGCGTTGACGCAAGGCTTGTGTCATCGGCGCACTCGCTCCACCTTGTTCTGTCACATCGACCCTATGCCTGAAGCGTCTAGTGCTTGTGACTGTACTTTCCCTTCGTCGCGTGCAACAATGAGCCTTCACATCCGAGCCTACCATTTCCTTCATCATGCTGCTTGCATCGGTCAACCGACGACTTGTTGGCATCATGTAGTTCGAAGAGGTTCTTTATCCGGATGAAACCAAGTATCCGGATTTGCGATCGCAATCACGCGGGCCTCCAGTTATCTTCCAGAAGCCCAACATCATGCTGCGTCTGGGAGTGTTCGGCCGCCGCCAGGTCCGAGCGTCGACGTCGACTGCATGGAAAATGTCTTTCTTGAGCTCCTCCTCTCGAGAATTCAGCGCCGCAGTGAACGATAACACTGGGGCGTTTTCGCATTACGTCCACAACAAGGAAATGGCCGAAAAATCACCAAGTGGCATCCTCAAACCAGATCTGGTACGGCGAGAACCGATGCAGCACCACCGATAGCTCAGAGTGCGGTGTGTGTGTAGGCAACATTCAAACGGCTGCCCAGCTTGGACGAGCCGATTCCAGGGTACGTGTACGCAATGCATGCTTTACCTAAATATCCAATCCCATCGTCCGCTGTTCCAGGCTGCCCGTGCTGAAACCGGCAAGCCAATTACAAGCACCACGAACTGAGACGACGGTGTTGCCAAATGGACTTCGCGTGATTTCACAAGAAACGTACGGCCAGGCGTCGACGGTAGGTCTGTTTGTGGACGCAGGGAGTCGCTTCGAAGATGGTACGGTGATCATTGCCCGATCAAGCCGTCAAACCGCGCTCATCGGAGCTTGCGCGATATGGCGCATATTCCTCATTGCTGCCTTGTAGATTCGAACACGGGAATCACGCACATGATGGAGCACCTCGGGTTTAAAAGTTCACACTCCAGGAGCCATGCCGACCTTGTTCGGTACGTCCTTTTCGTAGAGGTGGTTCGAGGTCATGCTTGTATCCTCTCACCTTTCGAACATGCGAACTCGGAGCTGTGCATGACATCCGTGTCAATTTGCAGGGAATTTGAAGACATTGGCGCCCAGACGACGTCGTCCAGCGGCCGCGAGCAGCTCATCTACACGGTGGACGTGCTTCGTGACAATGTCGATCGGGCGCTGGAGCTGCTCGCGGACGCGTTTGTGAACCCAGCGATCCTCGAAGACGAAGTCGAAATGACCAAAGTCATTATGAAAATCCAGTCTGAGGACCTAAAGGAGAACCCGCAGATGTTCCTGCAAGAGGTATGTATGGTATAAAACCCGGTCGTGATGGCAGCTTTGAACGAACGATCGCACGGTCGACACCGCATAGCGCATCCACAAGGCTGCCTACGGCGAGCAACACACTCTGGGGCGACCGCTCCAGTGCCCGCTGGAGAATGTCGACGCGCTGAACCGAGACACGGTCGTGGCGTACATGAACAAGTTTTTCGTCGCTCCGCGCATTGTGCTGGCAGGGTCTGGCATCGAGCATGCCGTGCTCGTGGAAATGGCCAAGAAGTACTTTGGCGCGCTCAAGGGACCCGAGGTCCCAGAGAAAGTGGCTGTCGAGCCAGCCGTGTACCGAGGTGGCCTCGAGGCGATTGAGAACGTCGACGCACCGTTCTCGTACGCGTCGCTCGCGTTTCCGACGGGAGGATGGCATCATGCAGGTGCGTCCGACCGACAAAAGGAGTGGCTACGATTGCGTTTGCTACCTCAAAACCACTAGATTTAGTGCCAGTGTGTGTGCTGCAGACGCTGCTCGGCGGCGGCGACTCGTTCTCGGCAGGTGGCCCTGGCAAAGGCATGTATTCCCGATTGTACACGGTGCGTGCGTTGGCGTCGTTTGCATCGTTTGTCGACGTAATGAGTCGCTGCGGTCGGCGTAGCACGTGCTGAATCGATACTACTGGGTCGAGTCGGCGCAAGCGTTCTCGTCGCTTCACAACGACACAGGGTTGCTTGGAATCTATGGCGCGTGCATGCCGGAGGCGACCGGTCAGTTGGTCGGCCTCCTCGTCAACCAACTGCTCTCGATTGCATGTACGTGTGCCGCCCACGACGTGCCAGTAGTTGCAAACCTGAATTCGTAGTGCATGGTGTGGACGCGACCGAGTTGTCTCGCGCCAAGAACCAGCTCAAGTCGTCCGTCTTGATGAACTTGGAGTCGCGGATGATTCTATACGAAGACATTGGTCGCCAGGTGCGTTCGCCACCGCAGGTGTTGTTGAACTCTTGGATCGCGTAGTTGCTCACGTACGGTGAACGTGAAAGCCCCGACGTGATCTGCGCCAAAGTCGACGCGGTCACAGCGGCCGACCTCCAGCGCGTCGTCCGGGAGGCGATGGAGCACAAGCCAAGCCTCGTGTACATGGGCAAGCTCACCGACTTTCCGAGCTACGACAACGTTGCCCAAGCCATCCACCAAGTGTTCAACCAGCCATCTCCGTCGCCGTAGCCGCTCGGTGTCGTAGAAGTTTGGTAGGTATAAAATGCATCATGAATTCCCACACACACACAATTCGCTGCGAGTGGCGTTTTCGAGACATGAGACCATGTTGTTTCGACGAGCATGGTGTCAATGCAACGGGGCTACGGGCGTTGCTGCCAGCGCGGCGCGGCGCCGAATGAGTAATCGGAAGCCCTGCATGAGCCTCTGGGTTTGCTCGGGCGTGTCGGTTTCGATATCGATGGTTCGACATGGCTTGGCACAGACGAGGGAGAAGCACCGGTCGGGCGGTGTCTGGACGCTGTTGAGCCGGGCAAACACCTTCGCACACTCGTTTGTTGGTGGCCCGAGGACGGCGGTGGAAGGCACATTACCTGGGTCTGCTTACCAGGCAGGACCTCCACGATGTCCTTGACGTCGACCACGATCTTCTTGCTCGGGTGGCGAAATGCCTCAGGGTGCCGCGCGGCCGTGACTTTGGTCCAGCTCAGCCAGTGGCCGTCCGCGTCCGTGTACAGGTACCGGTCGTGCGTAAACCCCCGGCGGCCATGCTACCCGTCAACATCGTAAATTTTCTTGCTGGTGGTCGTAACAAGGATTACCTTGTGCATGCGAAAGCCTTTTGTCGACATGCGATGGATAAAGTCCCTGACGATGGTGGCTTCGTGTTCTTGGCTCGCGACGTTTGCCGCGGCCGCCGCGGCCGTCGCAGCTGTCGCCGCCTTCAGCTCCGCTTCCAATGATGTACTGTGGTGTTCGGCAGCTTGAATCCTCGCGAGGAGCAGGACCTTCTCCGCCGTCCATTTCGCGTGTTCCGACCGGGTCTCCGCCTTGGCGTGGACGACTTTTTCATGTGCACAGCCAAGCTCGGCATGGAGGAGTTGCACAGTCGCTGCGGGGGTCGCCGTCGATGAAGCGTCGTGACTTGTGTGGGATGCGACCAGTGTCGACTGAGTCGGATCGTAGCGGGGGTGGACCGGTTCCAGGATGGATCGCTCAAGGGCCTCCTTGTCCTGCTCGAGCTTGTCAATGCGTTCGCGATCTGCCGCCGCTCGTGCCATGTGCTCGTTCAGAGCAGCTTCGAGGGACGCCTTTTGCGTTGCGTGGGCCGCGCGCTGTTCTCGTAGTTTGTTCATCGTGGCTTCGTGGGTGTCTTTCTCGATGCCGCCAGGAGTCGAGGCCTTGAAGTCGGCCGGAATACGGCAGCACTCGATTACGAAAGTACGATCAAAGGATGCGCCTGGTCTACCTGCATGAGCTTGTCCAGCTCATTCGTCTCGTCTTCTTCGACGTGGATCTCGCGTTGCAACGATGCAAACAAGCGCAGCTCGTCGTTTCGCTGGCGCTCGAGCGCCTCCAGTCGCTCGGATGTCTCGCGCTTGGCTGCGAGCGTATCTTCCAGACGTTGGTGCAGTTGGTCGACGCGGTCGTGGAGACTCTTGTTTTCCAGCTAGACCACAGCAAGAAGTCCATGGCAGTGGCGGAGCAAGATGGACGGAAGGCTCACCTTTAAGAGATGGACTGTCGCGAGAGCGCGGTCGCGGTCGCCCTGCAACTGGACCGCAAGTGCTTGCTTTGCCTCGGCAGCGCTGCGCTCGCACCGGACCTCGTCCGCGGCAGCCGAGTTTTGGTCACTCATCGCGCCGTTCGTCGTCAAGAGTGCTTGGTTCCACTCCTGGAACTTGGCTGCTTCCGCCAGCGCCTCATCTCTCGCCAGAATCGCATCGTGGAGCTGCGCGCGGAGCATGATTACTTCCTCCCCAAGTGCTGCGTGTTGCGACGAGTCGGGGGCGGGCGTCACCGGATCCGCGAAGTTGGCCGACGTAACATCGGCAAACGTGAGCAAGATCGGTCGTTGCATCGTTTTAATCCTACGTTCGAGTCGTCAGTGACGTCAGCTCCGAGGCAGGTCGTACTTTGCCACGACGACATCGAATGCCTTGTTTTTGGAGTCCACATCGTTGATGGCGCGAATGCGCAGGCCCGGGGTGATGACGCTAAGTGGATGTGAGAGTAGTGGACGTGAGGAGCCGCACGAACCGCGACAGGTCGCAGCTCAGGTAGCAATGTTCGTTGTGATCGGCGGCAAGGTTGTCGCGTTCCTTGCTCGGCACGACGTTGCCGATGCCACAAGTGTAACCCGTGGCATCCTTGACTGGCGTAAAGCCCAACCCGGTGGGCTTGCGCCCGTCAAAAACAATGCTAAATTCCCGTTCCCACACCTGCTCCTTTGGCCCGGGCGGGACTTGGAACAAGTCCTGATTCCCCAGGCCCGAGAGCCTCGGGGACCGCATGCCAGCACACTTGAGCATGGCTCGGAGAGCAACTGTGTTGGCAAGTAGTGCTTTAAATAGCTATCCTAGCGTCGCCGAGTTCTCGAAGCGCTTCGACGTTTCATGCCACGACCGCAACGCACCAAGAAATGTGTGGTGGCTCGACCCACATGCAACCTGATGTCGCCATGGGCAGCTCCGTTTCGCACGGTTAGGTCTTGCTAAAGTCTCTGAAATGGACAGGATCATCCATTTGAGGCAGGACGAAGTGGACGGACGAAGGCCAGCCTTGACCAAACGTCGCCGAGCCATCCGTTTCGCTGCTACTTCGTCGTGATAAGGGAGTCGTCTGAATGCCTCGACACCCCCAACGTAGTTTGAGCCGTGGCCTCGAAGGCGTTACGCAATAAAGAGATCGCACACGCCGTTTTGGATGACATCGACGGCGGACTGGTTGGTGAGCTGAGCGGAGTTGGGTGCAAGTCGCGGCGCAATCGTGGAGAGGGCACAACGAAGCGCTGCACGAATTCCATCAACACGATGTGGGGATGGACCCAGCAACTTACTTGGGGGGGCGTGGGTAACAGCCAGGTCAACGTCATGGTGCTTGAGCCGTCTACTAAACATTCCCATGCGGCGAAGAGCTTCGACATCGTGCGCGCCATCTCGTACGTTTGACAAATCCACGACGAGGCCTTTGACGCCTCCTGATCCCTTCCCATCCACGTCGCCCACGTTTAAGAGTTGCTCGAGGGCTTTTTCAATCCCGTCCCAGTTGGCAAAGCAAACCATTGCAGCGTCCACACGGACAATCATGACGTGGTCTTGGTAGATGTGGACGTCATCGCCGTTTTCCGTGAGGGGCTTGTGCGCGACGCAGGTGGTACCAATGGCATTGAGCCGAGTGATGCTGGTGCCTTCGGGGGGCATGACAACGCTATGCCAAACAAACGGAGGCGCGTCAGGAGGAATTTCCAACGGGGGGGGCGCTTCCAGATGTACCTGAGGCAGAGCGCAGCGAGAGCCCCGACGAGAATGCCGCCAAGGAAGGTGCATGCGCACGCGACGGCCCACAGCGCCAAACTCATGTACAGTCGACACCGGACCATCGTTCGAAGTTCGTCCTTGTCCATGAATGACACGGTGGAGACGACGACGATGGCGGCAAGGGACGGCAACGGCACCAGGATGTACACTTTCGAGAGCAAGACGCCGATGAGGGCCATGGTTGTGCAGAGAGTCGTGACGGCAGTGTGGCTGTACTTGGCGTTGATTGCTGTTCGAGCAAGCCCCCCCGCCGGAGGAAGCGCCTGGAACGACCCTCCGATCACGCATGCGACGCCGTACGCCAGGAGTTCTTTGTTCGGGTCGACATCGATGTGGTGGGCTTTCTGGGGGCTATCGGGAGCCTACAATGCACCATGCAACATAGCTTGGGTGATGCATAGCTTTGCGTCGATGCACTGGTACCAAAGCTAAGCGGTGGCGAGCACCTGCATGTGCCAACACAATCGTCGATATGTACGAAGTCTAGGAAGCGGGATGGACATGCAGGCTCCACATTTGAGAAGTCAACGCACCAGCGCAATGATCAACGAGTCCCACAGCAAGGTCACGACCTCTTCGACTTCTTGGCTCACGACGTGGTGAAATGCATGTGTCACCGTGAACGAGTCGTAAAGGGATTGATTGCCGTGGTGAGTACGATGCGTGGACGAGGCATTGGCGTCGTCGTCGGGGAAGGATACCCAGAGGCGCAACATTAGTGCGACACAACACACACCGACGGGCGCAAGGTCGACGAAACTGAGTGTGTGAAGTGTAGGGCAGCGAACTTGGCTTGTCGGCATCAACACGGTTGAGTCGGCGCCATTCGATGGCCGGAACCGTACGGACTGGCGTTGGCGGATGCCTTCCACCGATATTAGCGCCGCGAGGGAAAATGCACCAAGAACGCACGCCTCAAAGTGCACCGCGAAGTGCCACGGCGCCGCTGACATATCGACAACTCCAGCGAGATGCGGGACATGTTCGGCCAGTACAAGCAAACTCGCTCCCCACAGGAATCCTCCCATGGCTGGTCTAGACAGCGGAAGATGCGACCCAACGCGAAACCACCCCAAAACCAGAAGAATGACGCCGGACATGACCGTGATCAGCGTTCCCTTGGCCAAACGTTCAAATTCTTGATCTTCGGGAATGGTTTGGAGCGCGCCACCAATGGACCACGTGAGTTCGGCGGCGTTCGCGAACGACAAAATGCTCGATGTGCCGCACACACAATACACAAACGGGGCGACAATGGCAGTCCGCAGACTCGTCGACACGGGGATGTGCATGCTAGCACCAAACGCGAGTTCCTGTGGCAGCATGACCGCAACCACAACGACGGCCGCCACGATATCGTGGGCCAGATGGCTCTGCCACTGGTAGCCCGGCAGCCATTCCAAGATCGGCATGTGCTCGACCAAGACGACGCGGAGCCGCCTCCACATCCAGTGCCACCACATTTCGTGATCGAGTGCCAAGGCCTCATGCGTCATCCGGATATTATTCGTATACGACCTTTCGCCATCAAGTCAAAATACCTAGTACACACGCAACTTTCGTGCACGACTCGACGGGTGTCGCTTGAGAAGTCTTCCAACAATCGGAACCTCGACGGGGTGCCAATGGCGCCGCGCGGGCTAAGAATAGAGCCCAGTGGCGGGCGAGGGCGGCGTGAAGGGACACCGCATACAATCCTCGAGATGATCTGAATCGTCGCAGCGCAACCGTCAAGCGGTCGTTTCCGTGCCTCATTTTTCGATTTCCGTTCGACAACATCCCAGGGTTTGCGATGGCTGGACGTTGGGTGAAGGTGCTTTTGGGGCTGTCGGCGTTGGCGGCGATCACCGTCGACGGTGCGTGTCCAAACAAGTGCTCGGGTCATGGCTCCTGCGGCGCCAACGACGTTTGTACATGCGAACAAAACTGGATCAACGCCGACTGCTCGGCCCGCCAGTGCCCGTTCACCCGCGCGTGGCAAGACACAGCTAGCTACGACAACGACGCGCACTACTATGCGGAATGCGGGAACCGCGGCATCTGCGATCGCTCAACGGGGATCTGCCAATGCGATGAAACGTTTGTCGGAGCGGGCTGCACACGCCTCAAGTGCCCCAGTGACTGCTCCGGCCACGGCAAGTGCATGTACATTGAAGACTTGGCGGTCTCCCCCGACAAACGCGTGGGAGGGAACCCAGACTTCACGACGTTTACGAGCTGGGACCGAGAAAAGATCCAAGGGTGCCGGTGCGACCCCGGATGGGAAGGTCATGCGTGCAGTCGCCGTGTGTGTCCCAAGGGCGACGATCCCCTCACGACGGGCCAGTTTGACATGCATCAAGGCATTTCGCTCACGCATGCCGCGGTCATCAAATTTGTCATCCGGTATGCGGATCCTTACGGCAACGTGTGGACCACGAGCGAAATCACGTCCGGGCTGCCGACGGATGACGCCACCACGTGCGCCAACATCGAAACCGCCCTCCGCCGCATCCCCAACTTTGCCTTGAGTTCACGCGTCCTCAACTCGAACGAACTCGTGGTCGCTCCTGGTGGGGTCGCCGTGTACACTCGCAAGGGGCCAACGACAGGGACGGTCGCGGCGACGGTGGCCGACGACTCTAGCACGACCAACTGCATTGTGTCGTTCCCGGCCGCGCCAGGCACCACCGGTCTCCAGCATTTGCTTGAAGTGGACGTGACGCCTTACACGGCAGCGGGTAGCCAACCTATGTACGTATTTCCCGATCCAGTTCAGCATGGCCGTTTACGGTGAACGTTGTACTAGTTCGGCTGGTGGTGGATCGACGACGGTCGCAGTCGTGGAACATATTCCAGGAGGCAATGCTGCCGGGGCGTTGGCTCGGCCGCTTACCGAGTTGGCCACCTGCTCCAACGTAAGTCTGCCCATGTTTCGATCGACGATTCACAACATGGAATGTAGCGCGGCATCTGCAACGGCGAAACAGGCCAGTGCCAGTGCTACACAGGCCACAAGGGGCTCGCGTGCGAGCTGCAGGAAGCCCTTGTGTAAAACTCCGCAGCGGGCATGGAAATTGTGTTGTATAACGTGTGCTTGGTGATAATGAACCACACTTCCGCCACACTGTCGTATCTGCAACTTGACTGTGGACACTTTTTTATCAAATATTTACCAAATTTCGATTCAATTTAGGAAAGTTTCGGCAAAACCAGCGCAATTGTCGAATATTGTGTGCATCGCATCCACGAAAATTGAACGACCCTACCTGCAATGTTGCTTCATCGAGCTGTAAGCCGTGCCGTCGGTGGTCTGCGGGGAATACGGCCACGCCCGGAGCTGGCCCGTACGCAAGACCTGACGAGCACTGACACCACACCAAGGCTAATCCATCCTCGATTGAGCTCGTCGTGGAGCAAGGTCCTAGCTTCCAAAGTCGTGGAGATCGACGAAAACGACCTCGAGGAGAAGTTTGTCAAAGGAGGAGGCAACGGCGGCCAAAAGATCAACAAAGTTCGCAACTCCGTCTTCCTCAAGCACATTCCCACGGGGCTCTTTGTACAGTGCCAGAAAACGCGCTCCCTTGACGACAATCGCCGGGTCGCACGAAAGTTGCTGCATACCAAGCTCGACGATTTCGTCAATGGCACCGCGAGCACGCGCAATGCGAAGATCCAACTTGCACAAAAGAAGAAGGCGAAGAAGAAAGCAAAGTCCAGGCAAAAGCACTTGAGTGCTGCGGCGAAACGTTTCTCGTCTGGCAGCGAGGGACGGGTGACTCCACCACATCTAGACGACGAGGCAGACGATTCGGACGATTTTGACGATGAAGGTGATGTCGACACCAGCGACGAAGACGACTATCAAACTGGGAAGGAGCCACGCGATGGCTCTATTTAGAACGACATATCACTGGGTTGGGACGCTTTGTCTGGTTGTTTCTGGCTGCGACTGCCTTCGGGGGGCAAGTGCAAGGGCTCGAGCTTCAGTTTCCGTCGATCGCGCTTGATGCCGAGCTTGATGTTGTCGAGGGCGTGGCCTGTGATCGAGTGGAAGTGGGCCACCTTGTGAACAAAGAAGAGCCCATTAAATTCCCTACAACAGCCACACGCTATCTGGTTAACATGGGGCACGTGGGTGGCTGGCTACCTACGCGAGTTCAGAGGGGAGTTGGTCGCTGTGACCGGCAAATGACGTCAGTTCAAACGCATAATCTCCCAAGTGACGGATCGATCGAACGACATGGGTCGGTAGCGCAAATGCAGCCACGGTCAGCACACATATGCAGCGGCGGCGATGGCGAGCGAGCAGGCCACGCACCGCGCGCAGGAACTGGTGCAAATGACACCGGTGGCTGAAAGTCATGTCGTCGCTGAGCCACGGAGCCGCGAGATCCGTCAAGACAAAGCGAACGATATCGGTTGCGCCCGTGTGCGTGACCTCCAAGGCGTGCTGCATGGCCGAAAACACATTGCGGTAGGCCGATTGCAACGACGGCATTGATGGATCTATCGACAATTCTTGCCAAGTCGACTTCATCGCGTCGGCTATTGGCTTGGATAAGTCAAAGCTGTGGCAAAATCGAGTATCTGTCACTTTGGGGAGCGTTAACTGTGGCTTGTCAGCGGTATACTTCTCATACTGCCACGCAATCGTGAGTGGCGCGGAATTCTCGTTCGATGGCTGTGCGACCAACGCGGCCTTGAGCTGTTTTTGAGCAGTGCTGAGTTCCAACGGTAACGTGGCCGCCAAAGATGCGTCGGTGTAGACAAAATTTTCGTTGGCTAGCCCCTCGGCAGCAAAATATCTTGCCAGGTCAGTCCCGTACGAACCGTACACGGAAGACTCGACAACAACCATGGACCCGAGCAGGTATCCCCCGCCCAAGACAGCGTCGAGCTCCCGCAATCCGCTTGACGTCAAGATTTGGTCATTCGTGAATGGTTTGATCCCGCGAGCTCGAACGCTTGGCACTGCTGGCGACAGCGGACTCGACGGCGATTGCTGTGCCGCAGCGCTCGCTCGTCGGAAGGTCGACATTGCAGATGGCACCTCCGAACCAATCAAATTGCGTGTCAAACCTCGTAGACCTATCAAGTTCGAGGGTTTTGTATCCAATCCCAATGCATTTTTGAAAATTATAGCCAATCAAATTACTTCGTCAATAGCCAATCACCGATGGAATCACAGCGCTACCGCAGCATCGTATTGCCTCCCCGACAATGGCTCAAGGGTCGGCCGATGCGCTGGCGATGTTCGCGGGCCCGTTGGCCGTGATCATTGGCCTTGTCTTCCTGACCCCATTGGGTTCTCTCTTCAGTGGCACTTCATCCGTGGTGGCAGTGGTGTTCATAGTCGCGACCCTGCTGCTCCAGTTCGTTGTGGTCCGTCGAACAACACATCACACAGTTCGAACGACCCAAGAACTGCACATTCGTCGCAAAATCCAGCACGGTATGTGGACTGGTCGCGCAAAGCGCACGCAATGGCATCGTTGCGATGACAGAATTGTAGCGGGGTCTGGTGTCCTAGTGGTCGTCGGGTCGTTTTTTGCTAGCAGCTTGCAAGGTGAGTGTGCACCGCCCAACACTGTTGCGAATGCACACTGCTGTTTCCCTCGATCGAAATGACATCGTTTGTGTGTGCGCTTAGTCTCGATCGTGCTGGCGTGCTCGGCCGCGGCGTTTTACATCGTCGCCCAACTGCGACAGCAGTACAAGGTCGTCAACTCGACCTACCTGCGCGTGTTTGGACCGATTTTGCGGCAGCACGAGATTGCCCATCGGCTTCCCGGTGCGTCGTCGTTGGACTCTCGAATGGCCGAGCTGTCGTTGACAATAAACGTTTCTGTCGCAGGGGCGTTTTGGTTCCTCTTGGGCTGCTGCGGCAGTCTCCTCCTCTTCCCAAAGGACGTCGCCCAGCTCAGCGTGCTACATGTACGACGTGCTTCGCGCATGCCGTTGACCTGTGATGCCATCGTTCACGTGACCATCATGTAGCTGTCGCTGGGAGACCCATGCGCTTCTTTATTTGGCTTGACATGGGGCCACCACACGTCCAAGCTGTCGAACGGCAAGACGATTGCAGGTGTCGTCGGGTGCATGTTCGTGTGCTTTGTGACGAGCGTTGGGTTTTTATCGGTCGTGGATACATCCATTCAACACTTGAGCGGCATCCAGGTAGACGATGCAAATCCTTCGGAACCTGTTGACTTACACGACGCTGATCCAGCGTGTGGGCGTGATGGCTCTGTGTGGTGCTGCCGGCACCTTGGGCGAAGTGTTATATGTGGGCTGCGACGACAACTTGTCGCTCCCGCTCGTGTCTGGCGGGGTCATGTCTATGGTTTGGCGGTTCATCGCGTAATTGTCGGGACGACGGTCAGAATTGCGGTGATGAATGAACCGTGGCGAGGAGCCATTTCAACGAACTTGTCTGCAAGAGCGGTGATCCGAGTAGCTAGGATTGTTATCGTATTGAACGCTGTATCGAGATCTTTGGTGATGCGCCATGCCGTGCAGGGGAGAGAGAATCGGGTTCGATGTCGATCAGAGAATTGTAGTCAAATCGAATCACGAGATCATCGCAAAGTGTTCCTCACTTCGACAGTCGACGCCGCTCTCTCTACCCACGCGCTATCATGTTTGACGAGGATGTGTGGACAAAAAGACCAACCTCTCCACATGGGTGGAGGGCCAGTGAGTATATGTCCAATTCGTGTTGCAGAATGAAAAATTGGAGACAATCACGGGAAGGATTGAACACAGAGTGTGATCTGCGGCGACCAAACGAACGCAAGCTACATCTACACTGTCGTGGACAACATGTCGGGCACACAGCAGCAGGTGCACGTGCCCGAAAGCAAGGCAACCAGGGAGGCAACGCCGACGCCAATCGGCAGCCTCGTACTCTATGCCCAGAACACTTTCCGCTTCGTTCTATGCCCATTGAACGACTAGAAACATCCCGCGGGTTGTTGGCGAGCGGGACCATTCTCAGTCTTCTCCACGTCCTGGCGCAACTCGATCAATGGCAATCCATCCACGGCGGCAACTCGGTTGAAATGACTGGTGCCGACGGTGCCGCTGCCGCAGCCACTCAGATACAAATGATGTTTCAAACGAGATTTAAACGTGTTTGATACTTGATGTTTCAAACGAGATTTAAACGTGTTTGATACATGTTTGATACATGTTCGAAACGCGCTCCAAACGACTCAGTGTAACCGAACGAAACCAATTCCTAGTGTGCATACATGGACTGGCGTGGACGACCTCGGCGCGAAAGGCCCGCGTGGTCCGCGGACGGAACTCTTGGTACGACGCAGGTCTGATGCTCTAAAAGCGTGTCTTGACGCAAGAAGGCCACTGAAGTCGTGGCAAAGATGCCAATTACACTCCAGTCAGAGGTAAATCCGACGAGGCATACAAGAGGACTCGATGTTCACCGCGACAACGCTACTGCATTTCAACTTTCAGGACGGCCGAGCGAGTGCTACTTCTCTTTCAGGTCCTTCTTCGTTCCCGACAGGGTTATCGACTGCTTTTTCATCTCGGCTTTAACGGCGCCCTTGAGCTTGATAATGGACGGCGACCGGCCTTCTTTGTTGAGCTGGATTGTGTTTTGGTTCCAGTCGCTTTCGTTCACGATGTTGTATAAATACGATTGCAGCATGTACTTGAGGTTGAACCCGACGAGGTTGCTCCATGCTTCGCCGACGTCGGGTGTCGCTTCTATATCAAGCCAAAACATCGCCACTTCGACAAACGTGCTGGCATATGCGGCAAAATGATGTGGTTTGACCTTGGGGATCGAGCGGTGGCGGTGGCCCAAGTTGCGGCACCGTTCGATTGCGGTCGCCTCGGGTGCGCCTGAATCGTTGAGGAGAAACTTCATGGCTTTGATCAGGACTTCGATTCGCCTTCGGATGCCAGGAAAGATGTCCTCAAACCCTGGGTCCCGTTGAAAAAGCCGATGGAAGAATTCGTCGTAGAACAGCACGATCCCGTCTTTGTTGTACGACTTCATCTTGGGCGTCGCTGCCTTACAAATAATCTTCCACGACCGGTTGCATTCCTTCACGTAGTTGTCTTGGTACGTTGGGCACATGGGCATGTTTGGGGGCATGTAGTGCTGGTAATGATCCGAAGGTGCCAGTGGACGGTTGAACTGGCCGGACCAGTCAACTTCGGCCTCGGGCCCAACTTTAGCCACTGCCGACAGCACGTCGTCGTCGCCCCTGGAGCTACGCGCCCCGATGCTTCGGGATATCTTCGAAATGACCGTGCTCGGCTTCATGGACCGAGTCCGGATCGTCGAGGATTCCACGCCACCCATCGTTTTTCAACTTGTGCTGGTGAAAATCTCGTTGGTGCCGTGATGTCAGTTTTCACGTAACGGCTCGCTGCATCGGTTTCACTCGTAACCGTTCAGCATGGCGAATTTCCAAACGTTTTGCTTGGAGCACGAAGCCAAACGCCGTATATAATCATGTCGTGGCAACTGGTGCTGGGAGTGTCTGCGGCCGCTATCTGCGTCGTTGTCTGCGCCGTCTTCATTCGCCGCCACGCGGCGTACGTTATCAACCCTCTTGCCCAAACCATCTCGATGCGATGTGCCCTCGCGCTTGGGCTCGGGGGGGTGTTCTTCTTTGCAAAGCTCACGCTTGTTGTGTCATCTTTGCAACCTTCCGTCCTCCACATTGTAGTGGACGCGGCCGCCGCGACTCTTGACACGCTTTTCGCCGCGTCCGCATTCTTCCTCATGGTTGTGCAGGTCGGTGGCACCGAGCGAGCGATTGACGTCTTGGCCAAGCATCAGGCGCAGGTCATTCCTCCGACACCAGCGTTTGCCTCCCCCTGCGACGATGACACACAAGACTACGACCAAGTGCGCCAAGCGCGGGTCACGTACATGGCGCACCGTCGCGTGATGCTGCAGTTTGCGCTCGTCCATCCTGTTCTCGTCACGGCAGCCGCCGCCCATGACGCAACAACTTCCCGAGTGAAGACAAGTGGTGCCGCGATCCGCGTCGTTCTGGCGCTGCTGGACGTGGGCATGACGTGTGTGGCCATCGTTTCGTTGGTACAACTCGTTAAGCGCTTCGATGCCGCGATTGCTGCAAAGTTTCGGCACAAGGGAAAAGCGGTCATTGTGTTGGGTTACATCCTCTTGCGCTGCGTCCAATGCAGTGTGTACAACGGATGCGTGCCTCCCACGTATCGAGATCAGTGCACATGGTTCTGGGCGATGTGTCTGGTGCAACTGGTCGTGCTTACGGCTGGTTTTGCTCGAGTGTTTGCCCCGTCGACATTTCATGCCATGAGCTATGGGCGTCCAGCGCTCAGTCGCGTGTGGGATGTCTTCCAGCACCCCGTACCTGAGTGCCGTACCCTCCACGACACGCTAGCAACCGAGTTCGCCGGCGGGGCCAGCACCAAGCAGCTCCACCACCTTAGGGTGGAATATTGATCGAAGACACATAAACACATTGTTTCATGCTCGATTGTACGATCTTCTCGCTACGATGTGTCGCTGAAGGAAGCCAGCAAGCGGTACCGGATGACCAAAGAATACGTAGGATTTCATGGATTGCAAGTTATGTGGTCGATGTGAGTCCTTCGCGGGTCAAGCGCAAGATGGGATGCCGTTCCAATCGATTCATTTCTTGCAACATCTACCACACATCGCGCGATGAGATGGACGACGTGTGGGAGATCAATCGGGTCGAGGTGATGCATACTTTGGCAGTATTGTAGCGAAGTTCGTGAAATTTTGCCAAGGACAATTCAACCGTGTGGATGCGCCCGTTTGAGAGCTGCAATCGCATGACGACGGAGGGCTGCCAAACATTCTGCAACGAGCTGGACGCAACGTTAATATCCACGCGCCTGATAGGATCAGCGATGTGAACTTGATCAGCGAATAATATAGACGAGCACAAACCAGTCCACGCGATCGAGTCGTGGTATAGCTGTCGTCCGTATAGCCGAAACACTCGATAAGATCGAGGTGGTGTCAATGATACTGGCCACGACACGTAGGGGGAGACTTGATTGTCGGAGAACAGGCTCATAGAACGTAGCTTTGTCAGACACGAGGAAGGTTAGCACGTTCCGCAATGCGGAAGTCACGTCTTGAATTGCCGGGTCTGTCGGGGTCCCTACAGTCTATGTCGAATGAGAGATATGTAGCAGTGACATAGACATCTACATGGCGATATGTATGTTCAAGGACACCGAGAACGGAGCATGCATCCACGTGGGGATGAATGGCTAAGCTGTTGGTGAGGCGCTCTACAGCATCGTGGAAGTCGGTCGAGTTTGCGGAGGTCATGTTGCGGCAATCTTTGGATCAAGCACATGTTATCCGGACGATTCCGATTTATCCGGAAAACACAAATGTATTTTGCGCACGGCGCTTGTTCCCGATGGTCGCCCGCAAGGATTCGCTTCCCCGCTGGACCAATGCTCGTGGATCCTTGTCCTCTTGGGACAACTTCCACTCATCAAAGTTTTCCAATTCGGATTCGATGCTCTCGTTGTCCTTCAGCGTGATGTTGCTCACGTCTTCGTCAGACCTGCAACTTTCGTCGACTCCGACTTGATGGGTAACTGCGTGGCGAAACAGCGCTTTCCCATGCTACTCTCAACGCATTTAGTATCTACAACGACACCATCAGGTTACCTGGCCGAGCCGCCAAACCCTGTGCTCATCCGTTGTCGCTAGCGCAGGGGCACTGCGCACCGCCATCTTGGTTGACATGGATAGGTAGTGATCTCTTCTTATCCGTTGCACTGAAGAAACGAAACTGTCGAACAGTTTATCCGGATGGGACCTACGTCCACATGAGCACACAACAGCACATGGTGGGAGACCCAGCCATGGCGATGATGTGCGCAGAGGAATTGCATCGACAGGACCGTGAAGCCGCGGCAGTGGAGGCAATGGCAGCTCATGCATGGCGCGCGTATCATGCAAGTGCATCCGCTTCCACAAGAGCCTAGTGATTGCAATGTGACCCAGTCTCGCGAGGGTGACATGAATCGACATCATAGCACACACTGCATCAATATACCGCGACCAAGGACTGCTCGCTGACTACTTCTTTTTCTTTCCGCCCTTCTTTTTCTTCTTCTTCTTTTCCAGCTCGAGCTGAGCGGCCCGCTCCGCCGCCTTGCGGTCCGAGATCTGGCGTTGTCGATCCTCTTCTTCCTTGAGCTTTCTCTGCCGCTCTGCTTCGATGCGATCGCGTTCAGTTTGCCGCTCCACGCGTCGTTCGTCCAGCCATTGCTCCTAGAAATGCCACATATCAAACCATAGGTCAAAAACAGCAGTCCTCGAACGGATCTGCGTTCGTACATGCTCCTTTTGCTTTCGTTCTTCTTCATGCTGTTTTCGCATACGCTCCGCCGCCTCCATCTGACCTTTCTTCATTTCGCCTTTCTTGCGCTGGACGGCGTCGTACCGATCCAAGTTCTCGGCCAACGTGCGGGAAATCATAGTCGCATCAGTCAAGGCCACCTTGTTGTTTCCAATGTCGAGACACAACATCGTTTTGTTTTCAGACATGCCTTTCGCCAGCGCCTGCGCAACGTCCCCCGTCACAATCAACGCTGGTATAGCACTTGATGGATGCATTTGGTACCTTTCCACCGTCGATGCCAAGGCGCGTGCGCCACAAGTTGAGGCTAGTTAAGGTTGTGTTGGTGGTCAGCATCTGGCTCAGCGCGGCAATGCCAGAAAAGTCAGCCTCGTCGCTTGTGAGGGGATTGCTCTCCAAGCTCAGATACGTCAGCCCTGAATGACGTATGGGTAAGCCTTCAACGAGATCGAGTGAACCCACCGGAATTGGTGGAGAGCGCCGACGCAAACTCCTTGGCCGTGGCTGGCCCAAACTCGTTGCCCTCAAGTTCCATCTTCACGAGAGAGTTGTTGCGGCGAAGGACATTCGCCAACGCCTGCCAAAGGGTTGTGTTACCCATCCATTCGATCGAATGATGCGGAAGATCTTACCTTGCCCGCCATGTCGTTGAGCTGGTTGCCGCTTAAGTTCAACGCGCGGAGGCTCAAGTTGAATGGAAGCACCTTCGAGAGGGCGCGCGTCGCAACAGAGTTCACACGCAGCAGCGCCTCAACCGGTGTCGTGTTTTCCTTGACGAGGTCGAGCCACACTTCGAGCTTGGGGTTCTCTGCGAGTTCGTCGATCTCTTCTCGGAGCTCGGTGTCCATCTGTTCACGCTTGCGCTTGATCGTTTCACGGAGGTAGCTCTTGGCTGCCATCTGCATGCAGACTCCAGCGTCACACGTGTTGATGGGGAGTATGAAGGCCGACCTGAATCTTGTGCTTCATCCTGGACTCGCGTTCGGACACATGCTCGCGGTCGAATTCTTCCTGCAATCGTAGCGCATCGTCGTTGAAAAATCCCTTCGGTTGAATCCCGCGATCGATAAGCTACACGCAACATGATGAGCAACGTCAAGGGCCAAGCCGGCAACGTACTTCGCGTCGAAGGTCGTTCTGGCCGAGGGAATACGCGTCTGGTGGTGCGCTGTCGTCCGGCGTGACGTTGCTTAAGATCGTATCTCTCTCGTCCGCCGGCAGCTTGTCCAAATCGATGTCGAACTCGTCATCCATGCCAAAGGTTTGCGACGGGTCCATCGTCATCATCATTATCGCCCAAGTTCAATCGGTCGCCGAGGAGACGCGATCTTTCGGGGGGGGGTCTAGAAAACCATTTGATTGGTTGAAACTTTATGTATACTCTTCATCTATATTTACTTTTAGCCAATCAGATACAATCACATTCAACAAGAGATATGTGCATCCCTCGCGGGCACGTTGATGAATTCTGGAGCTTGATGCGTCCTTGCCGACGCGTCCATGCGCCGCTGCATGCGGCCTCAAACTTCGAATCCCCATCGAAGTACATGTGTAACCAGATTTCATGGTCCCACTTCGGTGCCTGCGCGGTGCCTGCATGCAACCGTGAACGGCACCACATGGACGCTTGGATTTCCTGTCCTTGTCGACGTCTCCGCCTGACAGTGCGACTTGTACGCCGGTTCGTCATTTTTGAATTGCTCGCATGCAGCACGCAAGTCCGTACATGCTCTTGCCATCGGCCTTCAGTGGCGAAGTCGTCACGATGTGCGCCAACATCAACTGCCGCAGGTTCGCCAAGGTACACGGCCTGTGCCTCCTTCACAACCGCGTCATCATCCGCCCAATTTTGCCGCCTCAAGACCGAGGCTCGCGATTGCTCCCGAACGTCCCCGAGAAACGACGCAACCACAACCGCCGGTGCCGCTTTGACCAGTGCAGGTCTTACGCGCGAGGCGGCGGCTACTGCACTCGCCACGGTGGCGGGCGAAAGTGCAGCGTTCCAGGTTGCGCCACGTCGTCTCAAACGGGAGGGTACTGCCGACAGCACGGAGGGGGCTCCAAGTGCCGAGAGCCCATGTGCCGTCAATTTGCCAGAGTCGGGGGGCGCTGCCTTGTCCATCGGGACGACGATTGCCAAGACGGCGGGTTGTCCGTGGGGGAAGTGCAGCTGTAGGCAGTAGGTACGCCCCAGTGGCGCTATATTATTGAAAATGGAACCTCCAGATATTGCGTGGCACGCGAGATTCATGCAGGTAGCGTTGGAAGGAAGGACCCACCTGCAATTTCTACGCGTTGTAAAGTGTTGGACTATGGATGAATTACCCACGGCACATGTGAAGTCACACGTGCCGAGGGTGACGTCACAAACAGCGCGCGAGTCGTTCTGGTCCCCCTCCACAACATGCTGTACGTTGCTCCCACGAACCATGCTGTCCCTTCGTGTCTGTCTGTGAAGTTTGCCACTGGTCGTGCACTGCACGGCGGGAGCTTGGCTGAGGCTGCAAGAGACCGCGATGCAGACCAGCTTTACACCACGTACGCAGCACGGGAGCGTGGGATGTTCGTTATGGATGCCTTGCAAGCCTGCACCGTCACGACGTATTGTCGTCCAGGGATGCCTACGTCGCCAACGTGAACCTTCCCGTGCATGGACATGTGCGTCAGTGTCGATCACATGTGGCGGCGCTGTCTCTTGAATGGGAGGCGGCCGAAGAAACGAACCGAAGTTGGGCAAATGCAATTTCACCCCAAAAATTCTCTACTAATCACGAAATATTTGTGAAAAACCGACGCAACCGAAGGGTCAAACCCGCGAATGTGATTGGGCCATTCAAAAGCACTGGTGGAATCCCTCCGCAGCCCGCACCATGTTCGCGGCATCCTTCGGCGCCATTGGACGGGCCGTTCCTAGGTCCCATTGGCGCCACACCACTGCCACGATGGACATGAGCCTGCGTGTACGCCACATGCACACAAAAAAGCAAGTCGACGAGCCAGCCGCGACGTCAATCAAGAACGACCGGCCGTCGAACGACAAGATGCTTCAAATCTTGACCCTGCCCAACGTCATTACAATGACCCGTATCGTGGCTACACCGTACCTTGGGCACTTGATCATGCAAGGCGAGTACAAGTATGCTGTCGGAGGTACACATATGAACGAAAATCTCTCCAAACCTGTCTCGGATCGTCAGCAGGGTGTGTGTAGTGCTGGCCGTGGCGTCGATCTCGGACTGGTTGGATGGGTACTTGGCGCGGAAACTCGATCAAAAGGTAAGTAGATGATTACGCTCACTTCATGCCACATTGGTGGACCTCATGTCACCCTTTCACGTATGTGTCCTTATGAACGTAGACTGTCGTCGGGACATTTCTTGATCCCTTGGCGGACAAGCTCATGGTGGGAACGTTGTGCTTGAGTCTTGGGTACGTGCAACTACTGCCATTGCCGCTGGTCGTTGTCATTTTTGGCCGCGATCTGCTCCTGATCGGCGGCACGCTGCTCTATCGCCATCGCACGCGGAATGCGTCGTCGGACTTTTTCCAAACCAACAACGCGTTCGAGGTCCAGCCGACGTTGACGTCAAAGATCAACACAGCGCTGCAGTTCACCACGCTCGGAGGGGCGCTGCTCCACGCAGCAAGTCCTGTCCCCGGCAGCGACGTGGCACTGCAATGCCTTTTGTACGTCCCATCGGCAATCGCATCATCCTGCACAATTTCAATTCACTTCATGGTTCTAGCGCGGGCGTGACCGTGTCGACCTTTGCTTCCGGCTTTGGCTACCTCTCCGCATGGCGGAATCGCGAAGGCATGTTCCGTCACCTTCCCAAGTAAACGGAGCGGCCGCGTCGGGTGTGGCTCAGTAACTACGAGATAAAGATAGACAAGTTGTACACTGCAAATGGCCTTGACCTCAGCTCCACTCTTCTGTTTTGTCCTCTTGAAGGCACCCCCAAGCAGAGGGTCCTGTGCGTCCTGCGACTCTCGAGCCCCCCATTACCTGTCACTACCTCCATGCCCCATGATTTGCCTTCCATGCTGCAGGTGCAATCAAGGCAATACTAGCCCACGACACGAAGTTCAACGGCATCTCGCCCGCGTTCAACATCGTTCCGAGTCACGTGGGGAACAAGCTTCCGAGCGATGGCAACTTACAGCATCCCAGGAACCCATTGCCGTGGATGGCGCGAGCGGTGTGAGCAACTTTTGGGGCCACGTTGCGCTTGTGTAGAGCAGACAACTGGATACCTCGTCCCGGTATCGTGCGGCAAGCACCCCTTGTAGAAGGAAGATGGGTGGTGGTTGTAAAAGCTACCGTCCTCTTCCTCCAGGGCACACACAATCAAAACGAGAGCACTTCTACTTATCCTGGAGCGTGACGCGGGCTTGGAACGCTTCCCATCGGCACGACGCGTACCCAAAGTAGTCAAAGTCGATCGTGGATTGTGTCGCCTGGATGAACCCCCACAGCGCCCAAAACAAGTGCGTCGCGTTCGCATACACGTTGGCTTCGTGCCGGAGCGCGTCCACGGAGGCGTCCGTGACACCCTCGCCGCCGCCACTTGCTTCCAAGTACGCGCGGCAGTACCGGCGTTGGTCCGCCACCGTCGGGTACTTGGCAAAGTCCGCCACGTGCGGCGCGTCGCCGTGGTAGTTGTAGCACCACTCGGTAAAGTGGTTGCCCACGTCGTACCCTCGCGGATTGTAGTGGCTGTACTCAAAGTCGATCAGGACTGCCTCGCCTTCTTCGCCGCCGCTCGCGTCCTTGGCCGCCGACACCATGATGTTGCCGTACTGCAGATCGTTGTGGCAAAACACGACGGGGGAGTCGACCGTCGCCAGGAGCACGTCAAGCGCCTCGATGTCGCGGGCCATCGCATCCAGGTCAAACTGGCGGTGGTTCGACGCGTACGCTGCTTTGGCATCTTTGAATAGCTTGTGGATGCTCGGGACGATGCGCGGCTTGCGGTCGATGTCGACTTGGGTGGTGTGGAACACGGCCATTTTGGCTGCGATCTTGGCCGAGAAGTCGGGGCGGCGGATGTCTGCCGCGGTACACGTGCGGCCCTCGATCATGCGCTCGAGGCGGCCATTCTGGAATTCCCCAAGAAGGCCAATGCCAAGGTCCGATTGCTGAGAAATTTCCTTGAAGACACGGATTTCTTCTTGGCGCGAGAAAAATGCTTCGGTGCCGTGGCCATACACGCGAAGGAGAACCTTTTGAACCGGATCCGACGCTTTCTCGCACGTGAAGATGACGTTTGTCATGGCACCTGCATATACGAAGACGAGTTCGATCCGTTCGTGGTGCGCTGGCATGTCGTACCTGAGAGGTGGGTGAGCACGATGTCCGAGTCCGAAACATCGTTCCACTCAGGCACGAGGGTGCTCAACACTTTGGACACGTCGCTGCGAAATTGCCGCTTGTCATGCTCTTGGCTTGACGGGCTCAGGAAGGTCGTTGCATCAAGCGACAAGTTGGTGCGGCTCATGGTGATGTGGCGTCGCGTCGATGGCTCGAGTGCTGCTTGGGAGCACTGTTGCATAATCGTAATATTATTGACGAATCAATTGGCACGATTTTTAATTTCGCGCCAGAGGAGCCTATCCCACGTCGACCGCCAAACATGACGGGATGTGGCGGAGCTTGTCCACAGCTCAGCGCCAGAAGGAATAGCGGGCTCGATTTCTGTGCTAACGCCACAGCTTGCTAGCGCAAGTTGCGAACGAGTGCATGCTGTTGCGGTAACATGCACCCAGTGGGACGCGCCGGATGGACTGCCGTTTGTTCATCGTTCGTGCACTTGACAAGTCGTTCCAGCCATTCCAGTGTGGTGGAGCCGACTCATTCCAGAAAGACTGGATCGTTCGTCCGTACCAACTGGAGCTCGACCCGTCGGGTTGTTCGTGCGGTCGGATCCAACTCGCCAACTACCGACAGGATTCGAATGCCCGTCGTCGGGACGACAGTGATGTGATCTCGTGGGCGTGCACGCCACCGCATTCCACGTATATCGACGTGCTGGGGACTCTCACGGCTCCATGCAGCGACTTCCCGTCGTTGCGGCCGACATTGGCAAAAATCGGGGATGGGCACGGCATTTGTGGATGAGCATTTTCAATGGCGACGCTATTATACTCTAGAGCAGACGTCGTGCCAGACACACCGCACTCGCGACACGAGATAAAACCTGCCTCTCCTTGCATGACGACAGGGCTGCTTTCTTTAGGCCTTGGTCGAATTGACGGTGGAATTATCGAGGAACCCCGCTTCCTGCTCGCGAATTGCTCGTCGCTGGGCTTTGGTGTGGAGCCCAAAGAGCAAGCCACTCGAGCTCACGACTTCGTTGCGCAGTTCCCGAATACCGATGTTGTTCTTGGAGCTGACGAGATGCATGATCGGGTGCATCATCATGAAGTTCTGGATGCAGTTTTCCGCGGACGCGACTGTTTTTTCGATGCCGCTCGAGCTGAGTGTGTCGACTTTGGTAAACACGAGCTGGAACGTCGTCCCGAGGTTCTCCATAAACTCCATAAACTCTGTGTCCACTGGTGTGATGCCACGGCGGCTATCGATGAGGAGGAACACTAGTTCACGTCCGCACTTTAGCTGCACGGCATGACCGATAGAACGTACCGCGCTTCAAGTTGGCGTTGGTGCGGTGCTTGATATACCGTCCAACGAGCCGATGGAAGTCGTCGACCATGCTCTTCGGGGCATTTGCAAACCCAAAGCCTGAACTAAGGGGTGAGGCTGTCGATGTGGTGTGGGACGGAACGGAACCAACGAACTCTACCTGGCATGTCAACGAGGGCAATGTCAGGTTGGGTGCCTGCCCGCCCGCCAACGGAGATAAAATGTAGCTGCTGAGTTCGTCCCGGCGTCTTGGAAGTCTTCATGATGGTGGACGACGTTAGTGCGTTGATAAGCGTAGACTTTCCAACGTTTGACCGACCGGCAAACGCGATCTCGGGGCCGTCCCAAGCAGGCAAGTCAGCTTTTTCACTTCTGCTCAGACTTTGCATGCGCTGTGACACCGTCGATGCAAAGATCTTCTTCACATACGATTCTTCATGGGGCTTGAGCGGTGGAGGCACGTCGACGTCCTTGATCAGCGAACGCAGGGCCTGAAACGACTTGCTGGCACCGCGCTTTGCCATCGCTTCAAATTTTCTGGCGCACATGTCGAATTTCGAAGTACATAAAATCGAAGTTCAACATCATTTTATTCCAAACGGGGTTTTCCAATACAAACTTTAACTGAAATATCCATAATAATATACTCTTGAAGTGGACGTTTATTTACAAAAAACCCAATATCGGAATATTTGACGGCCTGGCTGGTCGTTGCATTTTGCGAGCCACGCCGCATTTTCTCCGCAGACATCTCAACTCGCAACGGCGGCAGCAATGGACTCTGACGGCTCTGAATATGAATATGGAAGCGACTACGGCGGGTCCCAAGATGAAGAGAACGAAGACGAGATGGTGGACGAAACGGCCATCAAAATAGCGGTACGGCAGACAGTCTTCATCTTCTCCACTCTCCAACTGTGTCGAACGTTGACGTGGTGGAGGTAGAACACGTTTTACGAAGCCGATGATTGCAAAACGTCCGACCCGGCGCGCGCGCTGGAGCTGTACCTGCAGGTTTTGTCCCTCCAGCAAAGCGGCGCCGACAGCGATGCAAAGGACCCGGAGAACTTTCACTTTAAGTCGCTTGAGAACGTTGTCAAGTTGTGTGCAACGTTGAACAAACCAGACGCGATGCTCGAGCACTACCGCCAAGTGCTCACTCTGTTGCCTCAAGTGACGCGGAATGAATTCACGGACACAGTGAACAGCATTCTGGACTTGGTCTCGACGCTACCTGGAGCTCGAAGCATTATCTCGAAGACGTACGAGATCACGCTGGAAGCGCTCAAGACTGCACACAACGAACGGCTGTGGTTCCAAACAAACGTTAAGCTTGGTCGGTTGTACTTGGAGATGGGGGAGGTCGCCTCGCTGAAGCGCGTGCTCAAGGAGCTGCATCAGTCGTGCAAAACGCCAGACGGTCACGATGACTTGTCCAAGGCAACATCGCTTCTCGACGTGTACTGCCTCGAGGTCCAGGTGCGCCCCCCCTTTTCCATCAATGTCTGACGTGCAACCATGCACTGTCAAGTGCGCTTCCACGATTTGGGCAGCTCATCATGACTGGTCTGTGTAGCTCTGCACCACGACCCACGACACAGCCAAGCTCAAGTCAATTTACCCAAAGACATTGGATCTAGACGCCGCGATCTCCGACCCTCGGACCATGGGGTACAGCTTGTAGCCCAATATTTCCATGACGGCTGCTGCATTTGACCAGTTGGCCACCCTCTCCTCACGTCGGTCGGACTTGCTGGCAGGCTCATTCGGGAAGAGGGTGGAAAAATGTACTTGGCGGAAGGACTGTGGCTCCTTGCGTACAACGAATTCTTCGAGTCGTTTCGAAATTACCAGGTACGACCGCTTGTCCACGAACCGTGTTTCACGTTGTGCTGGCAAATGCCACAGGAAGCCGGTAATTCCCGCGCCAAGCAATGCCTCAAGTGCGAGCGCCACCTCTGGCTTCGCGCGCGCTGCTTGACCACGTGTACCTTTGTAGATATGTTGTGCTGGCCAACATGCTGGCGAGCTCCGACATCAACCCGTTCGACTCGCGAGAAGCCAAAGTGTTCAAGGACGTCGATGAGATCAGCGCGATGTTGCAGCTGCGCGACGCATACGGCAACAACGACATCACAACCTTTGAGAAGATTCTCAACCACCCTAAGCATCACATCATCACGGACCCGCTCATCAAACGGTACAGACGGATGACTACAACATTCTTCCATCACGTCAACTGTCGTGGCCGTAGCTACTTGGACCCTCTCGTCCGCAATATTCGGAGCCACGTGCTCGTCAAGGTCGTGGCGCCGTACAAAACGATCAAGCTGGCCAGTATTGCCAAGGTACTGAACTCGCCGTACCCTGGATTGCCAGACCTGTCGGCATGATTATTTGGTTTACTGGGCCGAGGTTGTGGAGTCCCTCCGGTGCCATGCACTATGCAGACCAACGCGACAGATCCTTCGATTGATAGTTCCCGCATGCATGCGTAGGAGATGAACATCGCCGAGGCCGAAGTCGAAGGTCTCGCCGTGACGCTCATTCACGACAACATCCTGGCATCGCGCAAAATCGATCAGTGCCAGCGCGTGCTCGTCGACATCTCGTCGTACGTGCAACAGAATCGATGGAACAACGTCAACATGAATGCGGGGCGTGTTAGAACAACGCGGGAAGTGGCGGCGTCCAAGACCGTCGATGCGCTGGCCAAGTGGACGAGTGCATTGGTCAAGGCCAACCAAGTGACCAGCGAGCGCAACCTGCTATCATTTTAAACAGAATTCCAAGCGATAACAATCCAAATGCAACGACGCGCCAGGTTAGCATGTCGGTCGAGACTGGCATGGCGACGTCGGGCGAACATGCTGGGATATGGAGACCGGCGCTGCGCTCAAGATGTTAACATGGCTGGTGCTTATTTGAAAGACGTGGCAACCATAGCGAGCGTATCACGGAGGATGGCGGACGTTTGAAACGCAACGACGTTGCTATCGTGCGGGAGGAACGTCCCATCGCTGAGCAGCACAGCGTTGGCTACGCAACCAGATATTCGAGTGACCTGTACCATCCATTTATAGACACCGCCGCCAGGCACAATTCCATGCCATACCTGGCGCCACTCGAGCCTTCGCACACACATCGGCCCATGAAGCGGACTCGTTGAAGCAAGAGACCGACACTACTGGCGACGACGCGGTGGCCTGGAGACAGCAACACGTCGTGATGAAGTGACCACGGTACCACGCCATTTTCCATTGAAGCACGGAATGAATCCCTATATGCAGCTCAACCCACTTACCAAAGACGGTGCGCTGGTCTTCTCGTCGATGAGGACTACAACGGAAATGCCAGAGGATTGGAGCATGGCGATTCCGTCCGCTTGTTGCTCGATCTGGTGCCAAAGCAGTGAGAAAAGGCTAACATGTCCAGGGCCCCAAGCAACGATGAAGATGGTGGTACCAAGTGCCGCGCGTCCCAGATGACGTGCGTGATGGGACCGGCAAGCAACTGCGCCTTCAGGACGATCTACCCGAACAATCCGGTGGGAATATGGTCAAAGAACATCACAATGAGAGAGCTGTGATGCTCCCGCAAAGTCGTGGCATGTACGTACTGTGGGGGACTCGATGTCGCGGCGGCTTTGAATGAGTTTCAACTCGCCTGCGGTGATGGTGACGTCTTGTCGTTCGTTCGTATAATCGAGACGTACGATTGGCGGATTGGGCGTCGTTCGTTCGGCGCATCACCGCCTGGACGGTCGCGACGACCGTTTCGAGCACGAGTTTCAGGTTGGTCGGGTGCTTGGCCAGCCAAGCGAGGAGGAGCGCCGCGAACAAGTCGCCCGTGCCCGAGTAGTACGCCGGCAGCCGCGGGACTTCCATCTTGTACATGTTCGACAATTGCCGACCATTGACAGTCACCGCTTCGCTCGCGTACAGCCACAAACGATGCGGCTCGTCGGGTGGGGTGAAACTGCTCACGACTACGATGCGCGGCCCCAACGCATGGAGCATGCGGCATGCTGCCACGACGTCGGCATCGCTCGTGAGGGTTTGACCAGACAGGAGCTCGCATTCGAACTGGTTCGGCGTGATGATATCGGCCAGCGGCAGGACTTCGTCGCGGTAGATATCCACTGCGCAACACCATGGACAAAAAGGCTCACAGTAGTCAAAGACGCGGGGTACATACCCAACTCTGGCGACACGTATAGCTTGCCATCATCTCCCATGACTGGGTCGCACACATACAATCTAAGAACGATGCGCGCGTTAGATCATGCGCGTGTCAATGGAAGTTGTCCTGACGAGGAAGGATTTTGGCGACGCAGCTTGCGCAGGGTGTCTGTAATCGCGCGCAGTAAGGCAGGGTTCCCGATATATCCCGTCAAGAGATGAGTGTAGTGCAGCAGATCATTTTCTTCGAGACCAGCAATCACGTTCTCCAGTTGGTCACAAGTCATGCGTTCGCCGCGGAACTTTTTGTACCCAGTGTGGTTGCTGAAGTGCACCTTGGTTGCACATGAGATGATGCCAATTGGGACCGGAATACCGTGTTGAGGACGTCCACTTCGAGGCCAAGTAGCTGCATGGGGAACACTGCGCTTCGGTTGCCGACATAGCCGTGTACGACATGCGACTGAATCGAGAGCACGCGGGGTTCATCCATGAACGCCTCTGTCGTCGTAAGCGACATGGGGTGTCAAAATGATTGTTCCTCACCAAAAACTCTTGTATAGCCAGCATTTCGAAGCAAAGTGATACTGAATTTTTACGAATATTCTCTCAAGCTTGAAAGAATATATTCACGACATGCCCGAGTTTTCTTATTTTTTTCGGCATTCAAGAAAATTCTCAAGCTTTCAAGCAAAATAATGCATATGTTATAGAAGGATATCAAATTTCAAAGGAATGGCCACCTATGGTGGGGAAGCACACAACACCAAGTCAGTTAGCAAAGAAGACATGTTGGGTCGTTTGAGTCAAGTTACCCGCGCTGTGAAGCCCGCTGCCGCCGCCGGCCAAACCCGCGGCATGGCATCGCATGGTCCTCCTCCTACCTACACTGGTTTGGAAGCCACTATCCGCGCCAAGCTCCCTAACGACCACGACGTACGACACCAGCATGGACATGTAATCCGTGGCGACCTCTCACTCGAGTTGCTCTTATAGATCGTGTTGGCCACCCTCGGCTTCTACACCGTGCTCACTGCTCCTCTCTGGTTCCCTACCGGCAAGAAGGCCAAGGTGGAAGAACCCGCCGCTTCCCCTGCCGCTGACGTGAATGCGTCCACGGAAATCCCTTCGCTCTTCGACGACAACTTCGACGAATGGTCCAAGGTCCCCGGCAACTTTGCCAAGTGGGAAAAGAGCTTGGACACCGTCGGCAACTAAGTCTTATAACGTCTGTGCACTGCCAGAATATACTTGACCGTCCTAGTTCGACCCACCAGTCGAATGGACGCTATTCCTAACCCCACCGCATCTCCACCACGACATTCGTCCAGCCAACCTAAGTCACACAGGAGCGAGTTGTGCCAGCCTTGCCGTCATTCCATCCGATACTCCACAACCGAATGAATGATGTGTGAGGTGCACATTTTGTTGAAGTCGTCGAGCCCACTAGTCCAGAGTTTGCCACCGCACTGTTCTGACGTCCTTCATCGCGAACACAACCAATAAGGTCAGACGTAGCATTGTTCAATATGATGATGGTAGGTTAAAGGTCTCCGATACTGCCAAACTCTTCGTACCCGTCGCTTCGTAATCGTGTGCAGTGCATGGGTTCGTAGTGGTCGCCACCGCGGTCGCCGCCCGTCATGCGCATGAGTAGGAACCATGGACTCAGGCCCTTTGTAGATTTGCTGGCTTGGCTTGTCGAGAGGGACATGGAGTTCTGGAGCAGCGTCGACGACGTTGTCGCGTGGGGTCTGTGGGGGAGGAAAAACATTTGGCCGCCGCCAACCAGCACGACGAAAATATCTCGCTGGTAAGCGGTAGCAAGTGCTTCCAACGTAAAGTCGTCGCCCCACGCCACGCGACGGCCGTCGGGGTCGTTGTCGACGCCAACCAGTCCGTGGCGCGAATACGTCATGGACACAACAAAGTGCGTGTTCGAGTCGAAGTCGCTGCCGACGCACATGTACTTGCAGTACGTTTCAGCGTTCAGAACTGGTTGCGCGTGCTCCGAGTACACCATTTCAGCAGCTTTGAGCCACGAGTACCCACGGTCCTGGAGCTCGAAAATGCGCGCGACGAGCCAATCCTTGTCGCTCTTGAGAGCAACAAAGCGCCGCGCCTGCGTAGGAGACACGCCCCACCCGCCGCGGAGGTCTGGGTAGTACAGGTTTCGAATGGCACCGTCGATTTTGGCCTTTGCTTCCGCGGTGCACGACATGTAGTGAGCGTGAAAGTGCTTGGCGGTTTCTAGTCGCAACCGCGACGGCGACAGGTGTTCGACACCTTCCGTGTGGATTGTGAGCTGCTCCATGGACAAAAAGAGGCAGTCCCCAAACGGCAGTACCGGCGCTAGGTATTTGACAGAGTAGGCCGTGTCGTGGGGTTCGTACGACACGCCCAGCTCCTCCAACTGGCGAAGGCATTGTCGGCTCGGACTGTCGAGTGCCGGACATTTGGCCCACCCCATGCCTGGTGTCTTCTTCTTGGGGTGTGGGACAAGGAAGTCGTCGTCTTCCTTGACGAACTGTACATGCGGATTGTGTCGTGGGGTGAGAAGCATCATCGAGTCGTCGAGACCCCCGCCTGGACCAAATCCCGTGTACTTGGAGAACTGTAGCATACGCGAGTCAATGAACGCTTGCGCAGAGTTGATGATCACGTCAAAGTCATCAAGTTTCTTGATTTCTGTTGATGAACCCAAGCTTGGCATGTACGGAACCTCTTCGTCCGCGGCAGGGATGTCCTCGACAACTGGAGTCACGACTGGGACCTTCTTGACGGTGTACGATCCGGCCGCGCCATCCGATGCAAGGAGAGGCGGTGCAGGGGGGGCGTTCTCACGACCTACGAATACGTAGTCGTCGTCGAAGCTCGTCTTGGACGCTGGTCGCTTGCTTGCGGCCGCCGACACGGCAGCGGCGGTGCTCATGTCGAAGAAAGAGAGGAAACCGAAGTCGCAGAACAATTCGATTAAAATCCGACGGCAGAATGCATGCGGGTTCTGTCTCAAATAAAATTGCCGGTTTGGCCGGCGCAGTAATATAAAATTCCATCCACCGTTTTAAAAATAGACCCTCACGGTATCGGATTGGCCAACTCTTACCCAATCAAACGACAAATCCACCGACACAGGAAAGACACCATATCGCCATGCACATGTTCCGTTCATGCCCTCATTCGACCTGCGTGCGCCAAGCATCTCGCAGCAAGCGTTTGGATCGTCGTCTTGGAGCCCTTGAAGAGCGACGTGCGTTCCAGCTTCGAACTTTCACCATGAACCCCTCGGCACGTGCATGCCAACAGAGCACATTTTTCTATCGCTATCTTGTGGTTTTCTGTTTGGATATCGTGTGGGGATCTCCCTCATGTTGTCGCGGTTCCGGGACTCTCGCGTTGAGAAGCACTCGTCTTGGACAACCGTAAAAACTCTGGCGAGAGATGTGCAGGTCATGGGACTGCTGCCCAGTGAGACGTGCAAGCCTATGGGTTGAACAAGGCGATTCCCTTCGCCTTGCCATCCGCGGGATATACGGATAAACGTATTATCCGGATCACGCCGTTTGCGCAATCATGGCATGATCTTGAACCGTCGTCATCACGTCATTCGTTGGCGACGGCGTCAAATTGCAACAACATGGTGGTGGAACTGAACGCATGGGACCCAACGCAGTACAACCGTGCTGCGGGGTTTGTCGCTCGAGAGTTTGGTGAGAGCCTGGTCGAGGTCCTTCGTCCTCAGCCGAACGAGACGATCTTGGACCTGGGCTGCGGTGATGGTGCCGTCACGGCGAAGATCGCGGCGACTGGTGCGAGCGTCATTGGAGTGGATTCCAGCGAGCCCATGGTGTCGCACGCGCGGGCGCATTTCGGCCTGGACGCACGTGTCATGGATGGCCAAGCATTGACGTTCGACAATGGCGAAGTGTTCGATGCGGTGTTTTCGAACGCGGCATTGCACTGGATGCCCAACACCGAAGGCATCCTCAGTAGCGTGGCCTCGGTGCTCAGGCCTGGAGGTCGCTTCGTTGTCGAGTGTGGGGGGTTTGGCAACATTGCGTCCATCGTGACGGCCATCGTTGCCGTCTTGGCTCGACATGGAATCGATGGCCGGTCGAAAATTCCATGGACGTTTCGAACGGCGACCGAGTGGGAAGCGCATCTGACCAACGCGCGCTTCCGTGTCAAATCGATTGCGAGTTACTCGCGGCAGCCAGTGTTGCCCGACGGGATCGTTGGGTGGCTCAAGACGTTCGGGGACAACTTTTTTGACGAGTTGCCCGTGGATAAGCGGGAAGAAGCGATGCACGACATCCAAGACCTGCTGAAATGGGTATCGTGGCGCGCATTTCAGGCGTTGTCAAATTGCTGGCGTGTGCTACGTAGAGCTTGTGCGATCGAGAAGGTTTGTGGCGAGCCGACTACATCCGCCTGCGTTTCGAGGCGATCAAGGAGTGATGAGGCGTGCGATCAATCCATCGCGAGTGGTCAGTCGGGACATCCTCTGATCCTCCAACCTAATCCTCATGGAATGCATGGCCCATGCATCGTACTTGGAAGTTTTTGATTAGTGCATTGCATTTACGGCGTGGGAGCCCCGTAGGCGCCACCGCCAGGCGACAGGATCGTCAGCACGTCACCGGGCACGACTTCCACCGTGTTTTTTCCGCCCTAAACACGCCAGACGATGACATTCACACATGATCATGTCCACAGCATACCAAATTGACCGTTCGCCCGTCCGAGTACGTCAGCAGGTTGTGTCCTCGAGCACCAGGCCCTCCCCCAAGCAAGCCGTATCTAAAACATGATCAGCCTCATCACACTTCAACCCAATTCTCCTAGTGAACGTACGGTTGAAACGCGCGACGCTCCGACAGGATGCTGACCGTCATGGGTGCCATGAACTTGAGTTCGCGATGGACACCTTCGCCGCCTGCAAATTTACCAACCCCACCCGAGCCCGAACGCAGTCCGAACGCGTTGAGCAGGACGGGGTACCGCTTTTCAAGAATTTCGGGGTCTGTGATCCGGGTGTTGGTCATATGTGTGTGGACACCACTGCGGCCGTGCCAGTGCGGACCAGCGCCCGCCCCGCCTGCGATTGTCTCGTAGTAGCCGCCCAACGTCGACGAGCCAAACGTAAGGTTGTTCATGCAGCCCTGCGATGCGGCGCACGCACGAAAGGCGAGGAAAATGACGTCCGTGACCCGTTGGGATGTTGTAACGTTGCCACCGACGACGGCCGCCGTGGAGCTAGGGTTCAAAATACTGCCATGCTCCGGAAAGACTACTTGGATGGGTGTGAGGCAGCCTTGGTTCAACGGCAGATCGTCGCCGTCCAAGAGGCACCGCAAGCAGTAGATGATCGCAGAATATGTGACTGCGGGCGGGGCGTTGATGTTGCCGTACACTTCGGCGCCCGTGCCAGTGAAATCAAAAATTGCGCTGTCGTTTCGTCGGTCGATTGTGATCTTGAGGGCCAGGCGGGTGCCGTCGTCCATAAAGTCTTCTGCCGTCACGCTGCCAACTTCTGGCAGATTTTGCGCGAGCGAGAACGAGTGGAGCATGTTCCGCACGGCCTTTTCCGCAGAGTCCTGTAGCACACACACGGCGGGTCCGTCTCCCTTGGAAATGCAAACGCGATCGACATTACCTGGATAAAATACATGTAGGCTGTCACGACCTTGAGCGAATACTCGGCAATCAAGTCGTGCATGAGGAGGACGCCGCGTTGGTTGGCGGCGACTTGGGCTTTCAAGTCGGACAGGTTGTCTCGAAGGTTGCGCGTGCCGATGGCAGGGCGGCCGTTCGAGTCGACCTTTCCCTTTTGCAGCAAAATGTCGGTGATGCCTTGCTCTTGGAATTGCCCCGACCGACCATCGACCAACTTGAATGCGACGATAGCAGCACCTTCTTCCGTCAACGTCTTGGAAAGAGGAGGCATCGAGCCCTGTACGTTCATCTGTCAGTCCCGACATATCTTTGGAACGGTCACCATACCGGCGCAATGCCGCCAATGTCGGCGTGGTGGCCACGACTGGCGACAAAAAACACGATGCGACCGTTTTCAAATACCGGCGTCATCACCGTGATGTCTGGCAAGTGGCTGCCACCGGCCAACTGCGGATGGTTTGACACCAGGACATCTCCCTCGACGATGTCATCACCCCAATGTTGCATCTACGTGAAGACTTAGAGCGAACAGGCCGACGTGAAAACGTCCTTCGCACCTGAAAGCGAACAGCTTGTTGCATGGCCCCCAAGTGCACGGGCAAGTGCGGGGCGTTGGCGACGAGGCCGCCATCAGGTCCAAACAATGCGCACGAGAAATCCAAGCGTTCCTGGATGGGTCGATCAGCCAGTTATCACTCCATGCACCGCGCATACCTTGATGTTGACAGACACGGATGTGCGCGCCAATGTGCGTCCCATTTGCTCGGCAATGCCCATGAAACGATGCGAAAAGACGGACAGCTGGATGGGATCCATGACGACGGGGACATCCTCGATTTCGTTGTGAGCTTGGTCTGCCAGCGACGCAGGCGCTGAGTGGAAGAGGTAGAGGTCGCCGTTGGGCAAGATCTCGGCTGTCCACTCGGATTCCACGACGACTGTCGCTTGGTTTTGCATGATGATGACAGGTCCTTGTACAATCGTTTGCGTGTTGAGCATCTCGGCATGCAAGTACACAGGCACGTCCTTCCACGTCTTCAACTCATCAAAGTACAATGGAGACGTCGCGTGGGGCGACGCCGACACTGCCGGCAGCGCCGTGTTGACCTTTTGAGTGTTGGACGGGGGGGAAAACGTCCCGCGGACACGAATATCGTCGACCAAGACCGACCGCGCATGCAACAAGAACCCAAACTCTTGCTGGTACTTGGCCGAGAACGCCGCGCCGAAGTCAAACTCGAGGAGCGCCGCCTCGACGCTCTTGCCAGCAGGCAGCACAGCGCGAGTCATGAGGGCCGTGTCCGTTCCCTACTCTCCCTCGAATGATGCATAACCGGGTCTTGTCATGTCTTACTTCATAACGCAGGTTCAGAAAATATTCCAACGTGCTGTGGGCTTCGTCAAACCCTTCAGCCTTCAGGTCCGCCAACACCACCGACGCCAGAGACTGCAACTTGGCAACGAGCGACGCCTACGAAGGACAGCATAGTTGCGACAGTGTCTCGTATCCAGTCGCTACCTTTTCCGACGGAACGTACGAGCACGACGCCGGCAACTGCTTGTCGATGACGCTGTCGGCCAAACTCAATCCGTACGCCGACAGGATGCCACTGTATCGCTGAATGTACACTTTGCTCATCCTACCAACTCGAATCAGCCCATAAGTGAACAAACGCCAACACGTACCCAAGGGCCTTGGCAATCGAGCACGCATGTTGTGGCCCCGCGCCACCGAAACACGCCAGCACGTGGGTCGTGATGTCATACCCTCGCATCTACATTTGCAGCGTTACCTTCATGCCTGCACGAGCCTCTCTTGAAATCACTGGCTTACTTGGGTCAAGTTTCGGATCGGGCGACACATGGCTTCGTTTGCGACGCGCAAAAAGCCCGACGCAATTTCTTCGATCGAGTACGACGTATTTTGGGACGCATTGATCTCGTCCGTGAGGGCTTTGAACGCTTTGCGTGTGCCTTCCACGTCCAACGGTTCGTTCTCGTCTACATCCATGCATGTCAGGCCCCGTTTACGTCGCCGACACACAACGCACTAGGACCGAAAATATGCGGGAAATAGCGAGGGACGATGCGGCCGGTGACCAAATTCGCGTCCGTGACACTGAGGTGGCCGTTTTTTCGGTAACAAACGGGGCCGGGATGGGCGCGGACGCTTTCTGGACCAACAACAAATAGTTGATTCTTGTAAAACAGACGAGACCCGCCACCAGCAGCCACCGTTTGAATGTCGAGCTGGGGGGCACGAATCGGGACATTTGCCGTCACGCTTTCGAATACGTGCTCGAACGTGCCGTCGTACCGCGAAACGTCGGTCGACGTCCCGCCCATGTCGAACCCGATGACTAATTTCACACGATGAGCACGAGAGGATATGCAGTGAAATGTTGCAGGATGCAGTACCTGGCAACGGTGCAGGAAGACGAGGAGGGCGAGTCGTGCGGGCATACCCAACGACGCCTCCAGCAGGACCAGACAAGATCGCGCGGTTGCCAAAAAAGGACGACATTGGAGTGAGTCCACCGTCCGATTGCATGAAACTGATCTTGACGTCTTTCAGGTTAGCGTCAAACCCCGAGCAAAACGAATGCAGGTAGTCCTTCGTAAAAGTGAAAACATGCAGCTGCAGGACCTCCGGAAGGGCGAGGGTACCTTAATGACCGGAGTGAGGTACGCATCAGCACACGACGTAAACCCGCGCGGGACCATCTTGACCATGGGCATGATGTCCGACGACAACGAGATCTACATGGGCGGTGCGAGTTGTGATCAATAACCTGGGTTAGGCGTACTTGAGAAAAGCCGAGCTCTTGCGCTAATGCCCCGATCAATTGTTCGTGTTGCATGAATGTGTACGAATGCACGAGCACGACTGCAACGCTCTTGATGCCTTTGGCTCGCACGGCCTGCACGATAACGTGAATTCTTGTCGACGAGCGACGAAATGAAAGAGAAGGACCGCACCGATAGTTGAACGCGGAGTTCGTCGAGGTTGGGCGGCATGATCACGCGAACGTAATCGCCACTAATCCCGCGAATGTCGGAGGGTTGGCGGTCGTTTCCAAACACAAGCTGCACACGCTCGTTCACTTCAACAACTTCTTCGTACAGCATCTACGCCAATGGCAACATTGAGGGATGATGAAACGAATGCATGGAGACAACATACATCAGGAGATGTGATTTCCAAATCGAAAATTTTGGGGCGAGATTGATTTCCAATGTACAGTAAATCACGAAACCCCTTTGTGATGACGAGAGCTGTGCGCTCGCCATTGCGCTCGAGCAATGCATTTGTCGCGACAGTCGTGCCCATGCGAATGTACTCGAGCCGAGAAGTGTCCACAGGTTGATTTCTTGGGTGTGGGATGCCTGTAAATTCCTCCAAAATGCGGCGAATCCCTTCCCTACAAATTGTGGAGTTGTTAGCAAGTTGGAAATCTTGGATGCAATCGGGTTGACAAGTTGTTACCGAGGGGCATCGGGGTAATTGGCGGGATCTTCCGACAGAAGCTTGATCACTTTGACTTGCACATCGCTGTCGGAAGTTCCCATCTCAGCGTAGACGTCCGTAAAGGTACCGCCGCGGTCAATGGACACTCGAATCGTTCGTTGCATGACGCGCGAGTCGTGTTGTGCAATTTGCAAAATGGACCAACTGTGTTGTCGGCGAATGTTCGGATAAAGGAATCCGGAAGAGAAACGTCCGTGGAGATTTGTGCCGCCCGTCATCGAGTCGAAATCCACGGACATGGCATCATGCCATCGAAGGCGATTGGGTGAAGCAGGCGATCTATTTGGTGCTCTGATGGCTCACATCCCTCAGTCCCCTCAAAGTATGCCGATATGCCGCATGCGGAACGCGTCACAGCTGTCGCATTGTACTCTGGGGGAGAAGGAGTTCGTGACGCTCACTTGGGTCATGGACGCTAATCCAGTCATTTCATATGTCGCGGCCCCTCCACTCGCCTAAATCGTCCTGCCCCCCATACCTACCACCTCAGGCACCACGCGCCCTCCTCGTTCCCCTACACCAGTAAGTCGAGTCATGCTGGGGGGTGGTTGATGAGAGATTCTACTTTCCGGGGGAGGCTGATGAGAGACTCTGCTTTCCGGGGGCACAAACGTTGAAGATAACAACACACAGCTCATTGAAAGCATGGCATTGATGGTGAATGGTGTCCCGCTGTGGTGCGCGCTTGCGCCTTTTGACGGCATCGAAGTTGGTGAGTTGCCTTTGAGGATCTTGAACGAAAGTAAAAAGTGATCGACAGCAATTAGTGTGATTTCGATGATGACAAGTTTAAAAATGCCTGCACCTCCATTCAAATGGCAAGATAATGTGTATTTTATTCAAGTTACCGAAGGTGCAACGCAGGAGTCGAGCATTTTGAGGCGACTTGTTCTATGAATGCGACAAGGTGCGTCCCGGACGCGCCATCAAAGGCGATGCATTCATGACTGGTCTGGACGACATACTTGGGATTGTAGTGTTCCTTTGATGGCGAAGCCGACGCGCCAGCGTCTGGAGAACGAACTGGATACGCAGGAGAGTCCGGAAGTTGACATCGAAGATCTCATGCACTCGCTTGGGTCGTTCCAAGCAGTGTTGCTCCCAGTCACCTTGACGATGGTGTTGTCGAGGTATAGTGCTCACGGTTTTAATTCCATGCGGTGTGAACCGAGAACCTACGTAGCTTTGCCTCTATTTTGATCCGAGACCCTGACGCCGCTGCGCAGATGGCACAGTACGATCCCAGCATCCTTGTCCATTCAACACGTTTGATGGCTTCCCTTTAGAGCGTACCTTGTGTACAAGCCCGACGATAGCGACTCAGACAGTGCGCTTCTTGGCCATGCCTTCGTGAACGCGCTGGCGATTGTGTGCTTTTTCATCGTCGCGACGTTCGTAATTGTCATTTGCTACAAGTTCAAGTTCACCAACGTACGGTCCTTCGACCTCGACAAGTGAAGGAGCTCTCATGCATTATTGTCGCGTAGTTTCTCGTCGGGTACATGTTCCTGTCGTCTGCCGTGCTTCTCGGGTTCCTTGGCGGTCGGTTGGCTGAAGTCGCGCTCGAAAATTTGAGCGTTCCCGTCGACGTGTGGTCGTATTGGTTCATCATGTACAACTTTGCAGTCGTGGGAGTTTTGTCGATCTTTTACCAAAAGGTGTCGATCTGTGTCGTCCCTGCGGCTGACCCCCGCCATTAGGGTGTAAACATGTCGTTGACGCAGTCGTACTTGGTCGCGGTGTCCATCATCATGGCGTGGCAACTCAGCAAGTTTCCGGAATGGACGACTTGGGCTCTCGTGGTCGTCCTCGCGTTCTACGATCTGTGTGCCGTCCTTACACCATGCGGGCCGCTCAAGTGCTTAGTCAACCTCATCCAGCAGGAAGGTCGTCCGCTGCCTGGTACACACTCGTTGTTCTCGAGATTTATTGCTAAGCCGATGCAGGTCTGCTGTACGAGGCCGAGGTGCAGCGCACATTTCACTCTGACGCCCACAGCCCATCATACTACCAACGTGGTGGGCCACCATGCCCTGAACAGGCAACTGGCACACAAACCACTTGCACGTTTACGCGGCGTCGTTCTCGCCCCGACGACAGCCACGAACCGTTGCTGGCGGCTGCGTCGTCGACGGACACCTCTGAGATGACGACGACAGCCAAGCTGCCGCTCCGTGACCGACTTGTGGCTTTCTACAACGAGTACAATCCTTCAGCCATCGAGCGAGTCGACCAAGTGCTCGCTATTTACGAAGGGCGAGAGCGTGATCTGTGGAACGACCTGGCGGCCAAGTATGGCCCCCACGACGATGACGAGGACGGTAAGAAGTGCTTTGCAGAGTCGAGGAAATTCTCACCATGGAGACAGACAACACAATCAAGCTCGGACTTGGCGACTTTGTCTTTTACAGCGTTCTCGTGTCGCGCGCAGCCATGTTTGACGTGATGGCGATGATTGCATGCCTCGTATCGATCCTCATGGTACGTGTCGTGCTGTGGTGACTGGAAGCTCAAGGCGTTGCAGGGCCTGGGCAGCACGCTCTTCCTCCTCAGCGTGTACAAGAAGGCGTTGCCTGCGCTCCCGATCTCGATCTTGCTAGGCGTAGCTATCTATCTCTGGGTCCGCTTCGTCCTGGTCGACTTTATGGACAGCACTGTCGTGATGCAATAGCTGTACGGGTGGAGAAGGGAGATATTCCAGCGATATCACCCAAGATAAAATATTTTACGGCATTCCATCGTCCTGTCAAGTGCTGGTTGTCGATGTGCGACTTGTGTTTACGATCTTGGCTTTGCTGGCGTGCCAACTCGGCAACGACATGCTCATGTTCCGCCCGTGTCGAACTGGCTGCATCATGGGCAGTCGTTGCAGTAGATAGCTCGTTCGATATGGTGGTGCTCTTGCAGGCATCCGATGCCATGGTGATGCGCTCCGTCATAGTTGTTCAATTGTGGTGCCACTGCCATAAAAAGCCACCGAGTCCGTGCTCGCATGAGACTGCACACCGCGTCAGCCTGACCGATCTCTTGAATCCTGTCAGGATCATTCAAGGAAACCACCGAGTACGTGTATTTGAATTCACACCACAGCAACTTTGTTCTCAATATATCAGCGCGTACACCCAGGATCTATTTGCACATGTTATTACACTTCATTCTCTTTGGGCGTGGCGACAAGGTCGGGGTCATAAGCGACAGGGACGAGAGCGGGGCGGGAGCGCGACTTGAGACTCGACAGACCGATGGCGCCGAAGAGCAGCAACGGGTGGCTGAGAAACGTGCCAACGTACCAAACGGGAGACGCCTGGCTAGACATATCGAGAAATTTGTATGGCCACAGCCCGTAGTTCCACGTTTCGTGGCTAATCCAGGCAAATGTCCCGTAGAGCACGGGCAGGATCACAATGGGCCCGAGGGACGCTTTCCGTACGACGAACCCGTTGAGAACGAACTCGCCGACGAGGAAGATGCAGTTGATGCCGTGCTGAAACACCGTCATGAGCCGGGTTGTCTTGTCGATTCTGGATGGGTACACGACGCCCCAATACACGGCACACACGAGAAAACTCACGGCGAAGCACACATCAAAGAGCGCGTTGAGCGCGCGGCTTTCGCGGGTCGATGGTATCGCCGTGCCAGTTTCATGTCGGTGGCGGAATTGATGCACAGTCGCCCACACCAAGTAGATGAACTGGAGCGTCAGGTTCCACACAGTGTAGTACAGCCACGCACGTGGAAGTGTGTTGTAGCCAAACAGCGCCACACCGAACAACCCGACAAGGAACGCTCGATAGCCCAAGAGGAATATGGACGGCGATGGCTGGTATAATTCGTGGACTGGGGCCTTGACTTGATGGAGGCAGTACACGCCCGCGGCGCCTGTCAAGGCCAGGAGGAAACCTATCACAAACGCTTGCCACATGATAGCGCTGCTGGAGGTGTGAATCTGGGTCAGGGGGTGGCGACAGCCTTGGGTGCCGTTATGAATTGTCTTCAACGTTTTTGGTGTGACACGCGACACGACCATGCACCCCATGATATCATGTGCCTCTATAGAGTATTTTCAAGAATACAGTGTAGTTGCCTTGACGTCGTCTGACGAGTCGACCTGAGGACATGTTGTACATGAAGTACTACGTAGTACTACTAGTAGTACACTAGTACGACTAAACAAGGACAGACACGCCCAATACGGTCATCCCGCAGGTCACTTGTCGTGGAGAGCGCGCATTAATGTGGTCGCGAAACCCCGTGAAGCGACATGCTTGGAGGGTCCTTCGTCCACCGGCCAAGGCACCATCCGTTTGTCCCTTCATCCAGCAGCAACTAGACGTGGCATGCATCCACGCAGGTTGTCGAAACCAACAAAGAGTCAGGCTCTTGGCGCCAATATGAAGGCTGCCTCGCAACAGTACTGAAATGTAAGGCGGACTCCTATCCATACGATGAATAAGGTCTTGCTTCTGCCGCCTCGTGGCTCGTTATCTGAGCTCCGGTGCCACGAGTAACAGGAAAGGTGCGCATGGAATGACTTGATGCTTCGTTTTCTGGCCTTCGCCACAATGGTGTGCAGAACAGGGAAGAAATCGACCATGTTCTGCTGTCGAATCTTGTGAACCGTTCACGGGTCACGAATAATCCGCCGGAGATGTTTTGAACGAATCGCGAGTTGTTTTGAACGAATTGCGAGTTGTTTTCAACGAATTGCGAGTTGTTTTCAACGAATTGCGAGTTGTTTTGAACGAATCGCGAACGTCGGACACTGCAATGAAGGGACCTGATTGGCGCAAATCATGTCACTGAAATCCGGCGCCATTTATCAGAAGCTCTTCCGGCGGCCGGTGCAGGAGATGGCCGACCACAGGCAAGGAAAACTGCAGCAATGTGGCATGAGAGGATGTCTAGCGTCTTGCAGGACGGGCTGCCGCATGAATCTTGCCCAAACCGTTCACGTGGATAACGTCCATACCGTCCATGCGTCTTGCCGCGTGCGCAGAGATGCATGTGAGAGGTTACAGTATTCCGTCGCATCGAAATGAAAAGCATGACGAGGGTAAACATCACAGGTGAAATTGAATGATGGAACACTGCTGTGGACACGTCGTTGAGGGAAGGAAACGAACTGCTCGACCGAGTTGGGACATAGGCGCTGTTCGAGTGTGTGCAATAAGTACCAGGCACAGAAATGGGACTCACGCGCTCGCCACGCGCTTGGCCGAACGGTCTTTAACGTAATGCCAGCTTGGCAACCAATGTCCGGTTCTGAATCCATGGCCATATCGTCCAGGGAGTTGCAAGAACATAGATCTCTTTAGCGTCGTCGGCTTGATCGATGCTGAATTCTTCCTCGAGCGCCATGCCTTGTTTCCTGATCGCGTGTGCTCCATGTCTGCATCAACGCTTGTGTCCACCGTCGCGCCGTAGGAAGCGTTTCCACTGCGCATATCGTGCGTCATCTTGTATCTTGGTGCAAATCTTCAACTGAAACTCCTGGCAACATTCCACGGAAGGAGATAAAACATTCAACTTCAACGCTGGAAATGGAACTTTTTCTCCCGACGCTTCCATCGACATCTTCTCTCCACCGCCCCATGCACCGAGCGCACGGAGTCGCATGAACACACCCGCCGTCGCTGTTGAGTTGTCACAACGTCGGTGCCCACGGACGGGGGTCCTAACAACGAGGTACTCATCTGCGTCCCACCTGTCTGGCGCCAGCATCCTCCATCGAATGACGAATGCTACCATTGACACCTTCGGCCGCGTCCACCATCGAGTCGTCACGTTGCTCCGACGGCATCCCCATTGTGTCGCTCATTGCATTCTTGTTACAATGTTCACTGGTTCCTATTGCTTGACCTCCCAGGCGACCCTTCAGTCGTTCCAGACGGCACGCATCTCTGTCAACGCCGCACGCAAGTCTTCGGCAAACGCCGTCGAGCTCGTCGTACCCGCCGACTTGTCGCTGGAAATGTGAAAAAACAGATCCGAGTCACCGGCAATCATGTAGCTCACGCCGTACCCATCCGTGGCGACAGGACCAAACCCGCCGCCGGGGCAAATGCACTGACTGACATCTTCCAGAATCTGGCGCTTCTTGATCGTGGCCACCAAATTGGTCTGCGCTTGAGGTTGCTGGCTTGTGCTCAACCGCCACGGTCGGCTTAGCGCGTCCTTCAGAAACGGCGACTCGATTCCCATGCCGACCGACACACAGTACAACGTAAACAAGTGGCGATCGACGCCCAAGCCCGACATCGCATTGCGGTACAAGTCCTGGTGCGCTTCGCCGGCCGCCCACCCCAACTTGCGTCGAGTCTCGTTCGACACGGTCGGGTCGACCATGGCCAGCACAAACGCTTTCGACTGATCCGTCACCGGGCGCACCGTCTCGGTACGGCCGTGCTTGTACAAGCGTGTCATGCTGGCCTCGTACGTCTGCGTAAACGTTCCATGCGTGTTCTTGTAGTATGCAAACTGCAGCGCAAGCTGAAGATACGCGTCCGGGCTCATCTTGCACGTCTTGGTAATCGCGACTTTGCCATACTCGGCATGGTTGAGCACGCGCAGGTCAAAGTTGGCGATCGCCGTGGCCGCCGCCGCCATGCATGCGTTCACTGCATCGTTGAGGTCGGGCGTCCAATTCCATTGAAGCTGTTCGCATCGCGGCAGCGTCACGTCCGTCTTGAACGACGCGGGCTTCTTGCAGTGGCCGTCCGCATCGTACATGCCATCGAGAATCTCCCGAAACGATACTTCTTCCCACAAGTGCGCCATCACGGGCGCGTCGGCCCAAGAGTGCTCGACATTGTGGCCGACCATTCCGTTCGCAAACGCCACCATCGTAAACGACTTGTCAAACCACCGGTTCCCGCCGTTGCCGTGGATCAAAAGTTTTCCTTGTTCGTCGATATGCTCGGGGGTCGCATCATCCAGCACAAGCACAAACACGGCAGACTCAATCACACGAAGCGACTTGCGGTTCACACCCTCCGAGAAAAATGTGTCGCGGTGCTCGGCCCACGTCGTGCGATTTGCGCTGGTGAGGGCGCCGAGATGCTGCTCCTGGACAATGTCTTCTGGCGCACATGCATTCGACACGGCAATCAATTGCTGCTGAATGTCGTACGCGCTCAAGAGCTCACCATACGTACCCTTGCGGAAGAGTGGCACTTTGAACCAACGGCCGCGACAGTTGACTGCGAGATGCTTGGACGACCCATACTTTTTCAGCTTGTCTTCGTCGCGCCCAGGCAAGCGCGTCGTGGAAAAGATGCGCGTGTACTGGGACATGCAGAGCGGCACCAGCCCACGCAACATGATGGGAGGCAGCTGCTCGCGATCGAGCCTTTGCTTGAACTCCATAAGTTGGCGGACGACGCCGGCGGCGCGAGCAAGCTGGTTTGTCGACGGAATGTACCGTGCAGGAAGGACGTAGTAGTTGCTTCCAATCATGATGGACGATCGACCCTTCAAGTACACGTATTGCTCCCACCAGTCCGAAATGTAGTTGTCCGCGTACCAACTCTTGAGCACCAAGTAGCGTTGGAGCTTTGGCCCAGCGTTCGCTTCGAATTCAGTCACAAGCGCTTCAATTCGCTTGTATTCTTCGTCCGACACGAGCGGATGGATCGATTTCATGTACCGTTCCAACGTTGCTTTCAACGGCGGCACCGACATGCGCGGCAATGCACTTTGGAACGAAAACGTCAACGGCGAACGGCCGCCCAATACCTTGATCAACGAGGCCCACGCGGTCACAACCATGGACGTTTCCCTTGGCGCCAAGTACAACCAGCCACGGTACCCCAAAAGTGCTCGGAGAATGACCCGATGCACCGACATGAGCAACACAAGACCGGCAAACGCAGCCCACGCGGTCAAGTACGCCACGTACAAGCTTCGAGGGATGGATGATGCAAACGGGACGAAGAAGTTGCCTATGTGCCAGACCCACCACGAAATCGTACTGTGTCGCCAGTACGAGTCCTCCGGCGAGCTCGCGACGATTCCAATCAAGACGACGACGATTGCTCCAGCGACAGGAGGGGGCACCGGGTATATCACGTTCTGCACCGTGTTTTTCATGTAATGAACGTGGCGAACAACCGTGGAACGCAATTCGCTCGGCGACGGAATCACGAACGTCACTTCGATCGACCCTTCCTGTGACACCAGTAGCTTGACGCCGCGGCGGTTGCCGTCGTACACATGGACGGCCGCGCGCGCTTCGGCCATGCGATCACCACGTCAATCGAAGAATGGTTTCGCCGTCCATGGGCTGTTGACATGACGTTGAAGTTGAAAAGATCGCGCGTTTCAGCCAATCACAAGCTGCAAAACCTTGCTTTGTCAACAGGTGTGCCAACGGACGCAACCGGATAATATCCGGAAGAACGACACGCGAGACGATGACGTAGCCACACGAGGTCAATCCATCGCGATGGCTGCAACTCCTGTCTCCATGACACTTCCGCATGCGAAGCTGTCCCAGGATGCCTTGTGTTCATGTGCCGTACTTCGCCACGACGTCACTCGTTGTCGTGTTTGACAGAGTTACTTTATTGAGCATCCCACTTCAACTAACACGCAACTGTTTCGAGTACGACGCTTGCTTCGGAGCCTCTTGAATGAAGTTGAAGGCGATCGCGCCGGAGGACGCTTGCCAGTTTTGAACGGCACCTGCATGATCACTCTTCGGACGGAGCTGCCCATGTTGGGGTTGTGAGTTTCACGACAATTTGACTGTAGCAAGCGTACAGTAAAACCTGCGTGACCTCGGCCGTTTTAGGACAGTGACAACAGGGTTTACGTAAGGAGCAATTCACGAGTAGCGCGATAAGCTTAGTTGGCGAGCTTAAGTGTTGCGACTGCCATTTGCAATGCGCCATCAAATGTCTTGTTGCCGCCGATGAATCCGCCTGCATGGACGAAGGTCCCGCCTTCAATACCAGACGCGGCAACGAGGTCTCCGTCGCGAAGTCCGCGCCACGCGGCGGGCAGTCCCATGCGCAACGCGAATTTTCCGTCTTCGACATTAACAGCTTGGATGCGCCACATACCGCCCGTCGAGTCTTCGTACAGAACAAACTTGATTTGGCCAGAAATGAGCAACTCCGCTTCGATGTCGTACAGGTGCGCCTTCCACGGGCAGTACGCCAGCGTCATAATTTCGCCAGACTCGTGCAGCTGAAAGCGGCTCTTGAGTGCCGCTTCCACGATCGATCGCGCCGGCAGCCATGCCTCGTAGTAGTACAGCACGCGCTCGACAAATTCGGACACGGTCAAGGTCATGGCCTACACAAACTGGGATGATCCAAGTGAGTTATGGTCCAATACGCACCTGGTGAAAGCGGCCGTTTACAAAGTCGTCCGACTGACTTTCGTTCCACCGCGGGTTCAGGTAGCCGACCCGAGCGCTAAGGGACGTCGTGATCGAGTAGTTGGTCGTTCCGGACGCGACTTCCACACCGTTGTCGATCCCGTCAATGTGTTCCACGAATCCCTTGTACATCTTCTTGTACATAACCTCCAGCACGTTTTCGGACAGCGAGTGGTCGCAAATGGTTTGTAGAATGTCACGACCAAAGTGCCTGCCACAAGTGAACGCCCGTGTCAGTCTGAAGATCAGCATCATGAGTAGCATGCCACGCACTTGTATACAAGCCCAGCGCTCGACAACTTGATGTTCTCGCCTTCTAGGGTGTCCGCGAACGTCTTTTGGTGATGGTCCAACCGGATGCGACTAAAGTCATATTCACCGCCGACATCGACCACGGCTTCGCAGTGCGATAACTTTTCCAAGTCGCGCGTGCGCAAAATGGCTACAACGTAGAAAGAGCATGTGGTAAGTCAACATGGACACAAAGGCGCGGAGGTTACCGTGCGATTCAAAGCGTGGCAACATCTTGAGGAGTGACACAGCCAGCGCTTCGTCGCAATGGAACGTGCCATTGTGCGTCCCAATGTACTTCATGCCCTGGCGACAAACGATGACACGATGCTTGTGAAGACGATCGATACCTGGGTCACGGCGGACACCACCTTGGCTTGCTGTACTTTCAGGAGGGTCTTGGGCACGCTGCTCATGGTACGATGTTGACGAGTGAGTTGGTGGTGCGGTGGACACAGTACAATAGGGCATGGCGTCTCGAAATACCTTAAATACACTATTTCAAGCAAAAGGTGGCAAGTGGCGTTTTCGAGAGGTAAAAAGCACCAACGGCGATTCCAACCGAAAGCGCCGCGGTCCGTTATTGTCACCGCAGATGGCGTACAATCGAATAAAAATGTCGTTGCAGGGTGTACGTACGAGCGTCGACGTTCGCGAGCTCCGATACGGGGGTACAGTCTCCCTAGGGTGAGCGTGCAGGGTGTGTACGATATTGAAGTCCATGTATTCATGTGCGATTCAAAAGTTGGGATTTTTCGAGTTGTAATGGTCGACAACCAAAATGTGGAAAATGTGATAAAATCATCGAGAGGGCAATTCTTGTCGTGCCCCAACAAAATTCCACCATCATCACGATTCCCACTGGAGTGACCCAACGAAAGCAGAGACCCGCACGAGAATCGTCGATGTCCGGTCCACAACGTCACGTTCAGGCGGAACTTACCAAACAACGACCTGGAACGAGGATAAGCAGGCGCGGAATGGATAGACCTCACACGAATTCCGCCGTTTGTTACACCAAGTGTGTAACTTGGAATTCGTCAATTGATTTGGATCAGAAATTGTCCCGATGCATACAACGCCTCGAGTGCGCTGGTGCAATGCACATGGGACGCCCCCGCTGTCCCGCATGAAGTCTGTCTCTGAGAAGTTCATCTCCACGATAGCGCATCGTGCGCGGGCAGCCCGTTCGTTGCGCGGCGCTTTGTTGCTTAGGTAGGATGTCGTGGGTGGGTGCGGATGGCCAAAGTTTGGTGATGAAAACCCTTGACGATGGATAATAAAAGCAAGATGTTTCTCGTGGTAAATGTCGGCGACACGATCGGGCGATTCAAACAGTTCTTGGTTACGACCACATGCACATAATGCTTATTTATATTCGATTGTAACTCATTGGATTGATATTCCAAGGTAATTGTCACAGGAATGGATGTTGGGAATAAAAGTAGGATGTTGCATGTGATATACGTGGTCGTCCTGATAGCTTGAACCGAGGTATACAATTTGGTCATATCCAGCATGTTACTCATGGGAAACGACGGTGAGCACAAATTGCACATGCTTGGCACACCTCATTCCCAATCACTCGATGCTGGACGGTGAGCAAGCGATGTTTCTTGAGGGATCGATGGGCATATTGTCTCATGCACGACGGCTCCTTCCTTAGGTCACACGCCAATGGAAGCTGTGCAACCAGTCCGCGTCAAGTACATCAAGTTCACGTCCGCGATGGACGTGGCGCTGCTCGAGCTCATTCAGTTGCACAAACCGATCTCGGCAAAGCATGGAACGCGACTCGCGATGTGGGAGCGCGTGGCACGAGACTTTGGTGCGCAAGTGTTTGATAACCCCTTGGCTTGCAAGTGGCAGATCTGTCGGTACGTTCCACGGTTGGGTCTTGTGTGGTGAGGAACATGCAATGATGGATGCTGGCGATGCAATTCAGGGATCGAGGCAATCTTCTCCTTCGGTGGTTCGACGATGGCAGGTTCGACAAACTGTTCAAGGACGACAGCGAAGCACGGAACAGGAAGAAGGAGGCACTGCTGCAGTCGTTGCGCCAGGCTTCCTCTGTGAAGCAAGGCAGCACATCACCGCCGTCGCCGACCAAGTCTTCGTCCGCGGCATCACCGACGCATCCTCGCCCGCAGGACAATACTCAAACCCTCCACGAGCCAAAACATCAACCTACGATCAGTCTCATACCACGACATTCAACGATGTTCTCCACTGCATCATCTCCTCACGCGTCATCGACGACGCAACGCAGCGCGAAGTTTCCTCCGTCTCCGAGCCACCTCCATTTTCGCCCACAACAGGAGTCTTCTCCAAATGGCGTGCCGTCGCCTCCGATCCACCTCCCGTCTCTCAAAGCACAGGCTCCTCCCGCGCAGCCCGCCGCTCTACCCCACGTAGGTGCCACGACTGCTTCACCCCCGATACCCTCCATCGCACACCCCACTGCCATGCTATCCATGGGGGCGTCGTCGTTGTCGAGTGCAGCACGAACGAAGTCGCTGCACGACCAACAACAGTCTCCCAACACGCCGTTCAAAGCCGAGGGAACTGCCACGACGGAATCTCACCAAGTAAATCACTTACCAGCGTTGGGGTTACCATACTCGCACCGTCGGCAGCACCCATCGCCACCACACTTGCCATCGCTCGTCCATCCCAACCACCCATCTAGCATGTATCAACATCATTCAACCGCCGCCGCGTTGACGGCACCGTCATCACGGAAGCGCAGGGGGCCACCGTTTGACGGGTCGTCGTCTGGCTTGGATGCGACTGCCGCCCAGCTGCTTCGCATCGTCGAGCAGAAACTGCAGGTCGACATGGACATGCGGCGACGAGACCAGCAACTTCGTGCGCAAGAACTGAATATGCAGCACCAACTCATCGACTACTTGGACACGTCCAGACACACTCGCCGCCAGCGCCGCCGCATCATGTACATCGACCAGGATGGATGATCATGGATTGTCTGAATGCGATGTGTGCGTAGCAGCAGAAACAGCGGCGCTTCGTCGACCGACGTGGCCGTGAACGACGAAGACGACCAAGACGACCAAGACGATGGTGGGGCAGCGGCGCGGCTACTGGAGCTGCTCAAGCACAAGATGCAGTTTGACATGGCACATCACGCCGCCGAAATGGAACTCCGTGCCGACGAAGTCGAGCTCCAACGCCGCGTGCTGGCGTTTTTAGCCCGATGTTAATGGTGATCTTGACGTTACTTCTCCTGTCGTTGATTCGTGGCTCCAAATCGTCCGTTCGTTGTCGGTTTAGCATCGTTGTCGTTTTCAAAGTCCCGATAGACGGTCGTCGACGACGAGGTGGTTTGTGTGGTGGCGGCGCGCTCCAGTTTTTCTAACAGGTGCTTGATATTGGACTGGATCGACGTCAATTCTTCGTGCGTTTGGTTGTAGTATTCGTCGCCGTCGTCGGCAGCAGTGCCCTTGTCACCACGGGGCCGCCGCCCGCCACCAACAGCCTTGTCATCAGCAGCAAAGAATCGAGGCAAGTCTTCGTCTTCACTCACTTCGCCGTCTTCGATCTCAGGCAGGTCTTCCGTCATTTTCGCCGAAAACGACTTGCATCGAGTCGCCAAGTCTTGCAGCGCACATGACAGCTCGAGCTCGGCGTCTTCGTCGACTTCGTCCACGCTGTCGTAGCTCGCGTCGAGGACGTCCATTGTTCGAGGGGCCAAAATGGACGGTGTGCTCAATTCGCCGAATGACACATTTCTGCGCTCTTGTGCGACACATCCACTCGTGCAAGCTATTTTCGGGCCTCGATGAGTCTAATTTTGCCCACGATGCTGCTGATGTTGTACACGATGGACAGCAACTCGGTCGTGGGTGTGCCACCAAGCTGGAGCACAGGCGCTAACACCACTAGAAAGACTGCAGCGGATAGGAGACGCATGGAAACAGGTGAAAGCGCGTGAATCCTTCACGATGACATCGTGGGCATGGACGCAATGGACACGGACCGGATTCCTCCTCTTCACGTTGGGTTCAACTCCATCATAAACGGACTATAATCCATCCGCCAACACAACTGGAAAGGACAGCATCGCTGGCACGGAGCGCAGTCCTATCTTGGCGATGCTGCTCGGCCAAGTGTGGCTGACGCGAAGGGCTTCATCGGACCGGTCTGACGGCGTTTATTCCCTTGGGAGCTTCATTCATCGTCTGTGTGCGTGCGAATAAAAAACGAAATTCATTTTATTGCTTCTCGACGATTGAACATACACATAAGAGGATTTTTTTATTCGATGATGAATATTTTTATTCCGAAGCCGCTGCGAACCAACAACCCTCAGTTTTGGTTTTCGCATATCCACCACCCCCACACACACTGCGCCATGGACGCCGAACACGAAGTCGACCAACTCGCCGCCGAAGCTGAGGCAATCGAGAGCAATGAAGGCCAAGAAGTGGACCAAGAAATCGAAGACATGAAGCGACGTGTGCTGGAAATGGAAGAGGAGGCACAGAAACTCAACCAAATGCACAGCCACGTCCAGTCGCAAATTCCAAAGGAACACCAACCCCCTGCAGCGCCGACCGCGGCGCAGCAAGCGGTGATTGACGAGAACTCCATCTACATTGGACAAGTCGACTACGAATCTACACCGGAAGAACTGCAAGCACTATTCCAAAGCTGCGGGACAATCAACCGCGTGACTATCCTGTGCGACAAATTCACGGGGATGCCCAAGGGATATGCGTACATTGAGTTTGCAAACCACGATGCCGTCGAAAGCGCTTTGCTTCTCAATGATACGACGTTCCGCGGGCGACAGCTCAAAGTGACTCCCAAACGTGTCAACGAACGTGGCTACAACTACGGAGGACGTGGCGGCCGCGGTGGTCGCGGCGGTTTCCGCGGTGGACGAGGTGGCGGACGAGGAGGGTACGCTCCTCGGGGTCGAGGCGGTCGTGGTCGCGGGGGCCGCGGGGGTCGCGGCATGGGTGGATCTGGTTACCACCCTTACGGCTATTAAGCCGGAATGTGCATTCGCACGGCCCATCACTCCATGCGGGACACCTTCCTCGCTGCATCCAGCGGCGTTGACATGCGCGCAAAAAAGAAAAAGAATGTAAAAGAAAAGAAAAAAGAAACTACGACGTGCGAGGGTGTCGTCCTGTCAACGCCAAAAAAGAGAGCAAAAAAAAGATCGTAGGATTCGAACTACTTCTTGGGGCGTTTGCCCGATGCCGCGCCGCCGCTGCCTGGGGCCGCCGCCGACACCAAGACCTTGCGTTTGAGTGCCGACCCGCCCTTTTGCTACACAATGTATCAGCGAATTCAATCTCTCTCCACCCAACGTTGTCATCTGCCTCGTAACGTACCGAAATTTTGGACGAGTGGCCGGGAGCAGCCGACAATGGCGTTGCGAGTGTACTTGCGGCAGAGGAGGGAGCACCTGCAGTTCCTGCGGCGGCATCTGCCGCGACAAACGTGTCCGGAATGTGGACGGTGGCGCGCGGAACATGCGGAACTCCTGTCCGGCCATTGAACGATAAGAAATGGTTGAGCTGTGTGCAAGGGACTTGCCTGTGAGGGCCGTGAGTTTGTCTGACATGACTTGAACCTCGTGGACTTTGGCTGCAAGTGCCTTGCGCAGCGCAAAGAGCGACAGGATGTCCTGCCGCAGCTTGTCGAATAGGTCGCACACTGGTTTGGTCGGCATCGGCCGCGCGGGCACCCCAAACTACACCGTCTCAGTCTCCTAAACGAGGAAATGCGACGGACGTACCTCTTCCAGCATGAGCGACATCTTCTTGACGAGTTTCGCGCTGAGCCCCATCTTTTGCGCTGGCAGCACTTGCGACGTGCTGCGAAAGTACACACCGCTGCCAGGCACGTCGCAAGAGATCTGGGTCCGTGCGTCGGCAAGTTCCTACAGACGACAAACAGTTTGACATGACACCGAACGACGCCGCACCTTTTTCTTCTTGGCATCGACCTTCAACACTGCTTTCTTCAGTTGCTGCTCGACTTGACGCAGTTCTTCCTGCAGCTTCTTGATCGCGGTTTCTTCAGCGTTCGATCGGTTGAACAGGAGCTCGAGCGTTGCTTTGCGGTGCTTTTCGTACGCAATCGGGAAGCGATGGGACGATGGCGGTGGTGCGGATTGAGGTGTACTTGTGGGGCCACTGGGGGATGAATTTGAAGCGTCGTTCGAGACCTTGGCTTCATCGTCCACTGGTTCAGCCTTGATCTCGTCGGTGGGGGCGGGCTCGGCGACTGGTGCAGGTGTTGTCGCGGCCACTTCGACCTTGGTGACTTCAACGTGGTCGCGCTTGATCTGGCGCGCTTCAGCGAGTAGGCGCACGACTTCGTAATACCAGTACTTGATGTCTTCCATGGACCGAGGTACCTTTGACGGCGCGACGAATCGATCGGCGATCACAACCCACCGCAACTCGTAGCGTTTGCATAACTCCCACAGGTATGTCGTGTCAGAGAATGTCCACGGCGTTGGAATCATCGGATCGCGATCGGGACCAAGGATCTTGTCGAACTCGTCCTTTGTACAACATGTTGGGAGGTCAATTGTGACGTTGAAGCGGGCAAACGGGTATTCTAGTGTTTCGGGAAGTGACGACTTGACCCAATGGGTCAGGACGAGGCCATCCGTTCGCGCAGCATTCAAGAAATCTCGTCGCACCCTGCGGGGACATAGTGCCGTCAAAGGGTTGTTCGTGTGATCAACGACGTCAGAGCTCTGAATAAGAAACGCACCACTTGTTCCGGAGCCCAGGTCTTTGTGATAAGAGCGACTTCTTCATGGGGAGGTTGTTTCCTGGCATGATCGAGACATGGTTGCGACGTCCCAAACTTTGCGGTGACACCCCTCCTCCGAGCTTGCTTTCTTGTAGTAGTAGCACTTCACGATGCAATCCTTTGAACTTGTTCTTTGGCTTTTCTTCTTTGACAGAGCCCTTGGACGGTGGTGGGGTCGTGCCGCCGCCGCTCGCACCGCTCAGGCCGCCGAGGATGTCCGATACATCCCCCATATTTTAATATGATATTGGGTTTTAGAGGATTCCACAGAATGGGATTGTAACACATCCGTACAAGATGAACAGTAGCAAATGTACGGCTTTATAGTATTAAATATATTTTTTAATGTACGAAACCATACTATATACATTAACCAGTCCATTGTTCTCATTGGCTGAAAACCCCCGTGCAAGGTAGGATCGCGACTCTTTGGACACAGCCTCGAAGATCGCGTCTGCCCAACCCACTACCGCAAAGGACGCGACGACACCAGCGGATACCTCCGTCGATCCAGCCACAACGTACATCTCGATAGCCATGACGTTCGCGTGAAATTCATGAGTGTGTAGGCCGCATTCCACATGGACAGGTACTCCGACTCAGAAACTGGTGCGAATCGAGAGAAAGGGGGAAAGAAATCATGGACGGCGCATGAAGATCAACAGATCGTCAAGCTCGTGGGTCAGCTCGGGTGCAAGAATTGGTCCAAGCTCGCCAAGATCCTGAACGAAGAATGCGGAAGCAGGAACGGTGTCGAGCGAAGTGGGAAGCAGTGCCGAGAACGATGGCACAATCATTTGGGTATACAAGAGATGACGACGAGCATCCATTTCACGACATCCATTTTACTTAGATGCATCAATCACGAAAGGTCCATGGACAAAGGAAGAGGAGGTGCTCCTAGTTGCTGCCCATGCCGAGCACGGAAACCAATGGAGTAAGATAGCGAAACTCTTTCATGGACGCACGGACAACGCCATCAAGAATCGATGGTACCGACCATTCCTTGACTATCGACCATTTGCTTCAACATTTCAACGAATTTGTGTATTCCCAGGTTTGCCAAACAGCGACGGGAGTCTCGCCGTAGTGTGAAAGCTCAGATGACAAGGACGACAACGCCGCCGTCGGCGTTTTCGGTTCGAGTTGCTCGATTTTTTGCTGCATTTTGCCATATTCACTTGGATTCTAGGACTCGGACGAAGCGCAGCTTACGCCACGCCACACGACCCACGACCGCGTCCGGTAGGTCCTGTCCATCTTAGCGCGAACGCAATCCTCATACATTGCCCAGAGCGTTGTGCTCAGAGTACGGCGGTATTTCGCCGAAGCCTCAGTCATGGATGCAGCATCCCCTCTCCAAGCATGACATGTACGATATCGCCTGTGTTCACTTGCATCACCTCGCCTTACAACAGCGACCACTGCTTGACTTCGGCGGCGTGGAACCAGGAAGTCCCATATCTGTCCGCATCCCTTTCTCTCTCTCAGCATCACGCTACTCCATGGCGAGCGTTGCACCACACGTATGGCTAGATGATGTGGTTGGGACAGTATTCAAGTGCCATTTGTGTAGCTTGGATGAGATGGGCACGTTCGACTTGTCCATGATGCCCGACGACGATGTCGAGAATGCCATGGACGCAAGTGCATACTCCTTTTCGATGCCACATATTTGTGCGACCAGGCCAACATCACCAGCAAGAGACGTCCACCAGCGTCGCGATGTCGCTCCACCCCTTCCTGGGAGCGGGTTCCCCTTGGTGGAAATAGATTTAGATTGGACAGATAAAGTCTTGATTTGAGCATAGCCTCTCGACTTTGATTCCTTTCTTTCATCCGACACCACCACTCCGTCAGAAGTGTCATGTCAGCACGACAGTTCGCACTTGTCGCCGTGAAGGGGCACATCCAAATCAAGTTGCAACGTGAGCCTGCAGCCAGTATCCCAACCATTAGTCCCCACAGTTAACAGCCTAGTTGGCCTTCTTGTCCGCCGCCGAGCGCCACCGACCTGGCCAAACCAACCGCCGCACCAGCCATCCTTCTAAAGTGCATGGTGTGCGATGTCGATACAAATGAAACTATAGAGGATACGGATACGGTTGATGATTATGACGAACTTTATGACGAGTCAAATATTTTTCTATAATCGTAATGAATATATTCTTCGTGTCAATTTTAAGGATTGTTGTTTTGAAGTTGACCTCTTGAATTTTATTTTGATTCGATCGGTGTCCGGATTATTATCCGGTCGATATTTTACACAACACCAATGAAGATCGAAGGATCGGTGCCGTTGTTCATTTGCAAAGTTGGCGGGATCGGTGGGCCACCCTGGGTGACGACGATGCGAAAGGAGATCCAGTACACGTCCGTGAAGCTCACGGACGATGATGGAACGGGACTGGAACCCATGGACGTGAAGATGACTCAAGAAGTCCGTCCAGCAAGTCGATTGTCTTGGGTACGAACCGCCCTCTGGTGGACATTGATAATTGCCCCCTACTTGGCACTCGCTGTGGTGTTGATTGCGCCACTTCCGGACACGAATGGAGAGTTATGTGCTTCCCAGCGCCTGGAAAAGCTCGACATGAAGCGCAATGTTTTCTACGATGAATCAGTAGTGAGCGAGAAGACTCGGTTTGCTGCCATCGGACAAAAAGGCGCAACTATTTGGATGACAGGACTTTCTGGAAGCGGAAAGAGTACGATTGGGCGAGCTTTGGAAGCCAAATTGATCCACGATCGCATCCAAGTGTACCGCCTCGATGGCGACAACGTGCGAATTGGTCTGAATCGCGACCTCGGGTTTTCCGCGGCCGATCGACAGGAAAGCGTGCGGCGCGTTGGCGAAATGGCAGCTTTGTTTGCCCAATCTGGCACGATTACGATCGTCGGCCTTGTGTCACCATACCGCGCCCATCGGGACGACGTCCGCGACATTCACAAGAAAATGAACATCCCGTTCTATGAAGTGTTCGTGGACACACCACTCAGCGTCGTCATGGCGCGCGACATCAAAGGATTGTACAAGAAGGCTGTGAGTGGCGAGATCAAAGACTTTACCGGCGTCTCGGCGCCGTACGAGGCGCCTTTGCACGCCGACTTGACTTTGTTTACCCCCAACTCGACGTTGGATGCCGAAGTTGCGACTGTCTATTCCTTTCTCAAGCAGAAGGGTTTGTTGACTGGGGTGGACGCGCTTCCAAGAGGGTACCCTGGCGTAGCTGTGGCCGATGGGGGCAATGCCGCTGCCCACTTCGACACGCTGTATCCGACGGCAGTCACGTCCTCGACGGCACCGGCGGCTGCGGCGCCGCGCGTGTTGCTCCGCGACGAAGATTTGCACTGGGTACAGGTCCTGGGCGAAGGATGGGCGTCTCCTTTGCGCGGCTTCATGCGCGAAGGGGCTTACTTGCAATGCCTTCACTTTTCTTCGGTCGTGTTTGACGCCGACAACTTGACTGCGGGAAATCTAAATCCCCATAGCACGACCAACTTTTCCGAGTATTCCACCGCCGATGTCGGCCGCGGTACCCGCGTGAACATGCCGATTCCGATCGTCCTACCCGTGACCAAGGTCACCAAGGCTGCTATCTCGACTGCCGCCGACGGAGGCATCAACCACGTCGTGTTGGTGACCCGCACGGGCGAAGAGGTTGCAGTTTTGACCAACCCGGAGGTATTTGATCACCGAAAGGAAGAGCGCATCACGCGCACGTTTGGCGCGTACGACAGGGGGCACCCGTACGTTGACATGATTCAAAAGGCGGGAGACTTTTTGCTCGGTGGCGAAATCCAACTGCTTCAGCGGGTCATGTACAACGACGGGTTGGACAAGTTTCGACTGACACCGTCCGAATTGCGCGCTAAATTTGAAGCGCTTGGTGCGGACGCCGTCTTGGCCTTTCAAACGCGAAACCCGACGCATGCCGGCCACGCGTACCTGATGAACCAAGGACGACAGTGGCTCCTCGACCAAGGGTTCAAGAATCCCGTCTTGTGGCTGAGTCCTTTGGGCGGATGGACGAAAGAAGACGATGTGCCGCTCGACGTTCGAGTCCACCAGCACGAAGCCATCATAAAAGATGGTATGCTTGACCCGGCGTCGACAGTCTTGTCAATTTGGCCGTCCCCGATGGTGTACGCCGGCCCGCGGGAAGTGCAGTGGCATGCCAAGAGCCGGAAGAACGCCGGCGCATCGTACTTTGTCGTGGGCCGCGACCCCGCCGGCATCAAGCGTTCGGACCAGCCGGACCAAGACATGTACGCCGGCGACCACGGACGATTCGTGCTGCACTTGGCGCCGGGCATGGAGCACATGAACTTGCTCAGCTTCCCCAAGGTGTACTATGATAAAACAGACCACAAGATGAAGCCCATGACGGATAAGAGTCGCAAGCGTGATTTTCTCTCGATCTCGGGGTCTAAAATGCGGCACATGGCGAAAATGGGCTTTCAACCGTGTACGGACATTCCAGACACTTGGGAATCGGACCCGACCTGTGTCCCCCCCGGCTTCATGGTGCAATCCGGGTGGAATCTCATGGTCCAGTACTACCAACGCATGACAGACCCGTCGTATCTCCAGTACTCGATCCCTTTCCGACCGTTTATCTCGAAAGCGTCGTCGGTCGCGTCCACGGGGGACAACGCGGTCGTTGGCACGTTGGGCTTTGAACTGTCCGTACTGGATGCCGCCACGGGAGCCAAGGTGTCGCCGTGGCACGACATTCCTCTGTATGTCAACGCGTCCGTGGTCAACTTCGTCGTCGAGATCGAGAAGGGTCGCATGGAAAAGATGGAAGTGAACAAGCGACTGCCGTTCAACCCGATCAAGCAGGACGTGACCAAGACGAATCACACACGGTACTACTTGTACGGCGTCCCGTTTTTCAACTATGGGATGTTGCCGCAAACGTGGGAAGATCCGTCGATGAAGGACGCGGCCGGCCACGGCGGCGACAATGACCCCTTGGACGTGATTGAAATCGGGACCGCCACGCTGCCGATGGGGTCGGTGCATCCTGTCAAGGTCCTCGGTAGCCTCGAGCTGATCGACCAAGGCGAAGTGGACCACAAGATCGTTGCGGTATCGATCGATGACCCGCTTGCGAGTGTCATTCACACAGTTGACGATCTCTCTGCACACCGTCCCCATCTTGTCGAGCAGTTGGTCGACTGGCTCAAAAACTACAAACTTCCCGAAGGCAAACCCGTCAACGTCCTCAGCCAAGACACCATGACGAATGCGACGGACGCGCTCGCCATTGTTGCCGCCACTCATGGGCGATGGCAAGCGCTAAAAGATGGGGCGATTGCCAACCCTGGCTTTTGGCTGGGACCGACCCAATGAAGGTGACCACTAGCCTCTCACAACACCTCCATTATCCAGTTTTGAAAACGATCCATGTCCTTTGGGATGCAGGTTGAAAAGATGCCGTTGACACAGTCATCGAGTATGTGCAATACAAGATAATACCATACGTAGTTTCAACTCACACCGAATCGAAGTCGGTCTCTCTAGATGCTGTACTCGTCGCTCTCGACGAGCGGCGGGGCCTTGAGGTTCTTGGCACTGTTCTGGTGCAACAGGAGCTGCGCCTCAAAGAGCGCAGCCTCCGTGTCTAGCTTTACTTCGGGCGTAAAGTCAAAGTCCTTGAAGAGCCGCTTCTCGTCCTTGACACGGCTGCTGCTACTTCCGGCGGGCTGCGGCGGCGGCGCCATGCCCTTTTCAATTTCCGTGATCTCTTGCTCCGTGAACGTCGTGGGAAAGTTGGACGTGTCTGGCGGCGCGTTGGCCGTTTGCGTGTCGATCCGGGGCTTGAACGGCGCAGGGATTTCCTTTCGATACAACTTGCCCCAGTCAATCGCGGAAAAGAACGGATGCTCCATGATCTCCTTGTCGCCGCGGGGGCCGCTGCCGAGGCGCTGGTTCGGGTCCTTGCACAGCAGCCGCTGAATCAAGTCGCGCGCTTGCGGTGAAATGTACTCGGGAATGATCAAGTTGCCGCGCAAAATGTTGTGGAATAACTGCTTCTTGTCGTTCGTGTAGTACGGAGGCAAACCCGTGAGCAACTCAAAGAGCAGCGCGCCGACCGAATACCAGTCCAGGGGGAATCCATGCCTACCAACCACCCCACTGGTCACACACACACACACGACAGATTTCACTTCGTACCCCGACCGAGACAGCATCTCCGGTGCCAAGTACATGGGCGACCCGCAAAACGTGTTGGCCGACGAATGATCTGCCACGCCTTCCTTGGAAATTCCAAAGTCCGTCAGGAGGGCGTTTCCATCCAAATCCATCACGACGTTCTCGGGCTTGAGGTCTCGGAACACGATGCCCTATCGACAAACACTGTGAGGGCACAACATCACAAGAAGCACGGATTGCCAGACTTTGGAGTGCAAGTGCGACAGCGCCAGCACGATTTGACCGATGTAAAACGCCGCTTCGGGTTCCGTAAATGCCTTGCGACGCGTCAGAGTCGACAGCAAGTCGCCGCCTCCGCAGTATTCCATCACGAGGAAGAGGCGGTCCTGCGACTGGAACGCGTAGTACAAGCTGACAATATATGGGTGGTCCGAACACGCCTGGAGCGCGGCCTTTTCTGTGTGGATGTACTGCGCCTGGTTTTTCTGCACAATCGCTTGCTTATTGTACGCCTTGAGCGCAAAATACTTGTCCCGGTTCGCGCCCTTCCCGCGCACCAAGTACACTTTGGCAAACGCCCCGCGACCCAGCACCTTGATGAACTCAAAATCCCGCGGCCCGAGCGCCAAACTTTCGTGGTACTTGTTTTTGAACGTCACGTGCATCTCTGTCTTCTTCGTGTCATCCGTGGGATCGATGACCGGCGGCGGGACCAACGGTTGCGTCGACGGCGTCGCCGACTTGTCGCCGCTGCCCAGTAACACACGAATGGGATGTCCGATTGGCGAAATGTGCAGTGGAAGCGACCCGGACGCGTTCGGGACGTCCGTGCGGGCGCCGTACGCGATCAAGAGCTTGGCGCAAGCAATGTTGCCGCCCTCCGCGGCCAAATGCACCGCGCCGTTCCCGTTCTGGTCCGTCGTGTTGGGGTCCGCACCGGCCTTGAGCAGTTCTTCGACGCAGCTACAACACAATGGTCAAGGGAATGTGGTTCCATCAAGTTGTTTCAGAAGCGAAAACAAACGATGACAATCATACCCGGCGTGGCCTTCCATGGACGCCAAATGCAGCGGCGTCAAGCGATCCGCCGTGCGCGCGCCGACGTCAGCGCCGCGGCTGCACAGTTCCGCGACAGCCTTGGGGAAGTTGTTGCGAGCAGCAAGATGCAACGCCGTGTACTGGTTGATGCCGACCCCGTTGACGTCAATCACGTTGTTCTGGAGTAGCGTTGCAATTAAGTGGGAATTGCCGACTTCGGCTGCGTCGAAGAGTTGGATCTGCTTCTTGCGTAGGTCGCGCAAGTCAAGCATTTGCTTGGGTACGGCCGCAGCCCCAAACGCCACCGACGCCGCGCGGGCTAGCGACGAGTTTCGCGGCATCGACATGGTATCGCGGGACGAATTGAGGGCGGAGGACGAGGTTGGGTCGACGGCGGCGCCGCTCGTTTCGAGTTGATGAATAACTACAGACAATCGACGAGCCGTCAGGGTGTGAATGGTAGTTTACACTTACTCTGGTCTTTTTGCGTGAGTTGCTCGCGGAGTTGCCGGTTTTCTTCGAGCAATTGTTTGATCACGACGTCCTTCGGGTCGGACGATTGCTCGGCGCCACGGACAATATCGTGGCTGTCCCACAAGCTCGGACGGGAGTAGTCCTGCGGCCCATCGCGCTGGCCTGTCACGTTAGATGCAAACGCGGACGCTTCTACTTGCGCGGGAGTGGGCTTGAGCTCAGGCGAGCTACCGTCGCCATTGCTGCCGCGAACACCGGATGAGCCCAAAGCAACCACGTGAGCCTTGATCGATTTGATCCAATCTTCGCACTCTTTGATCGTGTTTGCATGCGCAAACATGCGCTTGTCACCTGTGTTGATCTCGAAGCAATTGGCTTTGTTGTCAATGTTTGTTTTCTTCACAACTGTCTCGGACGTGAGCTCCAACTGGCCCTTAAAATGCGCCAAGTCCTGTTCCTCTTCCTTCTTCTTGGAAAAAATGCCGCCGCCCACTTTGTAGTAGCACAATTTGCCTTCTGCCAAGACGAAGAATCGCTCCCGCCAATTCGCGAGCGCATCAATCGCGCCGATCGACCGCTTCGTCAAGTACCCTGTCTTAGACGAGATGAAGTCGGTCGACGAGATAGGTTGTCCTGGTGCCCCAAGCCCGCTGTTGCTCCCCGACTGAGTCGTCAGGTCGTGACTGCTACTTCGACCCTTCCACGACTGACTCTTCGGCGCCGCCCCGCCGTACCGTCTATCGCCTAATTCAGAGTTGCGTTGCATCCTTTTGTCGTGTCGTCGCACGCGGTCTCTACGAATTCAAACAGAGATTGGTGGGGTGACTGGGGGTGGTTGCTTTGCAATCACAACACACGCCGTCGGGATGCGGGGTCTATCGACGGAGCGTCGCGTCGATAGATGAGCGCTCCCAAGGGGAATCACCACGCATACACAAGGAGCGCTCCTTACCTCAACGAAGAAGGTGTCACTGAGCGGGAGATGCCCAAGGACGTCGGTCGGCCGGAGAACGAACAAGAAGTGCGTCACCTCCTTTCACAGCAGTATGAAAACCTCTCAAAATACATACTATTCGATGTTCAAGGGTTTGATGGTAACCATTTCTGCTGCTCGCTTGTGACCTGACGGGAAAATCGACGGACGTCCCCAGCATAAAATCCTGTACCATCCAAGCGCTTCTCTTCCTATACTGCGAGTGCATGCACCCCATGCATGTTGCCTCGGCCGTGGAGGCACAACGGTAAGGTCGCGCGCGGCACAGTTCAGACGTCGTTTCGTGTGTGGAATTGTCGTCCGTACAATTTATCCGGATACGTTGCTGACGTTCAAAAATCCCGAGGCAGAACGTCGTTGAATAAATAGCTGGTTGTAAAAAATTGCCAAAAACCTTCACCAATGGAAATTTTTCAACTGAATTTTTTTTGCCGGGACAGTAAAAGCATGCCGTGGTACATAATTGACACAAAGAAATTTCTCCACTGTCTCTTCATCCAAAGAATTTATACAATATTCGACAGATACATCGATTGCTCCGCGCGGAACGCCACCTGAGGATGGTACATCGTGGTCTACGGCGGCGATCGCGATGCCGTGGGAAGGTCAGAGGTCGCACCATGAGGCCAAGATCGACGTCGTTGTCGAAGGGACAGCGACTCGGTCTCCCGCGATCCACGTGGTAGGAGGGAGTATGCCGACCAGGTGGTCTTCCATCTGTACATGTACTGCAAGAATCCAGGAGTCGCACGGAGCTCTTCCGTCGGCGCTGCAAACTCCAAGTGTCGACGTGTTGGCGGAGTGGTAATGCTTGCATACCCTTGCGTGTGCCTGCCTAAGCGAGCTCGTCGTATAACTTGGGAAATTTACGACGAGCGCTAAAGTCCTGTCCCGAGCTCGGCGGTTCGTTTGGGCTTGATGGTTTCGTAAGATGTGATAAGTTGAGCGCGCGTCTTGGTCGCACGCGCATGTCCTGACAGTCTGTGTTACTCTCTCATGGCGTCAAATGTCCAGCCCATGGTGGGAATCACGCCTTGCCTAGTGGCAGAGTTCATGCTGTTTCGGATAGTCGGGCGAGATTTCATGGCGCGCATGCTCCACCGTTCCACAGCTGCTCGGGCAATGTTTCAAAGTCGTGTGTCGCAATGCCGAGCCCGTCGCAACGAGCCCGAACGGCATGGAAGGACTTGCTGGGATGCCGTACGAAATGTGGTCGGCTACGCATGTTGCCGTGCTCTGATCTTTGCATGGGAGTCTTGTTCCGACAAACCAATTGCCCAGACAGCTTCAACGATCTGCCGCTACCATGGTGCAGCATCCGAGATGGCACCAAGCAGATGTGGCCTGGAACACGTCGGTGTGAGTCCCAGATGGCATCGATCGACATTGCCTCGATATCCACGTCCCCATGTCCCAGGCAATGCCGGTCCTCGCCGCGACACGCGATAGCCACGCCCTTGACGACCACCTCGCTCACGGCGCCGTTCGTCCGGTTGCCGGCCGCGGGCTAGTTCAACTTCGAAGAGAACGTTCCTGCGATGTGTCGTTGACACTTTTTCATCGACCGGCACACAAGACGACTGTACTGCCCTCGCGAGGAGGCGGGTGGTATCACGTGGAAGCGGAAAGTAGATTCGCGCATTCGACGACGCTCCGTCGTCGTTCTCTCGCGCTCGCTGCCGCGCCGCCCGAACCATCGGCGACGAGTTTCTACACCCGCGAGGAAAATATGTTGTGGGTGTTTCGACCGCTGATTGGTCCATCCATTGCATACTTCGAACTTCGATTCATGCCCTGGGCGCTTGGACACACACACTTGATTCCAACGCGAGCAGCACCATGCTCGTGTCGCAGCTTCCATCGCTGCATGGGCAGTGCGTCGATGCAGTGTACAGCAGCGACGACGACGATGCGCTGATGGATTCTCCTCCCGCGTCGTACCGGCGTCGACGCTTCTTCAAGAGCGATCTCTCCACGTACGAGGAAATGTACTCTCGAAATGCGACGGGCAGACGACTTGGCCGGTACTCGCTCCAGGGCAAGTTGAAGGCGGATCGCCCGACGATCATGTCCTCCTGCGGTGGGCCTCAGAACGATACCGTCGACACTTCGATGCAGTCGTGTCCTACGTCAAAACAACTCTTGCGGCGGCGCTCGGCGAGTGATTCGGAAATGGACGACCCCGCGTCGGATGAATTCAAACAACGTAGCAGTAGCTTCAACGACATGATGCAACGGGCATCGAACTGTCCGGAAGTGATGCGACCGACAGTCATCGCAACCGACGAATTCAGCTTCTTTCGCCGTCGGTCGGGCAATCCACGAAGAGGAGGGTCGTCCCTCACGTCGTCACCCACAAGAGCCTCGAATGCAAGCAAGGTATCCCCTGAGAACAAAGTGTCCGACACGAAATCTGACGTGGCAGTGCGCGCCAACTGTCCGCTCGATCCCGTGGACGCCACCGACGAGACCGAGCTACTCTCCCCGCTCACTCACGGGACTGCTCCCCGCGACTCCACCTCGACTTTGCATCCCCGCGAGTCCCATCTCCACCCTCGCGACTCTTCATTCTGCGCATCCAACGACGGGTCGACCTCGTACCAACCCGTGGCGATCCGCAACAGTGTCAGTAACAACATGAACGTCGTCCGATTCGTCAGCGGGTACAAAAAAACCAAGTCTGCCAGCGCGTTGCACCCGCGCGGCCATGGGTCAGCGTCGACGCGGTCGAGTTTAGATGGTCGGTCGTCGGTCGACTCGGTGCGCAAGTCGGCGCGGTACAAGAAGCAAGGGTGCGCAATGCTCGAATCCGGCTTGAACAAAAAGCTCCACGACGCGCGGAATCGCATCCCGCTCGAGTTTCGCGACGAACTGAGCCACTTGCTCGAGAAACCGTACGTGGCCAAGCCCAAAACAACGCAAAAGTCTGTCCACTTCAACGCAGACGCGAATCGCGTTCTCGTCTTTGAGTGGGAAAGCGACGACTCGTCCAGCGACTCGAACGACGACAACGACGTCGAGGCTGCCGCGGTGACGCCCTCCCTCGTCCACTTGTAGTGTTTTCTATTTAACTTTTCAGTCTAACTTAACGTTTTCATACCCAGCCACGACACCACAGCTGCATGAACGAAGGTTGTTTTCATGATCTGCCGTCTTGCGGCCATGCATCGGAGAATGGTATTTACGATCGTGCATCCTGGTGCTTCCGCATGGCGAGTTTTCGCGGCGACTCGTGGAAGTATAGATAGGATCTATCATCGGCGGCTGGAGGACATTGGCGACCTGGCAGCACCCAGAGACGCCAGTACTGCACGCTTGTCGGTGCAATGGAAATGTGTCCGCAGCCGAGCTGCCCTGAGTTGTCTGTAGCATGTCAGGCATGTGCATATTGCCATCGGTTGCATCATCGCAGCCACATTTGAAAGACACACCCATGAATATTCAATGTGAAGCACTCGACTACTGGCGGCATCTCACTGCGCTTTCTTGATCGTGCGCAGCGGCTCGTGTCGGACCTGAACGCCATGGCGTTGCCAACGTCACTCCTAGTGGATGTTGGCAAAGTCGATGCCGTCTTCGTCTTCGTTGTGGACTGAAGTCACTGGGGCCGGCGCGCGCACTTGGCTGTCGTCGTTCTTGCTCGACTCCTCTTGGTCGCTTGCCGCAACAGCAGCTTTCGACACGTTCCCGTCCACGTCGGGGTGCATGTGCGTGAAGAAGGGGACCAAGTACTTGGCGTCAAACTGCAAAATGCGCATACGCTTCATGGGGCGAACGTTTTGATCGATCTCGAGTTCTTCCGTCGGCTACAAGAACATGTCGTGAGTTGCAGTGCTAAAAATGCGAGCAGCGCTGGGACGCACGGTGAGGCGCTTGATCTTGAAGAAGTTCAAGACGGGCACGGTCGCGCCGCCGCCAATGAAGAGCGTGACGAGCACAATCACCATGGTCACTGTAATGATTTCCTGGCCAAAGTCACGTGGTCAGCGTCCCCCAGCCACATCATCTAGACGTACTTGTCGCTGCAACTCATTCGGCCACTCCAACGCAAGCGCAAAGCAGAGCGCACCGCGGAGACCGCTGAACCAAATCATGTGCTGCGTGGCCAACGGAATCTTGCGCTCTTCAGTCTTGCGCGTGTTGATCAGGTACGTCAGCGGGTACACGTGGAGCGCACGACCGACGAGGCACGCAACCAACGTGCACACGGCAAATCCCAAATGAAACCCTTCTTCGAGTGAAAACACCGCCAACCCCAAGTCTAGACCACACACGCGTGGATGAGGAGGTCCATTGCACACGGCTGGGCTGGCATACTGAGGAAGATGGTGGCTTCCGACACATACGAGATCGCATTGAAGAACTTGGCGACCCTATGACACACACCGTCGTCAGCACACCAGCATGCAGGACGACTCAAGAGCACGTACGACGCCTTGCCTTCGTCGCTGAGGTTGTTACACGTGTAATGCTTCATCGAGATCCCTGGAACTCCCGTCAGGACATTCCCTTGACAGCGCCAAGTACCCGTGAACAAGATTGCAACGACGCCAGACAAGTCGACGACCGTGCACACTGCGAACGGCAAGTACGTGAACATGATGTAGACGCCAATTTCTTGGTAAAGACACCCCTTGAAGTTGTAGTGTTTGAAGAGCAGCGCCGACAGCATGCCAAACACAATCCCGACCAGCGTCGACCCGATAAAGATGAAAGTAAAGTCGAAAATCGCGAGCGGGATCGCGCTCGCTGTGAACGAATTCCCGATAAACTTGGAGAACGAAGCAAACAGCACGATCGCGACGGCGTCGTTGAGCGAACTCTCGCCAAATACCAAGTAGAACAGCGTCGGCTCCTGTTCAAGACTCTCGATCAGGGTGGTACGCCATGATGTACAAGGGACAAGTCGTCGTGTACCACGCGAAGCTCTTGGAAGATGGCGAGCACCGACACTGTATCCTGTGGTCATGTCAACACACATAGAAGACGACGGCTGAGGTCTACCGTCGCACTGATGAGTGCTCCGAACGACAGCGACTCAGCCAACGTCATCTTGAGACTCGCGCCTGCATATCCCGCGATGTACACGATGACCCCGACGACAAAGCTCGAAATTGTCGTCCCGGCCACGGCATACGTGACGATCGCGGTAATATTGTCAAAGAAGAAGCGCCGCTTCATAGTGTATCCTGTGTGCATCATCACCAGGACGAGATGGATGAGAGGTAGTTGGGAAGAGGCGGTAGTACCTGAATTGAAAATGATGGGAGGCAACAAACCAACGAAGAAGATGCTCGGATCAAATGTCGCCAACTACGTATCCAATGGCATCGCAATGTCATCGGTGGACGACAAGGGCGAGCAGAGCGGTAATTGAACGTACGGATTTCGTCACAGAGTCCGTATGCATCAAATAGAGCACTCCTCCCATCATACCAACGAGGATTGTCGCTACGATGGGAATCGTTGACGACCTGAGTACCGTCGCAAAAGACGTTCGTTCGTACCTGCAGCTTCGGGAAGGAAGTACCAGTGCTTGTGGTGCGCCGCGTAGTTGCTGAAGAGGATCGACATGATGATGATGATCAATGTCGCAGCAAAGTAGACTGCGAACTCCTTCTGGGAGTGCATCCCGATCGAGTGCTCCGTCTCGCCGCCCATGCTCCACGTCGGTAAGTTTGGGATCGGGTCGTTTCCTGGCGGATCTCGTGAAACGGCCGAGAGGTTATTCGTTTTCGCAGTGAACGTGCATTCTCCCATACTTAATAATCTTCAACTTCCATCGATCGATTTGGCGCGACGCTTCAAACTCGAATGGCCGCCGCCCCGTCGATTGTCCCGCCCCTCGTGGAAAATGCACTTCGCGATGCCATCGCGTCCTTCCCAAAGGACCTCCAAGACTCACTGACAGAGAAATTTACGGCATACTATGCCAACCCCGAGACGGTGCACGTGGAACAGGTCGTTCAGAAACGCATGACCGATGCCCACGCACAGCGCTTGCTCTTCGCACCGACGAAGGATCATGCAGCATTTTATGTGCTCCTTGTTCAAGGACCACCAAAAGGAGCCCCCGAGACGCATCCTTGCTTCATCGTGTGTCAGCGATACCTGGCAATGTGGTACCTCTGCCACGCGCGGCACTGGTCCCTTAGCAGCGAATTCGTCCTTCACGTATGCAACAAGCCGTTCTTGCATAGATTGCTTCATTGTGGTGGTTTTCATAGGGTGGGCTGCATTCGCTGGTCGATCTCTTCACGCATGAGAATTTGCACTTTCGTGGCCAGGCCTTGGACGTGTTCACGCAGGTTGCACGTCAAACTCACTTCATTTACTGCGTCGCCTGAGCACGACCACCGTGCCTAGATCACAAGCAACCCCGACTTCGACTGGTTTCAACCCCCAACGTGTCCTGAGGCCAAGTCTTTGCACGGGAAGATGCTGCTTCTCGCCAACTCGACGGACTTCATCCGGGCGCTCGTCTCGAACAAGGACATCGCGGCCATGTCGCTGTATGCTCTTCAGATCCTAGCGTTTTACATGAGCTGGGTCCGCAAACTGTACTCGAAAGGCGAGTTGCGCCTGAGTTCGGCTCTCCTGGCCACGATTTCCGACTGGAAAACTACGGCCGCATCGGACGAAGAGCGCGAACTTGCCACCAACGTATTCGACGACTTCAACCGGTGGCCAGCCGTCGATGCACCAGCTACTGACAAACCGCTGACCAACGCCCTGCCAGTCTTCGAAGGAGTAGAGTACCCCAAAGAAACCCTGTACTTAAAACAAGCTCGGGACGCCCTCGTCGCCTCAGACTATGACCAGACTGTCTCGTTCACGACGGCGTTCCTTCGGGACACCCACGACGCCGCGTCAGCTGACCGCGTCCAAGCACTCGGCCTGCGAGGTCGTGCGCGATTGCTCCGTCAACTTGACCGCGCCGATATGAAAAAGTGAGTCCATTCAAGCCAAGAGTTGATTCGAATGCGCCAGTCTAAATTCGAGGGTGCTGCTGTTTACAGGGCAGTCGACGACACCAGCTCCGCGCTGGACATGTTGAATCAAGTGGCAATATCAACCACACAAGGAGACCGAGACACCAGCGTCCTCTCGCGAGTTGATTTAATGCTTGACAAAGCCACGATCTTGGCACAACATTTAAACTTATTCCGGCCGGCGCTGGCAGCATTGGAACTCGATGACGATACATGCCTATCTGCGGACGACGTGGCGGCACTAGACGCGAAGCGAATTCACGTCAAGTCACTCTGGTCGGACTACGAAGCGCTGCATGGCATGAAACATGCGAAGGAGCAGTCGATATTTGATGCGATTCTCCATCGTCGGGGACTCCATGCGACCGAACTGTCCCCGTCGTTGGTCCCATCACCAACGATGCATCGTTCCAAGCCAAGTGCGAGCGATAATCAGGAAAGCCACGACGATCATCGCCTCAAGGACAACGTTGACAAATCGGCGCCACCTACCGCAGACGATTCAAGCAATCAAGCGACTAACAGCGATACCAACTCTGGGCCTTTGCCTTGCGCGTCCACGACCAGACTGCGCCAGGTATCGTCTGTGGCCTCAAAGAACAAGGCCACTCCGAGCCATGCCGGCGGCTCTAAACAGTCGTGGATGACCCCCGTGGCCCGCAAGCTGCTCAAAAGCAAGCACGACCCCCACATGATGGCTTCGGTATACGTGCTATTCAAAGGACTTGCTTGGTCAGTTGACCTCATTGCTGCCTGTAGTTGCTCGAGTCCATGTCTGCTCAAGACATTGCGGCCGCGGTGTCGACGATCCTCAACCCAGACATTTTGCGCGGACTGCTGCAAGGCGCCGGCCTCGTGGACCCGAAGCACGCCCATGAAGTAAGTGCTCGGTGCCACAGTCTTCTCATGGCCACACGAATCTGCCTCCGTTCTAGGTGTTGAAGGCCCTGAACACTTTGCCGGCTCTGCCCCTCGTGCTCGAGTTAGCCGATCCAGACGTCGTGGCAGCCATGAACTCATTGACGTTGCACACTCCATAATAAATAGATGCTTCCCCTATGAACCTTCTTCGTTTTCTTCGTCGTCATCGTCGTCGATGGGGTCCCATCCCTCTGCATCGTCGAGCTTCCCGCGAACGGCCGCGGGCATGGGGATGAGCCCTTCCAATGGAGGTGACAATGGGGCGTTCTCAAGGCTTGGGGTCGTGTCAAGCACTTGCGTAGACATCGAGGCCGACGTGGCTTTCGCTTTGCCGCGGCCACGACGACCACCAGCGCCAGTACCTGCCGACGCCGTACTTGGCCGGCCTAGCCGACCACTGGTGCTTGCAACACCACGATTTCCTTGTGCCTTTGTTGCTTGAAATGGGACTGCGGTTGCTGCTACTGTTGCCGAAGACGGCGACGACACAGCGTAGAAGACGTTGCTCTGGGGCGACGTGTTGCCACCACTCATCATAAAGGCGGGCAAGGCGTTGTTGTAGCTCGAATTGGCGGCAGCTAGCATTTGCGAAAACGTCTTGGCTTGCGCAGCTTGAGTTTGCGCCTGGAGCTGGGCTTGGACTTGAGCTTGCGCCAACGTGAGCTGTCCGATCTGCCCCAAGCTCAGCTGCGCCGTCATGAACAAGTTGGGGTCAGTGAACATAGACTGCGAGTGCAAGATCGGGTTGGCCAAAGCGGCCGCGTTCAGTTGCGTGCGGCTCTTCGGCGACAGGGGACCCCGCAGGACATTATTCTTGCTGGTCCCGGCTCCACCGCCCCCAGGTCGGAGCCCCGATGTCGTTGTCAATGCCGACTTGCGGTTGCTTGGATTGGTCAGGGTAATTGCGTTGGCCACACCGGATCGACGCAGGGTGCGAAACTTGTCCTTGAGCTGGACGTTCGAGCGATCGTTGAACTGGACGCCAAGGTCTTTGTCCACGAGGATGAGGCTCCACACATTGCGTTGTCCGTTGTACTTCTTGACGCCGTCAATGAGCGCGCGTTCTTCCATGGTCGTGAACGGGCGGTACTTGCGGTGGTTCTTTCGGTTTTCAGTGTAGCTCGAGAGCTCGGGGCGGGTTTTAATCAACGTGCGCCACTTGTCCTTCAGATCGACGCCGGATCGACCGTGGAAGAGTGGTCCCAAGTGCGGGTCACGCAGGATGCTGCTCCACGGACAGCTGTCGTCGGCGTACCGTTGGACCCCGAGCACGAGCGCCGTGACTTCATGTGGGCAGTATTTCCGTCGCTTGCCCTTGATGCGGTCGCCAACGTTTTCGCACGCAAAGTCCGGCGAGTTTCGCGGGTACGGGAAGCTAGCGCTGGCCGCGCTCAGCTGCTGGGCCACGACGCTCGCACCCAAGCTCTGGGCGTGCTGGAGTTGTTGGAGTTGCTGCTGCTGGGCCAGCTGCGCGTGGTAGAGCTGAGCCGCGGCATTGACCGCGTGCAGCTGTTCATGCTTGGTCGAGTCGTCCTCGTCCATCATGGTAGCGCCTTCAACTTGAAGCAACTCTGGGTGGCGCGGTGGGGATGGGGTAGGCTTGGGGCTGCGGTAGGGCTGCGGCAACCCCCTGAGCGACTCGTCAAATGACGGGACCAGAACCATGCCGAGTATAGAAATTTCAAGTTTGTTCGATCCAGCCAATCCGAGAGCGGGGCCGATTCTTTTCCACCAATTTTATTGGGTGGGACCCCATACAAAAAGCAAGGTAATACAGGTCTCGCGATCGAGTTTCAAAATAATCCAGGACCCCTAACCACCCCGCCACCACCCAAATCTCTCGTCCAGGATTGGTTAAAATTCGACAAGTTTGCACGTGTTCACACCGTTGAAATGTCGTCGTCGTGTTCGATGTCGGAGCGACCAACGCAAGACGAATAGCCACTAGGGTATGTTTAGTGGGCTGCAGGACCTTTCTCGCGCCTTGCGCGCTTCGTTCAAGATCAAAGATGTGACGGCGATCCCTGTGATCTTGGGTGCTGGTTTCGCGACGGCGGACGAGCGAACGGCGCCCCACGCCGACGTTTTTCTCACGTCGGGGGTGGATTTTGTGTGCGTCGACGCGGACGTGGTTTCACAATCAGCTTCCAACCGAGCTTCAATGACCTCCCGGACGGCTGGGATGCTTGTGTTTTGGTGGCATTCGTAGGGATCGGTGGCATCATGCAGGTACGGCTCGAGCAAGTGCTTCAAGATGAACCTGGGATCAGCAGGCGACATGCCATCAGTCCATGATAAAGACCGAGGCATCGCAGACGCCATGGAACGTAGATAACATACCCGACGGTATTCGACCAAGCTGCGCCGACCTCTGGCGTTGCCAGGTCCCCCAGCCAAAACATGATCACTTCCACACATGTCAACGTGTACGTGGCAAAGTGGTGGGGGCGAATCTACACCAAACGTCATGAGCTATCGCGCACAAGCGTCGTCGAGATGAGGTACGTTTGGAAACGACCGATGGCGGTGGCCGAGGTAGCGGCAGCGCGTCGCGACGTTCGCAATGTCTTGCGGTGTATCTACTGGGGAATGGTTTAGAAGCCGTTGCTCTTTGCAACGCACGTGCCTGCGTTGGACGACAGGATGAATTGAATCGCACGGATTAAGACTTCGCCCCGTTTCTTGGCGGTGGGGAACACTCGGGTCATGGTCATGTCCCGCTCGATCAGCCGGTAAAAAAACTCCTCGTACACTAGCACGATGCCAGGACGGCCGTGCTTTTTCATGGTGGGCGTCGATGCCGCGTGAAGAACGGCCCACGACTGCCGGCACAGAGCTATCCTTGACGACGTCAGGTAGGGCACGAGAGGAAACTGCGGTGGCATGTAATGTTCGACTTGATCTTGGCCGGCCACGCCGTACGGGAATCCTGCCATATCGTCAATGTACACGTCCATGGCCGACGGCGGCAGGCAAGAGATGGGCGCGACCGACGACCCGTCTCGCCGCGAGCTCGATATCCCCATCTGTAACCAAGGTAATCCTCTGGTACTTGAAGGGACATTGCAACGGTGGGCGGTGACGTTTCCACTGGCGTTTCACTAGAGTCTACCAGCCCCGACCGACGTGTGTTTTGTTTTGGCGTGTTGTCAGCGTCACGACTTTCTCCAGAATGCCTTCGTCCACTCGAGCCAACGTACATTTGGGTCATGTGCTTCACGGTGCGCTGTGGCTCCTCGCGAGGGTACAACACAATCGGGGCCATGAAGTCTAGCGTGTTGAGCTTCCAACGCTACAACGCAGAGTGTACATGTTTGCGTGCCTTCCTTCCAAGCTCCTTGGAGCTGTGGACACAACGCCAAGCACTGCCCTTTGTGCAACCACAGAAAGGAGATGTCATGTTACTGGACACTCATGGTGGCATACGCGTGAACGGCGCTGTCGATGACCGACTGTCGTGTGCTTGGTGGCGATGGGACCACGTCAATCCCGCAGTCGTCTTGCCACACCTCATGGTTGAAGTCAAAGGGGCGCTGTGTCTCGGTGTGCGGTTGGGGGGGCGGCACTGGCTCGTTCACGGCATCGTCCAGCAAGTTTGAGGCAGCAGCCGGGTAACCAAGAATCCGCCACAACGCTTGCACTGGCAGCGGTCGAAACAGCACGATGCCACCAACAGCCACGATGGCCACGATGGCAACTAGCATCACAAGAAAGGCCACGTCGGGCGTCTCGGAGGTGTTCGTGAGCGGAGGTGTGCCAATGCGCCTCTGACCGCCACTTGTCGAAATAAACGAGAGCTCCATCGCGAGCGGCTTGTCGTTGGCGAACGTGCTGGTCATGGCAACGCGAATTTCTGTAATGTCGAAGGATATCGTTACGTCCTCGAAAGGGCGTGCTTTAGGGACGGTTCCCATTTCAAGTGGCACGATGGGAAAGATCAGCTTCAAGGGCAATGAAGAATGGCAAGAATGCCGCCACAATCGAGTCCTCTCTGGGCTGCTCTACTCGATGGGGTCCTTGTCAGAATGTTTGGTCAGCGGAGGCCTTGGTGAGGCGATACAGTAGTCCCCTTCATACCAGTCGACGTCGCAGAGCGACAACTGACGAGGTGCGGGACGCATGAAGTAGTGAAGCTGCTGGGTGGCTCACACAAGCACGCATCATGGCTCGTTGAATGATCTGGATCGATTCCGCGTCAGTCTGAAATGCACGCAGAGGACGCTTGGAAACACCGTTTCAAACGAAACTGTTCATGGCGACTTCATGATGATGGGGGCTCCGTCGGCGGCGCTGGGGAAAGCAGAACGGGATGCTTGGATCCAAGCCAAAATCGCCAAGAATCGAAAACTCAAGGAGAACGAGGAGGCTCGGCTAGCAGAGGAGGCCTTGCAAGCCAAGGAGCGGCTGTGGAGTCCATACGGCCGTGCAGCCCTCGTCCACAACGAGCTCAACATTGCGTGGAAAGGCGACCTGGACATTTTCCACTGGACGCGCGTGCTTCCCTATCGAGACCTCGTGGCGCTGCGTGTGACTGGCCATGCGCTCGTCGACGTGCCGGCCGAGCTGCCCATTCGACTGCCGTCGCTACAAATACTCTGCTTGATCTCGAACCAACTGGAAACGCTCCCCGACAACGTATCGGTCCCCCATCGAAATGCACCCACATTGACTTGTAGCTCGGGCTCCTCACCCACCTCGTCGAGTTGGATCTGACCAAAAACAAGCTCAAAGCATTGCCCGAATCGATCGTACGTCGCGCGTGGCTCGATAAATTGACACGACGAGCGGCGGATAGTGCAATATCAAGACCTTGACATACCTCAACCTGTCCAACAACGTGCTGGAAACGCTGCCGTCCCGCTTCGTACGACTTGCAATGATCTCTTCACCGTACTCACTACGTGCAGGGTGAGCTCTTCCGACTCGAGCGAGTCTGGGTCGAAGGCAATCAACTCACGCAAACTCCTCTGTCGTTTGGCAAGCTTCGCTGCTCGTGCGCCAACTTGAACGGCAACCGCTTGCGCGACTGGAACTTGTGGCGCCCCGAATTCACGCTTCTCACGACGCTGACTCTGAATTTGTCGGTGCACACGCGATTCGTGTGGTGTTTTCATCTTGCTTGTCGTAGAAACCACTTGACTGGTCTCCCCGACACGCTGTGCACGTTGCCGGCACTGACGTCGCTCTCGGCGTCCAACAACAACTTGACGTGCCTCCCCGAGTCGTTTGGGTCCCTCGTGAAGCTCCGGTGGCTTCGCCTGGACTGGAACCGTATCAAGGAGCTGCCGTACTCGTTCCGGCACTTGACCGCCTTGGAAAGCATTCACATGGAGCGCAACCCGATGACCATGCCGCCGCTCGAGATAATATATCAAGGCGCTTCGACCGCCGTCGCTTATATGCACCAACGGTATCTGGCATGGCTCCGACAAGAGCGGCGCAAAGTTGTCGAGCAACTGCAGGCTGTTTTGGCGGCGTTTCAAGTCGAGCTGGACGTGGCTATGTCTGGACGACCCACGAGCGACGTCGAGTCCTGGGCAGCGTTTCTCGCGGTGTTCACGCCAGGGGTCGAGCGCATCGTGCGCGGAACAGCGCTCCCCTTCTACGCCCTTGTCCTTCCAGCACTCTTTTCAGTAAGGTCGTGCTCGCAAATACTTTCCTCACGCAGCAGTCGCGTGTGCAGGGGATCCTACCGACGGTGCAGCGCCACTGGGCAGACCATCCAGAGCTCCGGCCGAGCGACTCGATCGTCTCGTTCGACTTCTTCGACTTGCCGGAAAGGGTCGTCGTCGACGCCATGACAAACTACGACGACGAGTACTCGATGGCGCTCGTTACCGACCAAGCGGTACGTTGACCAGTCCAGCGCAACTAACGGGATGGCGACGATGGTGTTATTCAAGGCCTACTTTCGTCGGTGCGGCTGTATCGACCCCACCACAAACGCACGCAAACCATGCAACCGAACGCCTACGCCATATCAGTGCGAGCGCCACGACGCCGCGCTCTTCCGAGTCAAGATGGTCACGGCGCAAGAGTACAAAGAGATGCAGTCGGACTCGTACTTGGTCGCTCGTCGCGAACGCCTCGCCAACGCCATGCGGGCCAAATGCGTGGAATACATCAACTCGGAGCCAGGTTGACTCGATAGCTATCCAACGTCTCTTTGCCCTTGAGCTCGAACCTGCACGGTCGTGTGTGCTAGGCATCGAGTTCTTTGACAAGACTTCGATCGAGTGTGCAAAGACGCTTCTTGCGGCGCGCGTGGCGCGAGACAAGCAAGTCAAACAAAACGCCAAACATGCCAAAGCCGTCGCGTCCACCCGCCGCAAGACGCTGCAGAAAATCCAAGCGCTGCAGGCTGTGCGTCGTCGACAGTCGCTCGCTCGTCGGACCTCACCATGCGGGCGTAGAAACACTCGAGACGGTCGCTGGCCCTTGGAAAAACCATGGAAGGGCTCCGAAAAGAACTCGACCTTGTCCAATTGCAAATTCGCGCGGCGGCCCCTGGTCAAGGCAAAGCGCTGCTTGCTCGACGAGATGAACTCGACAAGCGCATCGATCAAGCCAAGCATGACCTGCGTCTTGTCGAACAAGACCCAGCGCTTCGAAAACTGCAGCAGGTGGAGTGCGGAATCATGTCGTGGGCTGGCTACATCGCCCGGATAGAAAATCGAGGCGTTGGATGGCAACCCACGCACATCGACCAAGTCGTCGCAGCACTCCACCACAACCCTGCATGACGAAACAAACGACGACAACGCAAGCCACGATGAAGACGACAATAGCAAGAATAGCGACGACAGGGCCTCGGACGACGAGGACGACGCCGAGTCCGCTAGCGATCGCTCTGACAGTGACGAAACCAGTGAAGAATTGGCCGACGATCCCGCCGACGCCAACTCGTGGATGGCTGGACTGGGCGACATTCCCGGGCTCGAACCTGTAACAAACTGGATCGACGCGGCGACGGCCATCATCGAGGTGCATCTCCGTGTCGATGGGCACTTGACGGACGTCGCCGTTCGCTTGCAGGGCATCCTGGACACGCGGCAACCTCCCAAGAAACCCCATTTGGAAGAAGTCGCCCACATGTACAACCATCACTTGCGGGTACGCTGCTCCGAACCCGCGACGATCCCACGGGTTGTCGATTCATGCCGTTGTTTCAAGGACACATATACGAAACACAAGATGGCAAAGGTCAGGAACAAGGTAGTGTGCATCCGTCGTATGTCCAGCGGTCGCCTTCACCACGTTGTTGGCATCGAGCAGGTCACGACCGAGTTTTACCAAATGCGGTTTGTCCTGCGCAAGTGGTACGTAGGAGGTCGACGGTGCCGATGGCCATGACGGTCGCAGGATGGGGTTTGGCAACCGAGTCGTGTTCGTTGCGTGGCGCGACTACGTGCGGGAGACTGTCGCCGTGCGGAAAGCAACCTCGACTAAGCAACGCCTCGACGACGACCTTGCCCAACAGAATCGCATCGCGGAAGTCGAGTTGGGCAAGCTCGACGCGTTGTGCTGGGCGAAAAAAGTCAACCCGTACACGGACGCGGTGCGTGGCCATGGGTGTGGAATGGCCCATGCTCACGGACGGGGTGGTAGGAATACTACGAGCATCGGACCACCGTACGACGATCTTTTGCGCAGCCACACGGCAACTGCATACCGACTGCTCGGTTGTCGTAGGGCGCGATCCTGGACACACCGCCGCCGTACTGGGAGGACGTCCAGGAACCGGAAGTGACGACAACGGTGGCGTCCGTGCCGTACTTGCCGCCCATAAGATGACCGCGAACGACGGCGATTTTCCCAGCCATACGTTTGTTGTCACACTGTTGCTTTGTTGATTTGCAACCATTCGTGTGCCAACTGCCCAGATGACGTCACAACGGCGCTCGTTCACACAAAAAAGTCGCATGTGTTACGCAGACAGGACGCCGTCGCCTCGACCTACTTTTTGCCTTTCTTTCCGCCTTTCTTGCCGCCCTTCTTGTCCTTGTCGTCGGCCCCTTCGGCGTCCCCAGCCAACGCCTTGCGAATGGCGTCGCGGGTTTCCTTGAGCCCCGTGACTTGCGCCGTGAAGTTTTTAAACTTTTCATGGTCGTCAGCGAACGTCGCGTTTTGCCGGGCAAGGGCCCCGATGAACTCATCTTCTTGCAGCGGTCGCTTCTCCATGCGTTCGACGCGGCGCGCGGACAGCGTGTTTTCAACAGCTTGACGAATCGACCCCGACGAATACCCTTCCGAGATATGCGCGAGCGTGCTCGTGTCCAAGTCGTCCGGCACACGGGGTGTCATCCTAGACCAGCACCACGTCAGGATTCACGCACACCCGATACGATACCCCGAGGACGAATGGTGCTGGATGGCATGTTGAATGCTCGAGCGCCACAAGAGCACGCGGGACGGGTAGTCGGGGTACGGGAAGTACAGAAACTTGTCAAAAAAGGCTTTCAAGTCTTTCACTTCGCCCGCCATCGGGTTGGACGACGTCCCGATGACCAAGACGCGGTCGTGGATATCCATCGACTTCAAGTACGTGAGCAGGTCCTTGCGGTACCCCGCTGGGCCGTCGGTGGCTTTTTTTTTGCCCTGTGCAAAGATCTGCTCGCAGTCGTCGATGTAGATCACGGCCGGCTGCATCGCCTTGGCAAGCATCCACACCATGTGGATGGCTTTCGTGGGCCCGTTCTTTCCTAGCGGAGCACGCGTTCATGTGCCGACGCGAGTCTGTCCCACGTACCTGGGAATTTCCCGACCAGGTTGGACGCCGACATGTTGAGAAAGAGTGCTCCTGTTGCGTGGGCGATCGCTTGTGCCATCATTGTCTTGCCCGATCCTTTAGGGCCGTAGAAGAGAATCGAACGGATGTGCTTGACCTTGGCGCGGACGACTGACGACCCGAGCGGCAACACGCAATACTCGACGATGGCGGCTCTAGGAGGCCGTGAGAGGACATTTGACAACGCGTCGTTGGACAACGTACCGGAGTTGGGCGGCGGATGGGTCTTGGGGAACCCAGTTGCCCCATCGATCGCGCCGGTCCGAGCTCTGGTAGACCGTGCCGAGGTAGTTGTACTCTCCGATAAAGTCAGAGACGGCGCACGGCGTTACGTTGTTGACGAGCTTTTGCTCCACCAGGATCGCCAGCATCGTGTCAGGGGTTCGGCCCTTGAGCTCGGCGATCTTGTCGCCGGGCAATGGCTTGGCTTTTTTGCTTTTTTTGTCCTTTTTACCCTTTTTGCCTTTCTTGCCTTTCTTGCCCTTCTTGCCCTTCTTCCCTTTCTTCCCGGCGGCTGCCGCCTCGAGCTGCGCCTTGATGTTGGACAGCTGCAGCACAAGCATGTCGTCGACTTGTTGGCGCACTTGGCACTCGACTGGGCCACGGACAACGTCCTTTGCCAAATCGATATCGTACTTTTGCTGAAAGTTATCGCTTTCGTCGCGTTCAAGCCACACGCTTTCGAACGCGTTGACGCCGCCGGCGAGTTTGGTGCACAGTTCAGATGGACCTGTGAGGGGTGGCGGGCGCTCCGGCTTGTCATCTTCCTCTTCGTCGCCCGCTCCTTTCTTCCCCTTGTCCCCCTTCTTGCCCTTTTTGTCCCCCTTCTTCTCGCCGCCTTTCTTGCCTTTGTCCCCCTTCTTGCCCTTTGCATCCTCTTCCTCCTTGGGCTCGGCTTCCACCGGCGGTGGGTTGATCATTAAGTAGTACCCCGTCATGTCCTCGGGCAGCTGGCCTTGCGCCATGACATCCGTGATCCACTTGCGCCGTTCCTCCAGCATCTTTTCCTTCATGAACGGCCCTTCTTCGTTTTTCACCTGCGGAACTCGCCCCATCAAGCAATTGCAGCATGCAGCGCGTTGCCTACAGTCTCATGAACATCGCTCAACGACCGTTCGTAGTCTTCTTTGTTTTCGGTTTGCAACGTCTTGCGGCGAATCTTGGCGAGGGACAATTCCATCTCGAGCGCGGTGGCTTTGTCATGTTTCGGCGGCTTCATCCCGATGAACACGAGCTCCTCGTCGCGCTCGATCGTGGCCTTCCCGCGGGAGTTGTGGCCGCGAAACACTCGTTGGATATTGGCGGCCGCCAGCTCGGGCTCCATCTCGGGTGTTTGAGCGTTGTCGTACAACCGTCGCTGCTTTTCTTCTTCGCGGAGCTCACGCACGAGCGCCCCGCGCTGCTTCCCTTGCCGTCCGCGTTCGTTGCGTTGGATCACTTGAATTGCTTCATCCAACGTCATCTGTACACCCATAATGCTGAGACTTCCACGCACGGTCGTGGACGAGTATACCGTGTCCGCCAGCGACACGCTCTCTTCCGCGACTTCCACTGGAAGCGTATCCACGCCGAGCTTGAGCTTCATGTACCCTTTCACGAGCTAGGCTCCAGTGTGGTGAGGACGAGTTGGGAAAGCGGTAGTAGGAGGGGTATTTGCAGACGCACCCGATCCCGTTTTTTGAGGTCTGCGCTGCTGTCCTCGACGAAATACTTGGGCACGGGGACTTCCAGGAGGCTCGGTGGGAGCTTCAAGTCGACGAGAAGGTCGTCCAAATTCACGTATTCCCACGGAAAGTTGCGTTCGGGGGTCGTTCGGACGTCCGGATTCGGCGGGTTCCACTTGACCAGGTCGTGTTTGAGCTCCACGACGCGCGTCTAGTTCGAGTGAGGCTTGCGATCGCCATGACGGCAGTACCATGACAAGTTCCATGATTTGCTTGACGTCGATGCGCTTTTGAGGATGCACCATTTGGTCGTAGCACTCTTCCAAATTGGCAAAAATCTGAACGTATTTGATATACAGACACGCATAGTGCTGGAACGCTTCCAACATGGACACTTCTGGCGGCGGCGTCGCCTCCTGGCCGTCTTCCACGTCCAGCGTGTGGTCTTCAATGTGCACTTGCTCGTTGAGCTCGGTCATGGCGGACTGCCATTTCGTATCGTACGTGCTACATCCACCACAAGAGAACGACGCGTGAAGATAGAACGACAGGGGGACCGTACTAGTTGGCCATGGTGAATGAGAATATCGGCGGTGGCGGCGGACGTGCGCTGGGCCCAACGCGTGCCCTCGATCAAACAGTGCGCGACCTTTGGGGGTAAGCGAGCGGTTTCAACAGTGTAACCGAATCCCAACTTGGTGATGCGCTTCCTTTTCCCGTGCATTCCCCAAACGCGATCGAAACGTTGACGGTGTTCAACGTTACTGCGAATGCACTACTTTGCCTTTGAGGTTGCCGTACTCGACGCCTCGCTTTCGCCGAGTCGCGGCCGCAGCAACGTCGCCAACCGATGACTTGGACGAAAACCGCGGGATGTGCTTGTCGATCGGTCTGTACTCGTGCCGGTAGATGTGCTCCGACATAAGAACGTGCAGGCCGCGTCGAGGAGACAGCTCGGACAACAGGGTCGGTGGCTCGCACGCCATTGTTTCGACACGTGCTTGTGTCGTCGCTTTCGTGTTTCGATGTCTTGGCGAATACAGACCATCCATGTACTGACTGTAGCCAATTTCGTCGTGGAGCACGAGGGTACATGCCGGCCCCAACGGGTCCCTGGACCGAACAGACTCGAGTGGACGTTGTGGGTGCTTGGCTTTCGTGTGCTTTTGAACTGCCAGGACAACCGGTGCCATGTTGGTGGCCGTGATCATCAATGGCGCAGCGGGACGTTGTCGAGCCCCACGCACGTTCAAAATCGCGCCGCGGAGCCATGCTTGGACGCAAACCGACCCGTGCCGCCAGAGCCAGCTCAATATAGTTTCCACGCCCATGACGCAGCTGAGATGCCGCATTCGCCGCAGCGGCAACTGCGCAAGGATCGTTTGATTGCCTCCGTCGTTGGCAATGGCGTCGAGAAAGCCGATCAAACTCCGTTGAACATGCACCAAGATGCGGATTGTCACTAGGTCGACCGGAATGTAAAACCGCGCGATGTCGACTTGTACGTCATCGAGCATAGCGTGAATCAACGGAGGGAGAAGCGGCGACGGGGAGGCAAGCATTGCAGGGGCTTCTTCGGGTACTGCTTGTGTAAGGGGTTGATCTTTAGACACGTTGTCGACGGCAAGCGGTTTAGTCACCGCACGGGTCACTTCGTGTGGGGGACAGGGTGCCAAGGCGTCGCTTGCCGCTGGAGTTGTGGCGTTGACAGGTGCAATACACGACTCGTTGGTGATAGCTCCCATCGAATGGGTGGCTTCGAAGGACAGCGCGGGAGTATGGGCAAGGGTTTCGCCATCGATTGGTTTACTGGGGAGCATCCATGGATCTGTAGTGGTGGCATGTGACGATACTGGACTCGCGAATGCATCGGTACTACAACCGAAGTCGGGGAATTGCAGATCTGTTGGAGATGGCGGCTGGACTGGCTTGGACGACTCGGGGGTGGCAGCATCGGCAACCGTGGGAAGCGACACAAGTGTTTGGCCTGTTGAAGAACTAGATAGCACTGAGGATCGCGAGTTCTCGTGTGGAAAGCAAATAGTGTCGTGTGGTGCTGGAATCGGACTCTGTTCTTGGTGAGTACTGGAGGTTTCTGTCGGCGCAAAAACGTCAGCCGCGATGATGGTATTGTCAACTATGCACGCCATGGAGGGAACGTGGGGCTTCGACGCAGCCAGGGAGGCGATGGGACTTGACTCGTTGTCCGAGCGTATGGAAAGTCGACTTCGGCTCTGTAGTACCCTGGACTGGTCATCGGCAACATCGGGATGGTCTGGATGCGGGCGCCTTTGACGTTTACGCACGGACGCCATGAGCTCGGCAAGAAGCCGCGACGGAGGAGAAGACATGTCTCCACCAGACCCACCAGCGCTCTTGGGGTTCGGCAGCAGTTTCGCGGTTTCGTTCACATTCACGTCAACGAGATCGTAACCGAGCGGCGTCGCGCTGGCATCGACCATCGTATCATGGATGGCGGTGGTGATTCGGGCCTTGGTGGCGTTGCGATGCCTGTAGCTTCATTTCGTCAATGAACAGCGGCACGTACTTGAGTCGCCTCGACACTTCGTGGGGCATCTGAATCACAGGCGATTGAACATACGACGTCTCATTCTCTGAAGCAGAGTCGAGACTCGATGCAACATGAAGCGGAAACACGTCAAAGGTCGATGCACCCACCGGCAAGTACGATACGGTGGCCGCACAGTCGTCGACTTGGAGCACTGCGCCGTCCACAAAGTACAGACACAACGTTCCATCTTCCAACGACTCGGCGATGCCGATGCCTGCGAGTTCCGCGACGGCGGCAGCCTCGTGCGACACCGCGGGAGTCTGCATGGATGTTGTGGCTTCTTGCCGAAGGGATTGTTCCAACTCTTCCAAACGTTTCAAGTTCTGGAGGACCTCGTCCGGCAATGCAAGACGAGCTTCTCGCACGGGCAGCTGCCCCAAGCACCACTGAGCCAGTCGAATCCATGTCGACACGTCGGCGGACAGGTCGACCAGCGGCAGTGACGACAAGTTGTAGTCAAAACGGCGCGTGGGAGAGAGCGTGCCTCGGATGATGCCGTCCGCCAAGTGGTACTCGATGTGTGGTTCACCGCGACCGTCGTGGCCGAGCAATTCCAAACCAAAACTCGTTCGGGAGCATATGAACTCAGACAACGTCGACTGCCCCAAGATGGAATGGTATTCCACCGTAAAAGATGCAACAGGCGGGTTGAGGGCTGCGGATTCTTGGACTGACGTCGCTGTTGATGCTGGCTCTGGTGCGGGGACACATTCCGTTTTGGCCGACGATGCCCTCAATGCCATCTTGTCCAGCACGGTCTGCAACTACACGAAGGCAACCATGAGCTCATGTGTAGGAGGGCGAACAGAATCTTGAGCAGAACGTACTTGAGCTAGATCGGCGTCATCTCCACTGGACAACGATGAAGATTTCGACTCATTCGAAGACGATTCGCTGCTAGAGCTATCGATGATGATTCGAGGCTGCCGTCGTCGCCGAGGTTTCATGCGTGGTTGTCGCGAGCTGCTGCGAGTCGTACATTTCTTAACTTTGACAGGGCGATTGGGTACAGCGGTCGACTCGGAGCGCTCATCGGATTCATGAGTTGGCAGTATCGATGGTGGACGCTCCGGTAGAGAGATACTAACGGCGCTTGGCTGCGCCGCGCCGACGTCAGAGGGCATGGATGGCGAGCGCATGAGCCACGGATGGTGAGCTAGCACCGAGCACGGCGTTCGTTTGGACGGTTCCTACCAGGTTCAAAACGGTGACACGTGGATCACATTGGATTGAAAGCATACCCCACACAGCAAACATTGGAGAAAATCTACGGCCAGCGGTGAAAGGAATGCGGGCATTGCGACCTCAAACTCCCTTGAGCTCACGTTTTGGAGAGTTTCTCTGGAAATTACCACGTCAGTGCGAGGAAGTATTTTGTAGGAACCTACGCCACGGTCTGGCCTTGGAACGGCGCAGTGCCAACAAGGAGGCTGTATGCGATGCAGCCGAGAGACCACAAGTCTGCCGAAATCGTGTAAGGGTGTCCCAGCAGGACCTCCGGCGCGATGAAATTTGGTGTGCCGCAAATGGTGGTGGGAGTTTGGTTTGCCGCGAGATCCGTCGCTAGACCAAAGTCTGCGATCTTCACGACGTCGTCACTTGTGAGGAGAATGTTCGACAGCTTCAGGTCGCGGTGAATGATGTTGTGGTCATGGATGTGCGCGATGCCTGCAACAAGACTACGAATGTAGTGCTGGGCTCGGTCTTCGTCCAATGGCAACCTTCGAGCACGTGAGGGGTATCGTTCATTTTGGAGCGGTCTCACCTTCGATTGCCATCATCTTTTGCGAGGAGTGTCTGTAGTGAACCCCCCAGGCACGGTTCCAGGACAAGAAATGCATTGCGGGCATCCTCAAAGACATCTAGTATTTTCAAGACATTGCGGTGGCTCAACTGCTGCTGCAGTTTGATTTCGTGAATGTCGGTTGTCATGGACATGGATTTGGATTGCCTTCGAATGAGCGCATGTTGCATCTTGTCCAGGACTTTGATAGCCACTAGCTGTCCGTCCGATACGCGGTGCGCCCAATACACCTGCGCCGACGAGCCCGAGCCCACCATATCGCCAAGGTCGTACTCATGCAAGTTGTCAGCCATTGCGCTTTGGTCGGCGCGAAAATCAAAATTCATCAGACGAGTCCGGATAATTTACCGGTACCTCTAATAGTACATATATATGCAGGTTTTGGATCGGATTTAAAAATTGTGTGGTGTTCGATACCGAAAGATCGAGGAACGTCACAATGCCGCCGCGTCGGAGCTTCAGCCGAAGCGTGAGTCGGGGCCGTGCCCGTGGAAACGGTGGTCGTGGTGGAAGGGGTCCTCGTCGAAGCTTGAGTCGAGATCGCCGACGTACGATCAGTCGTAGTCGAAGCCGAGGTCGCGGCAGAAGCCGCAGTCGCAGCTTTAGCTCACGCAGTCGTTCGAGCTCCCGCTCTCGCTCTCGCTCGTCGTCGAGCTCTCGTTCTCGAAGCCCAAGCAACGAATCAAGCAAGAAGGCCGATGGGGCTCAATCTCCTAAGAAAGAAGCTGCTAGCCGAAGTCCAAGTCCCGATGTTGGTGCCTCCCTGCACGTTGCAAATTTGACACGGTAGGCCATCGCAGTTGGAATATGTGTCACCAGCTGATGGAATAGCAACGTCAATACGGAGCACTTGGAGGAGATTTTCGGCAAGTTTGGTGGCGTTGCTGAAGTGACATTGGAAAAAGATTCGTCGTTGTCCAAGGGCACTGCATACATTCGCTTCCACAAGCGTGATGACGCTGAGAATGCGCAGCTGCACATGCACGAAGGGCAGATCGATGGTAACAGGGTGCAAGTAAGCTTTGTCCTGGTCCAACGCAAACCGAAGAAGCGAAGCGTCTCCCCCAAGGCAAACCCGAATAACAATCGACGACGTTCACCTCCCAAGCACCGCAACCCGTCGCCATTCCGAGCACGGTACTGCAAGATATGTATTTTCTTCGACAGCGCCTCATCATGGATTCAGTGGTCGGTCGTCGCCTCCTCGACGAGGCCCATCACCATTCCGCCGGCGCAGCCGTTCTCCTCGGGGTCGCGGAGGCTCTCCTTTTCGCCGACGGTATGCAGTTCTTGCCTGCCTTCTACGTGCTGTTGCATAACGATTTCGTGCACCCTTGTAGAAGCAGGTCCCCGCCACCTCGATATGGCGGTGCCCGTGGGGTTCGTGGAGGTCCTTTACGTCGACCATCGCCGTTCAATCCGCGTAATCGGCGCTCACGCTCCCGCTCCTTTTCGCCGCGCCGCCGTTCTCGTTCGCGCTCCCGTTCGCCCCCTCGCGGTCGGGGCGGCCGCAGCCCTCCACGGTAATGTGGACAAATCACCTGATTCTCTAATCAAAACCATGGTGACTTGTATTCTTAGCCGACGTCGGTCGCGTTCGCGCAGCTCAAGTCGTAGCCGCAGTAGCAGCTCTGGACGCAGCCGCAGTCGAAGCCCAAAGCGAAAGGGCTCTCCTTGAGCGTAGCGGTGTAATATGCATGTAACAGAGGTCGATGGAACCCTCGTCCGTTGTGCCTGTGAAGCGATATTTCCCCTTCGCGTTGAATAGCACTGCGCATTCGCATTTTTCAACATATCGCCGCGTTTTCGGAATTTTCAAATGTTTCCGCCAATTTCTACACACATTCCTTCTCAATTTAGTCAACATTCCTATGTGTGAGGTCTAAACTTCAAATGAAATATTCATGGAGATGTACAAAAGGGCAAGTAATATTATTACATTCGTACCTGAAGTCACCAATTTATAAAGTGGCATTGCAATTATAACAGAGTAGATTCAATAAAATATGGAATTTCGTGTCTGACATTAAGGAAGAGACGAGCGATCAATAGCACACCCATATCTGGCCCAAATCTGGCTTGTGCTTGTCCCGATGCCAGCGACGAAGTCCCGCAACGATGTCGACGGAGACCCATCACCTCCATCAGCTCGGGAGGCATGCATAGCTGACATGGACTCGGTCGACCCTCAAGATATTGAGCTTGGTCCTATTATCGGGAACGGAGCATTCTCAACGGTCTTCTCGGCGACGTACAAAGGGGAGCGCGTGGCCCTCAAGCGCCAAGCGTATGGTGAGCATATCTTGCGCGAACTCTCCGTCCTCAAGCAAATCGATCACCCGAGTTTGCTTCGGTACATTGGTTCGTGTGAGTACAATCATCAGGACTCGAAGGAGGTGTGGATTCTGTCCGAGTTTGTCGGCGGCGGCGACGTGAGCAAGTACTTGAAGGGCAAGAAGTCCCCTCGCTTGACGTGGAAGGAAACGGTGCAGATTGCATTGGATGCCGCCGAGGGACTTCGATATATGCATGAAAGACACATTATCCATCGCGACATCAAAGCGGCCAACATGCTGGTGCGTACCGCCAACGTGTTTGTGTTGAACTTGCTTGTGGTTGTGTCTAGCTTGACGACAACTTACGAATTCGTCTGTGCGACTTTGGGTTTGCACGCGAAGTGGCATCCGACAACGAGAACAATGCCATACAGGACGACGGTCCGTCCCCGCAATCGTTCCAGACGCACGGGCGACGCATGTCGCTCTGCGGCACAGACACGTACATGCCTCCGGTATGGCCACGCCGTCGGCAACGTGCTCTAAACATGCATGCAGGAAATGTTATTTGAAGAAGACTACAACGAAAGCGCCGACATTTTTAGCTACGGCGTTGTCCTCATCGAGTTGCTCTGTCGTCGCCACGTATGCCGTTGCAGTAGAGACATTTTCTTGCTGACTGCACCGAATAGATCAACGAAGATGGATTTCTCAAGCGTCAACCGGCCAAAAACTTTGCCATTGACTTGGACCAATTTCGCTCGAGTGTTCGTCCATCATGTCCGCCGTCGTTGGTGCTGCTGGCGGAGAATTGCACTGCCTTTGAGCCGTCCAATAGACCCACTGCACGAGAAGTTTGTTCAAACAAAAACGCTGCGGAAAACAAAGCTAATGCTGACGTGGTGCAGGTGGTCGAGTGGCTGGAAGATCTCCAGAAAGACTTGAACGAAACGCGCATCTATCGCCGATCGTCGTCGTCGTTTGGTGTCCCAGAGGGTGACGACGAAGCGTCGTTGAGCGACTCGTTCGCGTCGTCCGCGGGGCTGCATCCTTACGACATGGACAGTGGCGACGATGATTGCGAACCGTCGGCCCACCTCCATGAAAATGACGAAGCCCACTTTGACGAAACGTCTGCGCCATCGTACGCCGGGCCACTGCTCATGCCACATGGTCACATGCATCGATGGCGACAACGATGGGTCGTGATTCAAAACTCGATCGTGTGGATTTTCAAGAACCAGAAACAGTACCAGTTGCATCGACAGCTCACGGACGAAGAGTCGTACAGCGACGGCAAACGCAGCGCCAAGCTCCCGATCTCGACCCCGTTGGCTGGATGTGTTCTCAAGCAGGTGTGTCTGGCCTCGTCGAAATGCACTTGGGATGGCAAGTGTCTGTCGTAGAAAATGACGAATCGTCGGTGGACACTGAGCCACCCCGCGCGAAACATCAAGTGGAAGTTCCAGGCTTCGACTTCGCACGACATGCAGCTGTGGGTCGCGATCGTATCTCGAGCCATCACAGTGGCAGACTACCTCGCGGCGGGCGACGGGTCTTCCATGCCGACTGACCCCGTCGACACTTCAGACGAAATCTACTCATGGCTCGACACCCTGGGGTTGGCGTGCTACTTTCACACGTTCAAGACAAAAGGGTTTGCAACGTTGGATTTTATTCGCGAGGTAAGGTTGGCTTGATGTCGATGCACTCGCTCGGACGTCGACCTGAATGGGATGCTGGCAGACGGGGCTTGGCGAAGACGATTTCAACTTTTTGAACATTCACAACGACGACCATCGCCAGACACTCTCCCATGCGGCACTGGTCTTGCGTGGCGAATCCGTGTGAATGCGCGCGCCATGGATTGTACAGAGAAAGCCATCCCTCGTGGAATCCCATCCATGAAGTCGTGTGCCGTGTTTTGAAATCAACGTTTAAATTGTTAACTCGTGCGATGAACCCACTCGTCGTCGGACGCATACTTGGCATGTGTGCACGCCCCCCAGTATAGCTCCATGTCGGAGGACTCTGGAACATTCACAAAGAGCTGGCCGAGGAGCTCTGGGCGCGCCAGAACGACTTCTTTGACGAGGCGTCGCTTGAGTCCTGGAAGCTTGGCCGTGGCACCGATCAACACGACCGCGCTGCAAAACGCGTCCGTGTACATCGGGTCGCAGTGATCCAGACTCGCCAATAACGCAGCGGGTACGGAGCCATCTACCACCGGTCCCACGTCAAGGCGACATACATCCCAGCAAACACAATTCATCGATAAGGAAAGCCAATACCCGTCGAAGGTGATCGTTCGAAGTAGACTTCTGGCCCGAGATGCAGCTCCCCATCCAGCGTCAATACCAGTGGCGTTGGAGACTCTCCTGCATGGAATTTCATGGTCGTGGGTTGCCTGCGCCAAAGCGTTTCGGTCTCGGTACGATCGACGGGGTCGGTGACTTACGATTGCTCGACGTCGTAGCGCACTCGACCATGCCGTTCCTGCACCATGCAACATGACGAACGATTCACGTCGTCCACGTCGATACACATACAAGAATAGTTGATGCCAACTGCACTTGATCTGGTCCTGCGAGCGCGGCAAACGCGGGCGAGACGGCCCGAACAAGCGACCTCGTCTTCTCGACTAGAGTTTTCTCCCCCACGTTGGCACGGACAACAGCATGCGACACCTACTCGACTACATGAACCACCATCGACACGGACTTCCGACGTACGATCGAGTTGTCGTAGATCGGGACAACAAACGTCGCGTCATCGCAAAATTCGACCACGAGGCCCGTGCGGACGCCAGCAGATTTCAGCGCGAGTTGAGCACTCGACGTGACGAGGACACTGGCGACGCGAACTTCTCGTAGCAGTTGGGTGAATACGGTCGCTTCGTCCGAGTCGTGCCAACCAGGCGGACGGACGACGACGACCTGCGTGTCGGGCATCAGAAGCCACTGACTTGACACCACGTACTTTTTCGACGCTTCGCGCGTTGCGAATGCCAACGCGGGATAGCACGTTTGTCCAAAACGCAACCGTGGTCTTGGGTCCGACGTCGGCGTGTTGCGCGGAGTGGTGCCGTTTGAATCGATTCTAGTTGTCGTGATGAGCAAGGTGGTCCTAATGAGCAACGTACGGGGGACGAGGGGGCCATGCCGACGCCGTCACACAAGCTTTGGTCGACCTATTCCACATACACGGATCTTGTATGGACGATCGAAACTCGCGCTAGGGACCGCACCTTCCACTGGAGTGTCGGCAGCGACCATCCATCTTCTTGGTCTGACACCAGGCCGGCTTGAACACGGTTCGCACCAACAACGACGGCTAGAATCGCTCCATGTAGTGTGTTCAATGCGCCGCTCGCGCTATCCTCGGAGATATCGGCATGGCCGATGTCTTGAGGGCGCAACAGGTCCTTTGAGAGTTGCGTTGGCTCGTTGAAACTGAGTGCCGGGACTACTCTGTCGATATCGTCGCACCATGCATCGTGACCATCGCATTTGCCCAACAGCTCGTTGCACGACTCTTTGACGGTGTCAGCTACTCGGCATGGCGCTTCCACGACGTCGCACTTTTGTGCGAGCTCGTTGTTTAGAGCTGTGGTGTTCTGCACCTTGTCCTCCATCGAATGGATGCGGGCGGATAGCTCAGCGAGTTGGGCGTTCTTTGCTGCGTCCATCGCGATCAGTTCATCCTTCAGACGGGTCGCCTCCATGGACTGGTTGCTCGATTGTTCCAGCGCCCGCGCTAGCATTTGTCGATGACAACCCGTCATTTTCAACTTCAGTGTGATTTCCATGTCACGCGCTTTGATGTATTCCACCTGCTTCACCGCCAGATCGTACTGCAAGCACTTCGTTTCGTATTGAGCCGTGAGCGCCACCAAAGCGTCGTGTAACTCTGCATTTGTGCGCCAAAGCTGCTCCACGTCACGAGCACTTTTCGTTTCATCGGACGCAGCCAATGCGTCCGTGCATGGGGTCTGCAACGCCTCCATCTGGGATGTCATGACATCGACATGGCAGAGGGTCGCATCGTGCTTGGCTTTCCAAGCTGTGTTGGCCATTTCAAGGCGTTTGATTGTGTCTTCCAGTTCTCCCACACGATGCTTCGCGCATGTTCGCTCGGCGTCCCACGCCTGGCATTGCTTCTCCCAGGCAGCTTCAAGAGCACTCTTGGCGGTCTGTACGTCGTGCAATTGCGTCAGCAGCGCCGCCGCCGTTGCTTTGTCGGCGCTGTGTGTGTCTTGCATGTGCGCCATCACACGCGCCTGTTTCTCCATGTCGTAGCGCAGGGCCGTCAGCTTGTCCGATGCAGCGTCGTAGGCCATTGTGACTGACAAGCACTTGGCTTGGAGGGCGGTGATTTCGTTTTGGGCCTGCGTGGCGGCATGCCGCTGTGTCTCGAGATCGTTGGTTCGTGCTGCGACTTCCACTTGCAACGTCGATATTGCAAGCTCCAACGCTTGAATCGTTTCGATCGACGACTCGTGCTGCAGTGTCAAGTTGTTGCATTGCTGTTCCAGCGTGGTCTTTTCCTCCACCAGGCGCTGTTCTGTTACCTTCGCCGCGATGTCTTTGATTTCTTGTTGTCGCTGGCTCATCGCGTGGGAATGTTTGGCGTCCCTGCTCTGTGCTTCCAGCTGTGCCAAGTCGTGGATGAGCGCCGCGTGCGCCGCTTGGCTTGATGCCAACGCCGCCATCAAGTCGCGCACTTGCTGCTGCGCATCGTTCCGTTCAAGTTGGCTCATGTGCAGCTCCTTCTGCACGTCGTTGAGTTGCTCGTCGACATGTATCTTGGCTGCAAGAATGTCCGCGAGCTGGGCACTATGGTCGCGGCGCATCGACTCAATGCGGTCTCGGTCGACTTCTTGTAGCAATTGAAGCGACGCGATCTTGGTCGTGAGTTTACTCTGCTCCTGCTCGAAGTCCACATCGGTATTGGTTCCCTGTGCGGCGTGGCCAGTGCCATCGGTGGTTGTGCCTTGGCTGGACATACTGGTCGATCGCAGCACGAGGGTTTGATACTTTGCCGCCAGTTGGTCGTACGCGACTTGGCGGAATCGATTCTCGACTTTGAGTCTCTCAATTTGACGCTCGAGGGCCATCTTTTCGTCGATCGCCGGTGCGGTCGATGAAGGAAGCGTATTCACGCGTTCATGTTGCGATGCCTGGCTGGAGGACTGTCTCGAACCCGCCGTGGGGGTTGTCGAGTGAGAATCTGCATGTTGGTTTCGGGAAGTGGGCGGCGCTCCAGTGTGGGTCGACTTGGACGGGTGCGAGACGGCACACCGCAAAATAGTTGTGAGCATGCTGGATGTGTCGGGCAGCAAGTACGCATGCTCTTCATCTCGAGAAGAAGCGCGATCAACTGTCTCCACGACAAGCTTCGGTCGACAACGACCAGCTGAGGAAGTCGATGGGCGCGAGGTGACTATGGATGGACGACGCCGGCATTGTTGCCGCGCGTGTAGTCCAAACGACGGTGTGGACGATAAACGAACCACGGGTGGAGTAGCTGTTGTTGCCTTGAGAACTTTGGCAATCACCTACAACGTGTGCATGAGGGACTCTGACGCCCCGACGATGCTACATACAGATGAGCGTCGTGCGATGGTTTCGCCGTGCTCGTCCGTCCCGCTCGACATGGACAGCGCACGCTGCCTCCGCAGACTACTTCTGGTCGGTGGTGGGTCCATCGGACTCGAGGTCGACCGCAGTGCCGTCGTTCCCTCAAAAGGCTCGGAGAAGCTCCGCGTTGAAACGCATGCTAAAATTACCCCCCCCCTCATGCACCTCACTTGAGAAAGTGTTTGGTTGACATGGCCGACAACTCCAGCGCGACAGGGGGGATCGATTCCTTCGGTAACCCCCCGCCCACCCCACCACCCCTCCGTCGCAATACCAGCTGCATTGCTTTGCCGCAATATGCTACTGTGATGCCCGTCCCAGCCGCGGGGCTTCGTTTTGACACCATGATCGACTCGGCGTCCCCGACCCAGTTCGCTACAGTGGGCACCGGCAAGACTGTGGACAAGGCGCAGTCGCGCATTCCATCACCCACTCGACGAAAAGCCCCTGCGCCACTTCACATGGATTCTCCTCCAAAGTTGACCGATGCCGTTGCAACGTCCATCAGGCGGCCTCTCCTGCGAAGCGCCTCCACGATCGATGTGTTCCAGCGCAAAAGCCCGCCTAAATTCCACGACAAAGAAAGCGATTCAGGGAGCAGCGACGGCGGCAGTCGCCGGGCGACCATGACGACGGCATCTTCGCCATCCAGCAAACTCCGGTTTCCTCTTCGCAAAAAGGACTCACCTGGCAAAGTGGCCAAGTCGCCATCGTCGATTGGGGCCCCACCAACTCCCCAGCAAACATCGCCGGAGAAAGCGGACAATTCCACGAGCCAGAACGCATCCGACACGGTCATCCAACTGACGTCGCGGGTGACCGCATTGCTCGGCGAGATAGAACAAATGGAGCTCGAAAACAGCGACTTGATGTGGAAGTGTACGCAGATCGAAGGCAAACTCCACCACGAGCAGCAACTGCGCGCAAGTGCTGAGAAAGACCACGAAGCAGCGGTGGCAACGTTGACGCAGCAATTACATGCCCAGACGGCGGCAGCGCAAATGTGGCAAGCAAAGTTTGTCGAGGCCGTCAACGCATCCACCTCGAACGCGATCACGATGGCCGAATTCGAAGAAAAGGAAGCGGAAATCGCACGGTTGTGGCAATGTGTCGACACGATGGCGGGCCAAGTCGAGGGCATTGCAACTCTGTCGACTGCGCGCGCCACGACTCAAGACTGCACAGTCGAGTACATGCACAGACTCTTGGAAGGCAAGTCGCTCGAGGTTGACACCCTGCGCAACGCGTTGTACGATACGGTGACGCTGTGTTTTCTGCACGAACTGGCCCAGGGCCACGATTCCCGTGTCTTGCACACGTTCATGGCGAGTCTGGGCAGTGATGGGGCAGCTTTTGAGTGGCTCAAAGCTCGCTTTTGCAGCAAAATCATCGACGACGGACCGTTCTCTAAGCTCGAAAATTGCGTTGGCACGATCGTGGTGCAGGCTGGAACGAGCCACGTCTTGGCCGGAATTGTCGACGACGACATGGATGCCGGCCTCATCCTCCCGGCATTGGATTTCTCGGTACAACCGAACGACACATGCAGACCGAGCGCGCCGCCGACATGCTCATCCTCCATCCCACCTGTAGGTCGTCAAAACCGCCTCGTCCATCGAATGCTGCCTTGAATGCGTTCAACAATCAAATGTGCGGCGACGAATCAACATGTCCACTTGGGCCTTGACGGCGGTGACGCTGACTAGGGAGTGCACACGATAGCGTTGGGGGGCTATCTCACGCGAAGGCGATCGCTCGTGGAAGCGTCGACGCGCAAGAGTTTGTTTTCCATCGTGTTTGATGCTTTGAACGTCCGTCCGGCAAAGTACAAGGTACAGACAACGGGGCGATGGTATTTCACCTCTCGACGGCCGCGTTCAGGTCGTGGCAGTGGTCAAGCCGCTTTGGAGTCTGAAGGACAAGAGCAAGCTGACGAGTATGCTTCTGCAAGACTTTGGGGTCGCCGCGTTGATGCTGACTACGACTGCTGAAATGGCCCTGCGCAATGCAGGGCTCACGACTGGCGTTGTCGTCGACATTGGCGTCGACGGCACGTTTGTCGTTCCGATCTACGACTCGACCATTGTAACAACTGCCCGCCTCGATCACACACACCTCGCGAATGAAACGATCTCATTAGATGACCCACGCCGTCGTCCAGGTTCATGTGGGTGGGCGCCACGTACTCGAACATACCGCGGCGCTCTTCCGTGTGTCGTCGCCACAGTTTGCCGCGCTGGCCCCCGACATGCAAATGCAACTGGTGCTCGCTATTTTGGTATGCGTCCGCCGTGCCCTGTCTTGTTTGAACGTTGTCTAGCAAAGCAAAGGGCATGTGGGGTACGGTCCAGCCAAACCTGGCGGTGGACAGCACGACGAGTACGTGGACATTCCCATCGTTGTGCCTGTGTTGTGGTTGTGAACTCGTATGCGACGTTGCTCCTTAGACATCCCCCGATTGCATTTGAGATTCAAAAAGAAGTGGGAGCGTCGTGGATACTGGCTGCCGACACCGAGCTCTTCCTTGGCCCTGAAGTTCTCTTTCATCCGTCGTTGCATTTGCATGGTAGCGAGAGGCATGCACCATCTACCTAACGTCAACGTAGGGTCGACGTGGGAAGGACTCCACGATGCGCTGCTTCGAAGTGTCGACTTGTGCGACCCCATCGTACGTGACGAGTTGCTTGGAGGTGTCGTGCTGTCTGGCCGGGTGTCGAAGCTGCCCGGACTAAAGCGACGCCTCGTGAAAGAAGTCGTCGTCAGTCGGCACGAATTGTTGGGAAAGATCCATGTCCACACCCCAGACCACGCCGAGTACCAGGCGTACTGGGGCGCGTGCACGCTAGCCAAGTACGCGTCCGACGACCAGTGGCAACTGGAGTAGTGTATGCCGTGCATGCCGTGAGGCGGGTGGTGTCGACAGAATCTCACTCGAACGACCAAGTGTCCTTCCCAAAGACTAGAAACAAAAGGCTGCACGTAATATCGTGCGTCGTTCAATAAGTCGGGATGACCATGACGTCGAATCGATCTTCGACGCGTATGCTTTGCTCACCAAGCGCAAGACCGCTGCACGAATATGCATGCAGTGATACACCATATTGGCTCACCAGGATAGGGTCCCCGCGTGCTTTTCGTCGGTGCAGTCTACATCTCCTTTGTTCCACCAATACGTCAAACTGGTTGCACAGCCTGCGTGGCTGTCATTGACCTCTGGCATGTGAAAAATGCCTCTGGAATACGCCGCGTTTGAGTGAAGCAGAAACACTTCGGCTCGTAGGCATCGGTCATCAGGGTGCAATGCTTCACGTCGTGTAGTACGCCAGTTCGAGCGCCGATCTGAATTGGTTGCATAATATTCATTTCCAAGGGTCCTCGTTCCCGATACATCGAATCTGAAAGGTATTGAATTTCAGAGGATTCGCCCGTCGATTGGAACCACTCGCTGAGGGGTTGGCACTGACTGCATATTTTCCCCTTTAGAGCCGAAAGAACCGCCGTCATGCTGCGCAAGGCCATCCAACGCACGTTCTCGACCGCGACGGAAGCCACGATTGATGGGTTCGCGTCCATGCATGCGCCCAAGCTCCAGCTCTTTGGCCTCCATGCCAAGTACGCGAACGCGTTGTACTCGGTCGCATCCAAGGAAAACGCGTTGGAAGCTGTGGAAAAGGAGTTGAAGACGATCCACGATGAAATCGTCGCGAACCAAACGTTTGCCGAGTTTTTGAAGGACCCGACGATCTCCCGTACGGAAAAGAAGCACGACATCTCCAAGGTTATGGACGCCGCTAAGTTCTCCAAGCCCGTGTCGGGTTTGTTCACCGTCCTTGCCGAAAACGGCCGTTTGGGTGATGCCAAGAACATCATCCAAACGTACAACCGCTTGATGCGTGCTCACCGTGGGGAAGTGCAGGCCAAGATCACCAGTGCTGACCCGTTGACCAAGGAGCAATTGGCGCAAGTCCAAACTGCGTTGAAGGCGCGTGTGCAAAAGGGCGAAACGTTGTTGCTTGAAACGGTGGTCGACCCCACGATCCTCGGTGGCCTCAAGGTCCAAATTGCCGACCTCTTCATCGACCTGTCCCTTGCGACCAAGATTGAAAAGATCGAATTGATGCTCCAGAGCCGCAACTAAGCAGTTTACACATTGCTGTTGGTTGTACCTTGCTTCTGACGACTTTTTCCCTCTAACAAACAAGCTCTACGTGAGGCTGGTCGTTCCCGCCGTCTATATTCTCACTACGGCAGTCCTCCGTGCTACACGTGATCTACTTTTTGATTGCCGCCGCCAAATCGTCCTCGTCTGAACTGCTTCCATCGCCCATGTCCACGTCGTCATTCGCAGGTGCCTGGTCGAAGTGTGCTCAGCCAAGACGTTACGATACATCATGATCCAGTTCACGCACCTGGGAAGCAGTTTGGAACTCGCTCTGGACATGCACGACTTCAGATTCTTCCTCGTCACTGTCGTCGCAGTCCACATCGGCAGTCGCGGTAGCTGATGGTTTTGTCACGTGCACCGTTTGTGTGAGTTGATGAAAGTGTTCTCGCGCCGCTTGGGTGATCGAGAGGCCCTCTGCAGACACGAACTACATGAGGCCAACTACTTGCACATGCATGCACCACGACGATCGTACCGCTCGCATGCTCCAACGTTTGCATGAGCTGGTGCACATCCGCCGCTTGCGTTGCGTGGTCGGCTCGCAGAGGAATCGGGGCATGCAGCGTCTTAAAGTCTACAATCTCTTCCATGGCTTTATCCAGGCCAGACACATCCAGTGGCAATGGCTTCTAAGAACACGATGCAGGTGCTGTCAGTGCGACCGAGTTGCCGTCAACCACCCAGGGAAGCAACTTACATGGACAGAGAGCGCATCCACTGACGCGTCCTGGAATTCCTTGCCGCGAAGGTATGCGCGGCGCTGCTCGATGGCGACGCGGTCGGCCTTTTCGGTTTCTTCTTTCAACATGTCGGTCAACTCTTCCGCCTGGCATTCATCACGATCAAATTCAAGGAACATTGCGGACTGGTTCTTTCATTCATGGACTCTTGGAGAACTCTCCAACTTTACAAATTGGAGACACTCGTGCCTACCTTGGCAGCGGCAATGTTCGCACATCGGAGGACGACGTCTGTGTCGATGGAGACGCCGCCAATCTTGTGCACCGCACACAACTCCCGATATGAGTTGAAAGTGTACGTGATTGATCCTAGATGCCATGATGTCACTACATGCACCACCTACGCATGCGCGTGATTGCTACCGTCGACGATCTTTTCCTCGCGGTCTGTGGGGTCTAGCAATGTCACCGGGTCGTCTTGGTCGTTCTACGGCGACGTGTAATCAATACCGACTTCGTCAGGAGGACATACCGGGTCCAACTGGACAAAGCTAAATGAGATGGACACGGGGATGTGATGCAAACTCAGCGGAATCAACGTGCTGTCGTTGCCTGTGGAAGACGTCATCCATCGGACACAAAACTGGAGGTCCTCGCGGAGAAAACAGCGTACCCAAGCTCTCTGGTCGACGGAAATGCATGAGAGCGGCAATGGACGCGATCGAAACAGCATCCACCAAGTTGCCACCGTGATCCAAGATGTGGACAGTGCACTTGATGGCCCAGACGCTTTCCCCCGCGACAATAGCCAGAGCTTCTGTGTCCTAGTCGTGGGGATCAATTCTTTGTCTCGTTTCGTGGTGTTGGTGGCAACAAACCAGAGCCTTGCAATCGCGGATGGAGCGTTCGACAATGCGGGAGAGCTCCGCTGCCCACGCCTTGTGCGCTTGCTTGTGCTCAAAAGTCGCAGCACCCATGGGCGAGAGTTCAACTTGAAATTGGAGAAAACCTTCCGTGGGTCGGTCAGGAAACGGCGCAACGACTTCACCAGACACGACCGCGAGCACCCGCGTTCGACCAAGCTGAAACTCGCATTCGCTTTGATGTTCCTGGAGACACCGACGCAGGGACATCTGCATCCGGCGGAATTCAAGCAGGCCACGGCCATCAGCTCGCTGACCCGTGTTGGCATCTGCTTTCCGGTTGGCCTTGAGAGACCCCAGCAAGAAGTCGCGCTCGTTTGTGCTCAGCTTCATTGTCCAGATCGCGCGTTGCGAGTTTACTGCTCGTGATTATTGGATGGCGGCCAATTATCCGGATAATCATGCTATCCGTACATCGAATTGCCATGTTAATTGAAATTCCGTCATGGGGTTGCCAGCGCGATGGCCTGGATTTCCTGCATGAGAGCTTGGTTCTCATGCTTTACGAGCGCCATGTCGTGATGTATACGCTCCAGATTGGCCAGGTTTACGTGGTGGGTCAATTGGGAGATCCACATTTCGAGGCCGCGGCACTGGTTTTCGCGCTTGCCAGTCTCGGCCACACATCTACCCATCGCGATTGTCAAACTCCCATGCCATGAGGGGAAGTCGCCAACTCCGTACACAATGAGCTGGTCAAACAGTTCTCGGATCGTGGTGAAGAGACGATAGCATTCGATGTAGAGTTGTCTTCTGTCGGGGCGTAGCTTGTCGTCCTTGGCTGCACGGAAGAGGCGCTCCTCCTGCCGAAAACCACCATGAACGTTCGGTCAACCTCCATTCGTTCTTACCGCAATTGCTTCGCTTCGCTTGAGCTTCTCGGACGACGCGTTGATTTGTTTATGCACCGTGCGAATGTCCGCGACAATCTACTCCGAGACACAGTAGATCTTGGTCGCGATCCCAACGACTGCACGTCGTCTCAACGCAGCACCTTTTGAATGTCGGCTTTTTGCTTGTGTACTTGCTTGATGATGTCCATGATGCGCGCCGTGTACATGCTGCGATGGATTCCTTTCGCCATCGCGTCGTACTTGCGCTCGAGAATCTGCCGCTGTTCTTGCTTTTGGATGAGTGTGTCCCCTACTGCCACGTCACGTCCCTTCCATGTTCCTGTCGATTCCATACCCAGCGCTTTCGCTTCCGCTCGGAAATACGCCGTTTCGGACTCCAGCGCATGGGCGCGCTCCTACACGCTTCAATGAGGTTCGCGTAGGATTCGTGCGGGAACGACGACAATGCGGTGCACTTGGTTGGCAGCATGCGCTTCCAGCTCTCGGACAAGGGGAAGGCGATGGGTCTCCCACTCCTCCGCGAGCTTCATCAAGTGCGTTGAACTCTTGGCGCACATATCCTGTGCAAAGGATAAAGTCGTCGTCAGCGCTGCCAGACAGACGAGGTAAACCTGGAGTTTCGCAATGTTGGTCGACGCATCCGTCAGCATGTCGAGGGTCTGGTGCCGAATCGCCACGTCTTGCTCCAAGTCCTTCAAGTCATCCGCCTTGACTGCCGACCGCGCTTCAATCTAAACGGCGCAGCAGTTCTTTGAGCAAGAACCTCACGAGATACCGGAGCACTTTTACGTGTGGTAATCTAGGCCACAGTGGGAAGAGCTACACGTGACTGACCTGTCGATTCAAGTTGCGCTGTTCTTCACTTGCCAATTGCACTTCATGCCATGCTACTTCGTTGGCGGCGCAGCGTTCCCGCAATTGAATCAGCTCCGCTTCAAGCGCCTACACACAAGGATTGAGTCCAAGCATAACATGACATGGATGTCTCGGTCAAAACAACGCACTTGCAATTCTTGCGCATGTTGGTCCAGTGACGTGGGGGTAGCTGTTTCCGCCGTGTTGGCAAACGCTTGAGTTCGAGGCACAGTTGTTGTCGACGCAGCAATGTGAATTGCCGAAGACCGTGCCTGCTGGAAAGATGCTTCGTTGTGCTGGATAAGTTCACGAGGTTCGCTGGAATGCTCTGTTCCGTGCTGCGCCGCCCGTCTGGCCGATTCAAAAGCGGTTTGAAGGGTCGCACTCAACGTCAGATTTGGTGTCACCGTCGCATGCTGATAATTTCAGAAGTGATCAGGCGGATGTGAAGCAGGGCAACTTACATCCGACGTGTACACAACTGCACTTCGGGAGAAGTCCAAGGCAAGGGAGAGTGCATTCAACTCCAAAAGAGACCGTTGTTTGTTGAGCGGACACAGGGCACTGTCCGTAATGAGGGGCTGCTTGGACGCCACATACGCCCGTCGAGCTGTCGTGAAAAGCATTCATTACCCGAAGGAATGCGAGGAAATGTAACCTGGAGTTGAGCACTCGAGCCATGCTGCCGGTAATATAGACGTGCGCTGGCGTTGGAGGCGGTTTGCGACGACGCCAGTAGGTTGACGCAACGACGTCCACGTCTGCAAAGCAGCAAACATGCTTTGGCGGAACTGAAGTCGTGGAGTATCGACATCCTTAACCTCCTTCTCAACTTTCGGTAGTTTTTGGATGATCCAGAGGAGCATGCGACGAGAGTCGATCTCCGTCGGATAGAGGATGTGATTGTAACCACAGTCGTGTTTGTAGCCCCTTTTCTATCAGACGGATGTGGCGTTGATTGTACGCTTCGACATGTCGGGAGAGTAACATACTTTGAACTGTTCGGCCAGCGACGCGGCGACGCGATGGCGCTGAGCCACGCCCTTCGGGAACTCGAACTTGAACGTCTGTTGCGAATCCTCGATTTGATCGAATCCCCACGACACGATCTCCGCCAATTCAGCCGCAGATATCGTTGCCAAAGGAGGCACCTCTCCACCCCACCTACGGCCATTAGATGGAAGATGCCAAGCACGCCGACATACCCACTTTGCTTGAGAGTCAGCGCGATGAGGTCGTCGGACTTGTCCATTTTAGCGGCGACGGTGCTCAAGATTTTTGTTTAGATCCTGGAATAACGATACTTCAATTGGCCTATTTTATTGCAATCAAACGAATCAGAGGTCGACATAACAAATATATCGCTCCATGATAGGCTGTTTCATATTATTTACAGCGAATGGTATAGCTTCATTCGACAATAGACGGTGCCTTGTTCTAACGAATCGACCAAAGCTTCACCAGCTCGTCGAACTTGGCAATGGCTGGGCTTGGAATGGTTCCGTTGGAGCCGTATGAACAAGGAAGGTGCCTGGCTCTACTTGTATGCGTGAGGAACGGCGAATTGGCATGTGTTGGCCGCTTCTGAATGTCAAAGATGTTCAGTCGCCCAATGCTCACCACAGCTCTTGCAAAGGAGCTAAGGTGATGCACAGTACAGAACTTCGACAAGAGTCTGCCTGGGCACACCAACGTGTCGCCCTGTCCGACAACATTAGTGTTGTCACATCGCGACCGCCTTTTCTCGAAACAAGTTCCAGTAGTTTTGCGCGCATGGTCGAGCCTCGCATCCATACAATTCATGACAGAGATTCAAAAAGTTGACATTGCAAAGAACCCCCTCCCTAGGCCTTTCTATTCATGCCACGATCGCCTTGAACGTGACGACTGGTGTACGGTTCTAAGGCCCGCACGGCGACGCAGTGCGCCGCCAGACGTGTCGATGGAAGCGACCATTGCACATGCGCTAAGAAGCGATCTGCACATGCCCAGCATGGTAAAGTGACACATGGAAGGACCAACCAATCAGGACCGCGGATTGTCGACATGGGGTAAAACCCCCTCTGAGAAACGCACTCTCTTGTGGCATCGAGAAGGAGTCGACGGCACGAGGTGGTCAAGATGCGCCGCCGCTCAAAGGGCTGTGGAACTGGCCAAAGCCCAGTGCCGCGCGTTGCGTCGCGCTCGCCGCATGCGCTATGAGGACAGCGGTCCACAACGTTCAGTTCACAGATCAGTTGGTCGCAATTCAACGAATAGCTGGGTGGACAAACATGGGAAAAACACTGGGACCCACTCTCATTTGGGAAAGGTGGCGATGGCGTCGCAAGATGCGCCCGAGACGAGCATGCGCCTTCGGTTCCTTCAGTTCCTCGACAGTCGGCCATGGCATTACTTCATCATGGCACTTCTTCTTGTCGACTTCCTTGGCAACTGCATCGTTGCAAGCGTCACATCGACGGAGACGTTCTACCATGCAGCCCGAACAACTCGCTTGGCGTCGGCAGCGTGCGCAATCATGCACCTCATTGACAGCGTCGGTCGAGTATGGAGTCTTCGACGATCGTATTTTCGCAACGCTGCCACGGCCATTGACGGGTTGGCTGTTGTCTTGCTGCTCTTGACCCTCGCTGCGCGGTACGAGTGTCATCTGCTTTCTCAACGAGGAGGACCCACGAACATTTGTAGATTTGTGTGGGCCGACGACGTCAAGAACGTTGTGCTTTCACAGGGCGGATGGACGAACAAGTACCAACTCTTCCACGAAGTGCTCACGAATCAAAAGGAACAGTACATCGCGGCACTCTACTGTCTCGTTGTCGCGGGGCGAATATGCCTCAAACCCCGCGCGCGTACGTTTTCGAAAAAGCTGCACAAATACGCAAATCACGACAAGCTCGAGATCAGTCTGCTAAGTTTGCGCACGGCGATCCATCGCATTCCTGGAATTCAGGCGGTACGCCCAAACATCCGCCATCCCACGATCTGAGCATGTGGTAAACCCCAGGCGGTGGTGGAATTGATGGAGATGGACTTGGCTATGGTCTGCGGCCGCCAGGATGGCAATATCAACCGCGAAGAGCTCATGCGATTCCTTCAAAAGGCCATGCAGTACCGACCAAAGGAGTTGTCGGTCGATGCGTTTCTCGCATACTTGCGCCAAGTGGATGCCACGTCCTCGATGCAAAGCACCTACGGCGCATACGAAGTGGTCAAGTCGACCTTTCGTCACTGGTGAGACCCTTGCGCATGGCACGTCCTCACTCTGTGCGGCGTGTGTACAGGGCGTCCCAGCGCTTCGACCTGGCGCTGACGGTCCTCGTGGTGGTGCTGTATGCGTGCATTGTGCCAGGATTGGCCTACTTCCTCCAGATCTTGACCGACCAAGCGTTCCCTTGGTACATCACGTTGGATCCGGCCCACGATAACCTATGGGACATCTACACGATCACGAATGTGACCAAACGCATCGTGTACAAGGACGAGATGGCGAACGAAAACAATTTGAATCCCAAGGAAAACAACTTGTTCATATTCGTGCCCCACGAGTCGCTCCAATTTGGCCTGCTCGGACTCTTGGCACTGGCCGTCCCGTTTGTTGCGTGCGACTACGCCATGGGTATGCACAATCGCGATGCTGTCCGCGCCATTTCCCACGCGTTGACGAGGCAATGCATTAGGATATTTTCAATCCAAGATGATCGCGAAAGCGACGCAGCGAATGCAGGACACCCTTCTGTCTGTGATTTTGAGCCAACCGATTCAATTTTTCAACGAGCGCCCCGACGGCGACTTGAACAACTTGTTTCAGTCCGACATTGCGCGCGTAAACGCCATGTGGCAAGCTGTGTTTTGGGTACGTGCCGCACGGACGTGAGGAGTCGAATGTGTGCTGACTGCACGCGCGACGGTAGAACTTGATGCAGCCGATCGTGGCGATTGCAATCGGGTTTGGATTTCTATTGTACGTGCAACCAGTGGTCGGGATCATGGCGTTTTCGTTCGCTGCGATCGTCGTGTCGTCGGGGCCGCAGGGCCTCGCCGCGTCCAAGTCGGACGATTTCGGAAAGAAGAACGCGATCGTGTCGACCGAGTACCAAAACGCCATTGCGTGTCAAAAGGTAGACATGTCTTGATGAAGTATTGATGGTTGTGGTGGCGTGTAGGTTGTCCGAGCGTATGCGATTCAATCGTCGTTGCTCGCCCGCTTTGGCGCGTCGATTCAAACGTTGGGGACGGCGCAATTTGGAAAGGACTTTTGGAGCGGCATTGTTCAGATATACATTGAAAGCGCCATGTTCATCTTTGTGGCGGTCATGACCGCGTGCCTTTCCATCAAAGTCGGACCAGCGAGTGGATGGACAGCCGCGTGATGTTGAATGGACGATGATAGGTTTACCACGGCGACATCACTCCCGGCGAATTCTTTGCCAGCGTCACATTGATCAACCGAGTGTCGACGCCAGTTAGCGTCTTGGGCGGATTCATGCGCGTAGCCATTGGGAACGCCAGCAGCTTGCAACGGCTCGACCACGTGCTGCAGGTTTCTACCTCTCGAACTCGGCAGTTGCTGCCTCTTCAACTTTGCACGATCGAATGATAGATGGAGCCAATGGACAACACCCCCTCGACGCCGCTGCCCAACTTGCATCTGATGCAAAAGAACATTGCGCTGCACCACGTCAACTTCCACTACTCGACCGACCGACAGATCTTGTTCGACGTCGACGTTGTGTTTAAAATGGTATTTATGACGGTAATTGGATGTGGTATCTCACAAGGTATGGACTTGGTGGGGATGTAGGGAGAGTACAGCTGCATCGTGGGGCCGAGTGGGTGTGGAAAGAGTACGCTCTTGGGATGCCTCATGCAGCTGCACCCCGTGTCGTCTGGCCGCGTCATGATAGACGGCGTCGATTTGAAGCAGTTTTCCAGTCGAAGCGTGCGCGATCAACTGGCAGTTGTGTTCCAACAAGGGGGCGTCTTGAACGGCACCATCATGGACAACATTCGGTACGTCGCGATGGCCGCATCAAAGGATGCTGACTAGGCATGGCAACGCTAGCTATGGCCAGCCCACGGCAACGGACGACGATTGCAAGCGCGCTGCCAAGTCGGCAGAGTGCCACAACTTCATTGAGCAACTCAAGGACGGGTACGACACGGTTGTGGGACAGCACGCTCTAGTCAACTTGAGCGGTGGACAACTGCAGCGGATCTGCCTGGCCCGCGCGCTGGTTCGAGAGCCAAGGTAGGCACCGTCCAAGTCGACGGCTTCACATTTCACGGTGGGACAGCGTGCTCTTGTTGGACGAAGCAACCAGTGCACTCGACGCCAGCACGGAAGCGAGCATTGTCGCGACGCTAGAGCGATTGACGCGCACGCTAAACATGGCGGTACGAGGGGCTTGAGCGATGTAGGATTGCATTCGTCGTGTCGAGTAGGTGGTCAGCGTGACACATCGATTGAACACGGCGCGCAATGCCGACAAGATCGTCGTGATGAGCAATGGAAGCATCGCCGAGTGCGGAAAGTTCAATGAGGTATGCGTGTGAGGACTGTCGACGGCAAACCTGGCTGAGAACGGGGTATTAGCTGATGGCAAAGCCGGACTCGATCTTTGCGAGCTTGATGCACAAAGTGGACAATCTCTCGCCATCGCATGACCCGACAACCTCTCGCCAGTCGGCCTCACGCTCGTTCGGCGCGTACACGCACAACGAAGACATTTGCAATATGATGGAGACCCACCAAGCCTTGATGGAGTACCAAAAGGCACTCAGCACGCGATCGGTACGACAAATTTCGATTACTGCGCGCGATATCTCACAGTGAGACACAAGCAGGAGGACGAATTGTCCGCCTGGCAAGTTCGCAAGAGCAGTTCGGCCAAACGTCAACTGTCCCGCATTTCGCGTCGCTCCGTTCAAAGCAACGACGACGCCCCCAACGACATCACGACAACCACCAACCGCGACAGCTACATCGTTATCTAAGTTACAAATCTACGCACTAGTCGTTGTTGCCCAGCCAAGATGCGTTCAAATATACCATTGATCCAAGTCGAAACAGTACTCCAACAACCCACGTGTTGATGCCAGGGGCTAAAAATGCCACGGGCTAAA